CCCCTTGCTCCGCCAACGCCCGCCGCCCACCCCTCTCCAACCCCTTCCGGGCTTCCTGGCGCCTTCCTTGCCCTTTCCAAGCCCGCGGCGCCTGGCGCGTTCTCGCTGCAGCCCCCGATGCGCAGGGCTCTGCGCGAAGATGCCCCGCGGGCCGCCATTGGCCAGCAGACACGCAGGCTTCCGGCACGCCTTTTCCCTTTTGGCATCGAGCTGATTGGAAGAAGGGAAGGCGTCCCGCCAACAACGTGTGCGTCCGCCCCCTCTGCCTGAACTGCAAATTGGGAGTTGTGCGCGCGACTCCCCCTGCGATGCACCCGCACCGTTCTCTTGATGATTGCTCGCCTTTTACGTATGGTATGCTGTGCAAATCCAAGTGAAGGAGTGGCTCGACAGCGGATGCAGGTAACACACGTAGGCGAAACGGCAAGATGTTTCCTTCACCTGTCGTTTCCCATGGCTTCCGACGTGGCCGTGTCGCGTGAATGACTTGGGGAGGCAAGCCAGGAAATCCATCCATTCGAGGCACCCCTACCCTAGGCGAGCGTTGTATGAGCTCTGCTGATGATACACTCTAATACATCCTGGGCATTTTGAGGGCATGCCGATGACGATAAGCTACGAAATGGATATATGTGATGAGACACTCTATGATAAGTAGAATCACTGCACTTGTCGCGGAGCCACCCGGCACCTGTCACTCAGACGCAAATACGGCGTGCACTCGATGCAAGCATTTGTGATGACTGGTGGCGACGCGCTACCGCAGGAGCCGAACGCCCCGACAGATGAAGCATGAGGTCTGCGAGTACTCTTACGTAGCGTCCACAACCCACCATGAGTCCTTCGGGTCAGCCCCGGTGGGCCAGCACCCTCCACTCCCTGTGTCGACTTGCGATCCCGAAGGGCCGGCCACCTTTTTGGTAGCCTGCCTGGGTTTGTCAACGAGATGTCCCACTGGGGCTACCCGATTGCGGCCCTCGGGCTCGGCTGCCCTTAATGTCTCTCTGGATCGGACCCGTCCACTGTGGTCCAAGAAGCCCTTTGAGGAACGAACCGCTCCTGTCCAATCGCCTCGGACCTTAATGGAATTATCCAGGTTCCATTTGCGATGGAAATCGTCACGATGCCCTCAGGAGCGTACATGCGGGCGCAACGCCGAATAACCTGACGACGAGCGTGTTCCGTAGCTTGTGGATCCCGCGCCGGTGCATTTCGTGCTTTGTGCCACCACGGATTGCCGTTTTGCCTCCGTCACTTCGGTCACGGGCGGCAATCCCAGGTTCACGGGAGTTGCCCTGCCACGCCAGTCACGACGTGGCAAGGCGCGTGTATCTATGGCTGAGTCGCCCGGAATCGAAACACTTCACTGCTGTCGACTTCATACAGTCGCCTGCCGCGCTCGCCGCCTGCTCTACTTCGTACAGTGTTCAAAGGCAGAGGCGAAATCAAAGGAGCAGCTCGCCTCGCCCCTTGAGCAAGATGCCCAGGACAACACCTCGTCGTTATTCCCACAAAGCGACACGTCGGACATGGCCGCACTATGCAATGCCGGGTTGACCCTGCTCCTGTTGTCAATTGTGCTGGCCCCATGCCCTGGGGACGTTTGCCAGTCCGCGGAGGGAAAGCTGGCACTCGTAAAATGTTATTGCCGAGGGTGGTGGCGACGGCCCAGCGGTGGCCACGCCACACGAACGCTTCGGCCCAGGGCCCTGCTCCCTCCCATCCCATTAAACTCACTGGACTCTAGTGCCTTGCCTACTTTGGGCGTGTGAGTGAGCAAACCTTGTGAAATCCTAGTAGGGTCTGCGAGGGAGAGAACAACCGGATGCAAGCCGCCCTCCCTCGCGTCGGCCTCGGGCAAAGCGCATGACGGGTACACGCAGCAGGTAGGCATGAAGAGAGTCGTGACCGCCCGCGGTCGCTGCATTCGACCAGTTCTGCGCTTGGCCGGGCCCTGCGGGATCTTCAAGCACCAGACAAGCACCAGGCAGATGGGAGTGCAGAATCGCCCAGGTGGTGCCCCAGTGTCAATGAATGACAGAAGGCATGCGTGATTTGCACCCGACACTGGCTATTTTGGCTCGGTACATTGCCCGGGGCCCGCGAGCGGCCCAAGCTTTGCCACCGCATCGCCAATACCGGCGGGCCTGCTGTGTGTACGGACGGAGCCACCTAGAGGTACTTCGTAATCGTACATGCCCTGGCTCTGCAATTTGCACCGGGCTTGACGATGTTGAAGCCGGACGGGCGTCGTCGACGCAGCCTCTCTCACGGGTGGCTCGGGTCGCGGCGGAGGGGAACAAGGGCCCGGCTCAGAAGCCGAAGACGCGCTTTCACGCCGCCTACCTGTTACTGCTCGCGAACCCGCGTTTCCTCGGTTTGCAGAGGTGCGGAGCGTCCGAACGAGGAGGGCCGGCTTTGCTTGACGTCGCGCTGTATCGCGGAGCCACATGATCTGCACCACCGCCGGCCAAACAGAGCCAGGGCAGCCCATGACGCACATGTGTGTGCAATAATCTGCCCAAATGCGAGCGTGTACTTTGCACGAAACCGAAGTGCTGCCTGCGCAAGCATGCGTCTGTCCATGCTCCGCACGCCCTTTTGACCGTGACAAACAGCGCCGCGTTCATATTTCGCCTCGCCCCGTCCCCTCGAAGTGCCGCGTCTCCCGCCTACGCTTTCCAACCTCGATTCGACGGTGCCAGGGCTTGCTGTCCCCGTTGCCTACCCCATCAAGAAGCACAGCGGCATTCATCAGGCCGTGATCGCCATGCCCTGTGGGTGATACCTTGGAGACCTCTAGATGGCTTGCCGTCGACGACGCCGGCCGAGGATTACTACTGTTGGCCTCGCCGCGCCGCCGACTGCGTTTTGCCGCCGTCACGCATCAACCTTGGTGGGACGGGGGCCTGGCCAGGTCGAGGCAGCCCAACTCCCGCGTGCCCTCTGCCTGTGGCGCTGGATAGAGTTGCCGGCGAGAATGGGTAGCATCTCGCCGGACCGTACACAAACTGGGGCCTCGCCACACACGAACACGTAGCCAGCGAGCGGCATACATGGCGTAGGCCCAGGCCGCACGGCTCCTTGGCTGCGGGCGATGCTGTGGGAGCGTCCGTCGTCGCGGCGCGCGTGTGGCCACGACAAATATGTGCGAGCCGTAGCCGTCGGCGGTGGGCGCGCGGCGCTGATGAACGCCTTGCAAAAAACTTGGGTTGAGATCCGTCCCTCCTCAATGGTGTGAGACGGGCGGGCCTCCGTGGGGACAGAGGTAACACATGACGGCCGGGGGGGTGTCATGTATATATAAAGTAGCTTCTACTGCAGGACAGGCCGCCGCGCACCTATCCGCGGGCACAATGCAGGGCTCTGCGCTAGCAGGCACCGCCGAGGTACTCGTCCCGCTAGCGCCGTCCCACCCATGCTCCGGTACCAGCGTGGACGTGCCTTTCGAGCCAGGCCCCAGGGCCGTCACCTCGGGGGCGCCAGGACGTTTCCTCGCTCTCCCGGCGTCTGGGAACCATGGCCTTCTCTGCCTCTTCTTCTACCTACCTCTCTTTCAACCTCGTCCTCTTCCCACTCCATACCTCACCTTCGCGAGACGGGTCCGACGCCGGAATCTCTTCATCGTCTACCCCCGCGAGGTCTCGGTCGCATCGACACTTACATTTTCACCATTCACACTCATCCATCCTTTTGCGCTCGGCGCTGCCGCGCTCTCACTCACACGCTCTTCTCACACGCGCTCTCGCATGACGGCCTGGGCATGCCTTCGCTCGCTGTCCGCCTCCAACCCACGATCGCGAAGTGAGCGGCTGGTGCCATGGCACAGCAAAATGTCAGTCGTTCCTCTCTGCGCCATTGCACATTCCGCATCCTGCTTCACGTTTTTTTTCTTCCTGCACTTGTGCACTCTCGCCCATTTGCCCCAGAGCGGCCATCTCATTCACACCCGCCTGCGGTCAACACCTGCTAACGCCCCAGACAGGAATCCAAAGCCACAGACTCGGACGCGCAACAACCAGGAGCGTCCGAGTCGCTGAGGGCTTCTTCTGGCTCGGATCCTGGATCAAAAGAAGGTGGCGCCGAAATGGCGGCGCCGTACGGCACACGCTCGCGCAACAGGACGGGCAATGCCCGCATCAACTACGCAGAGGACAAGGACATCGAGATGGACAACTATGACTACTACCATTCCAAGACCAACCCTGACGGCAGCGGCAAGAAGCCGTCGCGACAAAGCACAGCGGCTGCGAATGGCGACGGTCCCCTTCGCGGCAGCGGGTCGCGCAAGCTGGGCCTCGACGACGGCAAATCTGCTGGGTCGTCCCAGAACGGGTCCCGGGAACAGAGTTCGAGCAATGGCGGCGGCGGCGGCGGCGGCGGCAGCAGCACCGCTGCATCGCAGCCCGCGCAGGCATCAGTCGCATTGCAGCCCTCGTCGCGCAAGCGCAAGGCCACAACAACGCAATCCGCGACTGCATCGTCCATGTCATCACCAGCCGTCATGTCGACAAAACGCATCGGAAACGCGATGCAAGTTACGGGGCCGCCACTGCGGGAGACCAACCTCATGACGTTTGAGCACAGCAACGCCCGCCCGGAAAATGGGCGGATGAAAGCTGACGACGGGACGGTGCTGGAGCCAAATGGTGAGTCGTCGAAAGCCTCTCCTCCCCCCCCCAGTCCAGTCCCAGTGGCTCGGCCAAGGGGACCCACCCACTTTTTTGGAGCCTGGGAGGGTCACCCACGATCCGCCCACGGCCAATTTCAGGCATGGCCATGGCATGCTGGCAAATTGGCGACGGGCTCGCGCTGCTGCGGCGTGTGCCAAGCGGCGGGAGCTGCTGCGCGTGCTGAAATGCACGCAGCTGTCTCCAGCGTAGGGTTTCGCACCACACGCCTTGCCTCGCCTCGCCTTGCCTTGCCTCGGGTCCTCCAGCCTCTGGGCTGGCGCACCGCCAGCGGCGGCGGCGGCGGCGACAACACGCTCATTGTTGCAGCGCCTTGGCTAACGAACAAACGCCGCAGACCATGTGTATCTCGTCTGCGAACCCCCCGGCGAGCCCTACTATCTGGGCCGCATCATGGAGTTCTTGCACGCCGGGAACGACACCTCCAGACCCGTGGACGCGGTACGCATCAACTGGTTCTACCGCCCTAAGGATATCGGGCGCAAGGCCGTCGACACGCGCCAGGTCTTCGCCACGATGCACTCCGACATTAGCCCGCTGACGGCGCTGCGCGGCAAGTGCCGCATAATGCACCGCGGCGAGATTGACAGCATGGACCAGTTCCGCAAAACGCCCGACAGCTTCTGGTACGAGAAGCTCTACGACCGCTACATCCAAAAGAATTACGACCTTATCCCGACCGCCAGCATCGTCAACGTTCCCGACAAGGTCAAGAAGGTGCTCGATGAGCGCTGGAAGTTCGTCTTGGTGGAGCAGGGGCGTGGTAAGGAGCTGACTAGCGCCGTCAAGCTCTGCAAGAGATGTAGCGGCTACTGTGCCAGGTACGTACCGCACCGCCCACCCTCACCCACGTTCCCCACCAATCTGGACAACCTCATCTCAATGCCGCACCAACTACCCTCGCCGCGCAGAAGCTGGCAAAGCCGTTTTGCGCGTTATGTAAAACTTGTGCTGACATTTCCGTGTTCCCATCCTCAGTAACGACTCTGTCGATTGTGCAGTATGTCACAACACGTATCACATGAACTGCGTCCGGCCGCCGCTGCTCAAGAAGCCGTCGCGCGGCTTTGCATGGTCCTGTGCCGCCTGCAGCAGAGCGCAGGAGCGAAAACTCGAGGCCCGCAACACGCCCAGTGGCACTGATGCCAATGGCGACCTCGAAGACGATGAGCTCCTCGACGACGAAGACGAGGATGCTCAAGGCATTGAAACCGATCGCACTACCCCAGCAGATGAGGAACACCACCATCAGGGTACCGCCGAGCAAATCTACCAAGCGAGCCTTTGGCCGTGGCGGTACCTGGGAATGCACTGCAAGCCGGAGGACGCGCTCGACTACGACGACCGTATCTACCCTCGAGCAAGCACGCGTATTGGGCCGCGACATCAGGCAAACGTCACACCTTGGCCTGGCCGTCCCGTCGAGTATGTCAAGCCGCTGGAGGTCAGAAGGGGACCAAGGGGTCCAAAGATCTCCAAAGAGGCTTTGGACGCCGAGAAGGCCCTGCGCGGCAAGCGACCGAAGTGGGTCCAGGATCAGCCTCCCGGTTACGTCGCACGAGGCGAGGATCATGATGAGAACGACCCAAATGCGACCTCGACGCTCCTCTGGAAGCCCCCGACGCAAGACAAGATTAGCGACGAAGACGTGAAAGATTACATGAAGAAGGCGCAAGTCTTCGCAAAGAAACTTGGACTCCCTGAGCGCTCCACCAACCTACAGGACATCGCACTTGAGACTCTCTTCCAGCATGATTACGACCCGTCAACCGCTCTTCAGGATCTTCCGGACACTGAGCAGGGCGTATTCAAAGAACCCTTGTTGACCCCGGCTGAACAGAAAAAGTTCGAGGAAGGTGTGGCCAAGTATGGCTCTGAACTTCATTTGGTCATGAAGCATGTGAAGACGATGACGCCAGGGGAGGTCGTACGCTATTACTATACGTGGAAGAAGACAGAGCGCGGTCAGCAAGTATGGGGTAGCTTCGCCGGCAGGAAGGGCAAGAAGCACGCGAGGAGGGCCGAAGAAGCTGCCAACAAACTTGCTGACGACGTGGCGGATCACGAGGACGACTCCGCGTTCGACACAGCCAAGGCGGCGGAGAAGAAGCGCAGCTTCATCTGCCAATTCTGCTCCACAACTACGTCTCGCCAGTGGCGGCGGGCTCCAAACGCCTCTTCCGGACTCGTTGGCGACAACGCAAACAAAGGAAATGGGAAAGACAAGGGCAACCAGTATGTCACTGCTCTCTGCCGGCGATGCGCAGAACTGTGGCGTCGATACGGCATTCGTTTTGAGGAGATGGAGGAGGTGGCCAAGAAGGTGGCTCAATCTGGTGGAAGGGCGTGGAAGCGCAAACAAGACGAAGAGCTGTTGAAAGAGCTCCAGGCAGCCCAGGAAATGGGTCTTATGACGCCAGACCGCGACGTTACGCCCATGAGCGGCTCCTTGAATGCTGGCCAGGAGCCTCCGAGGAAGAAGCTGAAGGGAGCCCCTGGTCCCGCCGACAAGGATCAGGACTCGGCATACTCCGACGGTGGCGGCGTTCCAGGGTCCGGTCTCTCTAAGAAGAAGGACAAGTACACCGAGAGCACACCTATACCCGAGATGCCGAAGCCCCGCGTCCTGCCTTGTGCAATTTGCGATCAGATGGAGCCGCTAGGCGAGCAGCACATCTCGTGTCGCGAGTGCCGCTTGACCGTACATCGAAACTGCTACGGCATCATGGACAACCGCATGCAGGGCAAGTGGATATGCGACATGTGCTCGAACGACAAGAACCCCCAGCTCTCGATTGTAAGTTCGCCTAGCCATCCTCGCGCACGGATGTTACTGACATCAACCCAGCAATACAAGTGTGTGCTCTGTCCCGTGGAGCACACCGAACAAGACTTCGTCGAACAGCCGAAACTTACTCACCACAAGAAGAAGATGTCGGAGAAAGATCGCGAGCGTGAGAGGCTGGAAGTGCAACAGGCGCGCAAGGCTGCTGAGTACTACCGCAAGCAGCAGGAAGACTTGAACCGCCCGGTGAACCCCAGAGAGCCTCTCAAACGTACGGCGGACAACAACTGGGTTCACGTTACCTGTGCGGTGTGGACTCCAGAGGTCAAGTTTGGCAACGCCAAGGCTCTCGAGCCGTCCGAGGGCATCCCGTCGATTCCGCGGTCCAGATACGACGAGGTGTGCCAGGCTTGCAACCAACAGGGGGGCGCCTGTGTCTCTTGCCATCAATGCCGTGTGCCATGTAAGATGCCCGGCAACACGTCTGTTACAAGTTTAGACGCTGACCACTCCATCAGACCACGTCGAATGTGCGCGGCAGCAAGGCCATCTACTCGGATTTGATGTCAGCCCTGTGAAAGGGTCTCGTCGAGACCAGTTCAACGTTGTGACCCTGAATGGGGAGACCGGCACAATGTCGGCTGTGCTATGGTGCAAGGACCATATTCCCACCAAGACGATCGCACATCATATGCACGAGATGGTGACCGAGTCTGGGCTGAACGCCCTGCAGTTTTACGTCCAAAACTACAAGCAGGCGGACCTCACTTTGACGGGGACTGTTCGCAAGGCCAACCTAATGATGAACGCCGCCAAGGTGTCCGGAGTCCCGACCCAACCCAGCGGTCCCAGGAGAACATCCGTTGCTGGCACGACTACAACGATTGCGAATGGTGCAGGGCCGCCTGCTCGAAACGGCGAGCCCACCGAGGCAGCAACGAACGCACTGCAGCCTGGAGAAAAGGTATGCATCACTTGCGGCATTGATGTGACGCCCAAGTGGTGGCCGATCGACGATTCGCAGGAGCGGAAACTCACAAATGGCCACCACGGCGTGCTTGGCTCCGAGGCGCGCAAGTTCGTGGAGCAGCGCAAGTTCCAGTGCCATCAGTGCCGCAAGGCGCCTCGTACGTCGAAGTCCTTTGTGCCGCAGCATTCGCCGCCTGTGCCTGAGCCTCCTCGGTCCTCTCACGCGATGCCACCTGCACCGGTCACGGCGGTGCCTCCGCTGCGAAGTCCTCCTGCGCCGCCCTCCGACTATCGTCCGCTGCGATCTGAAATACATTCCTTACTGCATCACCCTACCCCGAATGAGCGGCCGCCACCACCCGCCCCCGTTACCGCTGCGGTGCCGCAGCACATGGACTCGCGACCTCCGGCTGTGACGCATCCATACGGCGCGGCCCCGCACCCTCGGTCATTTAGTGAATGGCCTCACCTATCTCGGCGCCAGCACGGCTCGCCGCCTCGGCATCTCAATGGGGGCCCTCCACCACTTCATGGAGGACCGACGGCGCCGCCTCCGCTGTCGAATCTTACCTCCCTTCGGCCACCGGCAATGACTGCTCCTCCGCCGGTTGCTCCCCTTTCGGTAGGCCACCATCACGCACACGGGTCTCCCGTCTACGGAAATGGCCTACCCCCGTCACCTCGGCGATTGAATGGCCCAGCGCCGCCTGCACCCTACGTCCCTCCGTATCATGCAGCGCCGAGTCATCCTCCCCCACCGCCACCAAATAGGTCACCGAGCCTCAGCAATGGCGTGCCGTCGTCGAGGTACGAGTCATCACCTCACGGGATGCATCCGCATCCTCAAATATCTCCATACCCAGGCTCGCACGGAAGCCCGCCAATGCCAAGAAATGGTCCGCCGCCGACTCTTGAGCCACCCGGATCTGCCGGCTCCATGGCCTCGAGGCCCCCGGAGAGCCGGCCTGCCAGCGGGGCCAGCGCGAGCCCATCGCTGAGGAACTTGTTGTCATGAAGAGTTTGTCTATCTTAAGGGAGCGGGGGTGTTTTAGGGATATGTTCTCCCGCTAAGCGGGAAAGGGACGTCCAAGGATGGAGTTTTGCATCTCACGGTTTGCGCTTATGTTTGATTTGCGGGAGGAGTATTGGAGTTTGCATCATGGGCCCGGGCCACCTCGTCTACGTGGGCCCCCACGTAGGACGCATTTTTTTGTCGGCTCCGGTCAAGCGAAACACGAGGCTTGTGTACAATAGAGGAAGGGCGGTGAGCAAAAGATGGAGTGGCACGTTAGAACGTCCTGGCATTGAAGCTCCGTTCCGCGGGGGCCGTGGAGGGCGTCGTCGTATTTCATCATAATCAATGCAATTCCAAGAGAGAAGGACCTCTAGACTATAAGGCTCGATGACGTGCAAATATTGAACATTCATGACCTGCATTATTGCATGTTCTGGCCGGACGTTGATGCTTTCTCACAGGCATATGCACCTCGTCACTACATGGCATGTCGTCGGATCGATGCAGATGCCATGCGTTGCCCCGGTTTTTAGACCCCTGCGGTCCATCTGCTGGCAGGGTGCGGGAGAGACCAAAAAAGCAACAACTGGCACGCCCACCAACCCATCCACCCCACGGCCCGCAGCCACCTGTCCTGGCCTGGCACCTGTTCCAGGTTTTTGGTGGGGGAGGTGTGACGCTGTGGGTGCGACCCAGCAGTGGCTGAGCTGCCCGCCAGAGGCTGTGCGTCAGCCTGCCTCACGCGGCGCACCGGCGCCAGGCTGTTGTCCGTACGCCCGGTCGGTGTATTAGCTCAGCAGCTTGACGGATCCATCGCCAGCTCACGTCGCCCCAGAGTTGGCTCACTGCGACAAGTCCCGTGGTCCTTCCCGCACGTCAGACGAATAATCAGCCACGACGCAACAATCGCGCAGGCAGCGGGTGTGCTCCTGTGACGGACTCCAGGCCGCGATTCCTTTCATTGCTGCGTTGCATTGTACGGTTCCGCCGTCGACGATTTTGCGTGCTTGCGACGAGGGCGACACGACCAGCTAGCTATCCATCGGCCGACCTGACCGGGAGCTTGCTCAGGAGCTCCATACACGGCGCCACTCGCCTTGACCGCGCTCTCGGTGCGTTTGCGGCTCGCCCTCGACGAGAATTGAAGCAGGTCTTCGTTGTGAGCCGGAGCAACCATGGCACAAATATTCCTCGACCTCTTCTACTCCTTCGGGAACTGCCTCAACTGCTTCCCTGGATCGCCGACTCTCAAGGTCAACAGCCGCAGCTTCAAGATCCTGCGTCTGCTAGGCGAAGTACGTCTTGCTACTGGGACCGTGGCGGTTGCCTGATGAAAATGTCGTGGCGCTAACGTATGTCGCTTGCCAGGGCGGCTTCTCGTACGTCTACCTCGTCGAGGACACCTCGACCCACGAGCTCTTTGCGCTCAAGAAGATCCGATGTCCCTTTGGCGCAGAGTCGGTGCAGCAGGCCATGCGGGAGGTCGACGCCTACCGCCTCTTCGATCACATACCGACCATAATATCGGCCGTCGACCATGCCGTCGCCACTGAGCGCGGCGCCGACGAAGCGACCAAGACCGTCTACGTCCTGCTACCGTACTACCGCCGGGGCAACCTGCAGGACATGATCAACGCCAACATGGTCAACCGCACCGCGTTCCCGGAACGCCACCTCATGATGCTGTTCCTCGGCGTCTGCAAAGCGCTGCGGGCGATGCACGAGTATCGGCCCGGCCCTGCCGAGAGGATGGAGATGGGCAACGAGGAGGACCATCACGCCGACGGGCCCAGCAGCGGCGGCGGCCGGAGGGGTGGCGCCGGGGCTGGCGGCAGCAAGATGGGCACGCGTGGAAAACGCACCGAGGAGGAGGAAGAGCCAGAGCAGGAGCGCCCTCTTATGGAGAACGAGAACCAGATCAGCTCGTCGGGCCCCGGCGGCAAGGTCCAGTCCTACGCTCACCGGGACATCAAACCCGGCAACATCATGATTGACGACGCTGGATCTACACCCATTCTCATGGACCTGGGCTCCGTCGCCCCGTCACCCGTCCCCGTGACGTCGCAATCCCTCGCCCTGCAGATCCAGGACACGGCCGCCGAGCACTCCACCATGCCGTACCGCGCACCAGAACTCTTCGACGTGCGCACGGGGACCGTCATCGACACCAAGACGGACATTTGGTCACTCGGCTGCACCCTCTACGCCTGCTTGGTCGGAAAGTCTCCCTTTGAGATGCGCTCCGACGAGACGGGAGGAACGCTCAGTCTCTGTGTCCTCGGTGGCGACTGGCGCTTCCCGGACGAGTCGCCCGGCGGCGCCAAGCGCGTCAACAGCATCGGCCAGGCCAAGGCGAGGGCGGCCGCTGGAGGTGCAGCGTCAGACGGCGGCCCGGACGGCGCTGGAGGAGCCGGCGCCGGCGGCAGCGCTTCCATCAGCGAGCCGATCCGCGAAATCGTGCGGCGCTGCCTCAAGGTCGAGCCTGCGGAGCGCCCCGACATCAACGAGCTCATCACCATGGTTGAGCACGTCATCGAAGAGCTCCCTGACGGCGGCAGCTGCGGTTCACCGTGAGCGACGAGCAAATGTGGTGTTTTCATCATACGGGGGTTGGACGAGTCCTGTGTATAGGCATGATTTTCATGTGTAACCATCTTTTTGTTTCCTAGCCCGCTTTACTGGACTGTCTGGGTTCTGGCATTGTATTGAGGCAGCGGCGTTTAAAGGGTGCGCAAATCTTTTGTAGCAGTTGAGCTGAGGGGGGGTTTGCCGCCGAGAGAAGTCTCTATGAGGCCCTAATGGTACTCGCTGCAATTATTGTACTTCGTACCTACCCATCCCTCCATACTAAAGCATGAGAAGAGAGAAGCGAAACGATCGCAGGGCATACTAAATTTACATGTATTCTCTTGTGCGATACCCATGCTGCGCACTGATGATGTCTCAGTATGAGCTGATTCCAGGACTCAAAACACTTTGCCAAAAAGGCTTCGCGGTGTTATCCTAAAGCTGGACCTTGTACGTGGCCACCTCAAACGGCCGCAGCCTAATGTCGAAGTCTCCCTCGGCGTGCTTGATCTCCTCCAGCTCGTCCTCGAGAAGGTTCACCTTTGTCACCCGCTTGACGTTGAACTGCGTCTTGATGGTCGCCCGGCTGTGGCCGCCGAGGGACTCGTAGAAGCGCAGGATCACGCTCTTGCCCTTGTTCACGCGGAGGCCCTCGCGCCTGCTGACGTCCTCGTCGTCGTGGCCGCGCTTCACCGTGTCCAGAATCACAGAGTCGGACTCGTCAAGGCTGACGACCTTGACCGGTGCGCCGGTGAGGCTCTCCACAGTTGCCTTGGAGGCAGAGAGTGCCTTGAGCGGGTTGTTGAAGGCGTACGCGGCCTTGACCGTGGCCGATGACAGGGAGCCCTGATGAGGGAAAATGGCCCATCGGATTGAGTGGTGGCCCATGTCTGCGTGCTCGTCTGGGGACTTGGAGGATTTGAGCAGAGACAGGCGCATCGTCTTGCCGGCGGTGGCGAAACCGTACTTGCTGTCGTTGAGAATGGACACGCCGTAGTTGTGCTCCGACAGGTCGGCGAACCTGTGGCAGCAGACCTCAAACTTGGCCATGTCCCAGCTGGTGTTGTAGTGCGTGGGCCGCTTGGTGATGCTGTAGGCCGTCTCGTACGAAGCCTCGGTGTTAACAATATCGACAGGGAACTCGACCTTGAGGAACTTGGAGTTCTCGCGCCAGTCAACCTCGGCCGAGCAGTTGATCTGGGATGGCTGGCCCTTGATCGCGGCCGAGAGGGTAATGTACGATTTGAGGGAGCTTTCCTCGCTGATCTTGATGTCGGTGACCAAGGTGACCTTGTGCGGTTTGTTCTCGTGAACTCTGGTTTCGCCGTACTGCAGGTCGCGCTTCGTCTTGAGGTGATAGACCTCGACATCCCAGGCCTCCCAGTAGAGAGGAATGTCATCGAAAATGACGAACTTGTTCGCCGACCCTCCCTGGTCAATGACCTCGCGGTCGTTGACACGGTCGAAGAGTGACGTAATGGCACCCTGTTTGACGGTGACCCGCAGGTTGTCATTCTCCAGAACGAACTCGTCGTGCTTCTCAGTCACAGTCACAGCGGGCTTGTCCTCTTGCACCTTGAACGTGCGGACGGGCAACATTTGGCCGTCACCACAAGCAATGCCGACCTCCGTCTCGCTGACTTCAACAATCTCCTTGCGATGCCAGGGCAGCGTGTTGACGACGACGGTTTCGGCCAAGGAGCCCTTTTGCACTTCAGAAGCATTATGAGCCTCGTACAGCTCCTTCAGGAGCTTCTTTCCGGTCTTGAACACTTCTGCATAGAGCTGTGGCGCATTAGTATCAAGAATAGTCAAGTTACCATGCGGAACCTCGCGTCACATACCTTGTCCGAATCATCATAGCACATTTCAATGGAACTACCTGGCAGGCAGTCATGGAACTGACACAGTAGAACAGCCTCCCACATGCCGTCAATCTCCTCAGTGGGATACTTGTAGGATTTGTTCCTGATGGACGCGAACGTGGCGAGCTGTTCGATGTCACGAATCATAGCCTCAGTCTTGCGGTTGAAGAGCTTGTTGTTCGCCTGTGTGGTGTAGGTTCCCCTGTGCAGCTCGAAGTACAGCTCGCCGTACCACGTTGGAAGGTCCTTGACCTTGGGTGTCAGGCGGTCGAAGAAATCATCAACGGTGAGGCCGAGCTTAAGCTTCGGAATGCCGCCAATGGTGTTGCTGATACCGGCGCAGCGCCTGAGCTTCTCAAAGTGCTGCCAGGTTGGGCCGCCGCCGCCGTCTCCCTTGCCAAAGACGAGAAGCGACGAGTTATCCACGCGCAGTGTCTTGTGCTGGGAAATGCTTCTCTTAAGATCTCCAAAATTGGCATCGGACGTGTAAGTCTCCGACGGGGGCATGTGGCAGATGACCTGGCTGCCATCAGGGCTCACCCACATGAACGTGGTGTGTGGGAAGTTGTTGATGTTGTTCCAGCTAAGCTTTTGGGTCATGAAGCGATCCATGCCCGCCAAGCGGCAAAGCTGTGGCAGCTGGCTCGAATATCCAAAGGTATCGGGCAGCCAGAAGGTACGGCAACGAGCCCCGAATTCGGCCTCGAAGAATCGCTGCCCGTAGAAGAACTGACGGACAAGGGACTCGCCGCTGGGCATGTTGGTATCATGCTCAACCCAGCTACCGCCGATGGGATGGAACTGGCCCTCGGCGACCTTCTTGCGCACGCGGTCAAAGGCTCGAGGGTAGAACTGCTTGAGCCACTTGAACTGCTGTGCCTGAGAGCAGGCAAAGTGCGCTTCGGGATAGCGGTCCATCAAGTCGCACTGGCTCGACCACGAGCGGCACACCTTGCGCTTGGTCTCCGCCCATGGCCACAGCCAACAGGTGTCAATGTGGCAATGGCCAATGCCGAACACAACTGGCTCCTTGCCGACCTGGTACACCCGGTGCGAATCAACGTCCGGCCCGATGATTTCCTGGGCGAGTTTCCGGCACTCCAGGATGGATTCTTGATCATCGACCTTGAAGGTGTCAATGATCTTCATGGCGACTGTCAAAGCCTGGTTCTGCTCTGCCGAATTCTCGGGGAGCTCACGGGCTGCGTCACCAAGCTCCCACATGTCGAAATGGAGCATGCGAGCAGGCACGTTGACGGCGGCGATGTCGGCGGTGCTGAGGCCGAAGTACTTGTTGGGGTCCGGCGGAGCGTTGGCGTCCTTGCCATTCGGCGCGCATCCAAACATGCCATTGCAAGCCATCTCGATGTAGATGACATGCTCCTTGCCGTCCCGGAAAGACTTGGGGATGATCCACTCAATGCGGTCGCCGCCGCCGGTGAGGCCCTGCAGCGGCATGCCGTCGTCGGACCAGACGAGGCCTTCGTTGTTGGCGTCCCACTCGAAGACCACAAGCTCTTCGTCGACGAGCTCCTTGGGCACGGTGAGGTGAACCCTGAACCAATGGGTGGTCCATGACGGTCCAAAGGCGGCGCCCGTATGAGTCTCCTTGAATTCATGCGACACGGCCTCGTCGAAGCTAGGTCGATCCTGGCCAGGAGCGCTCCAGACGTAGAGCTTCACATGAGGCTTGCCTGAGAACCTGCCATTGTACAGGTTGCTGCGCCACGAGTTAGTCAGGGTGAGCGGCCAGCATGCAATCCAGACACCTACGCGAGCAAGTTGACCTTGCGATATTGCTCCGACCTGTAGAGCAATTCGATGCGATCCTTCAGGATGCTCGTCTTGGGCACACCAACAGGCTCGTTGACAAAGACAGGGTAGGAGCTCTGGCTCCTCAATTCTCCTCCGCCGCCCATGTTGCACGGGTCCAAGTTGGTTCCTTAGGCTGTAGGTGCTGACGAGCCGGATCTGGGAGGTTCAGTACCCGGCGATGAAGAACGTGCTTTGGCCAGGCCAGGAGTGGGAGGCGGTGGGAGATGAGAGCAGATATGAGCCGGGAAGCAGATGTGGCGGGTCAGCAGGTGAAGAAGCGTGGTGTTTGCGCAGAGGGTAGGGATGCCGGTCCACAAGGAATGGAGGGTCGCAGAGGCTGCCGTTGCAGTGCAGGTCCAGAGCTGCACGAGTGGTCACGGTGAGCCTTCGATGACGGACAGAAGGATGACGGGAGGGGAGATGAGGGGGGATTCTTATATGAGGTACTGAAAGCTCGGGAGCTGTAGGTAGCTTGCAGGTGGTGGGTGCGTGGGGTGATTTGGCGCCGCTCGCGAGGAGACGACAGGTTGCAGACAGGCAAAGGCTGACTGAGCAACGCAATGGCAGGCGCAGCAGCCAAGGAAGGCCGGGCGGGCTGCCGTGGTGCTACAGTGCATCACTGCGAAATCCAGGACTCTTTTGCCTGTCGGTGTACTGTAACCCGCATTCCTGTGCGACAGCGTTGAGACGCCGCCAAGCTCTGGGTACCGGTGTGGGGGGCGCCCACTGCTTCCAGCGTGTTTTCGGGTGGTCCAGCGACCGATTCTACCCCGCATGCCGACTTGCCGGCCCTGAGCGGATCTCGCGAGCGGGCGGGGGCGTGGTCGAGCCACCACCCATGATCCCACTGTGGTGCCAAAAGGCAGTCCCAGGGTAGGACCAGGGCAGTCAGGACGGCGGTGCAAGTGACCTCTACCCGCTGCAGGCAGCCTCGGGCGCCGAGGTATCGCAGGTGAACCCATGGCGGCGAAGTGTGAAAACTCACGATGAATGCAACGTCGACATACTCCATACTTTGTGTAACGACGTCGCGTTCATGGATGCCGCAGAGGCTGTCCGGAGCGTCAACATCACGAGACAGCTGACAGCACGCGGCCAACTGGCTCCACACTGCGCGGAATACCTAAGCTCGTAAAACGTAGGCGTTGCGTGCATTAGCCAGCGCAAGGCGGACTATATCGTGGACTTCATCCGGCCAGGCCGTTTGGTTGGGATCTTTGTGGCAATGGCTACGGCGACAAAGGGGCTCCAGGGGAATACACTTGAGGTGAGACTGCTGCCTCAGTTCCGCACCTCTCGTCGTACAAAGCACCACGCAGCCAAAACACCAAAAGCGCCTGGGACGAGGTACCAGCAAACGGCAGCGTGGTCGAAAACTGATCCCTCTCAACTTGCATGGGAGCCAAACGGAAATTTAAATTCCCATGGACTGCCCCAGAAGTCAAAACTGGACAAGGCCACGAAGACAATCTCGCCGTCGCAGCGTGGTTTACTCGTCCGAGTGGCATTCAGCGGTGGGGGCGTCTCCGCGTGTCGGTAGCATAATGGGCGGGTCTGCACCCAGTCGAAGGCACCCGGAAACGGGTCCTCGATGGATGTTCGACAGGGCACACAAACTTTGGCCATGCCGGCTCGTGCTGGTCACGAGCCTGCGCAGACGCTGCGGGTGCCGGTCGCACAATGAATTCTGCGCATGTTCTAGGCGTGGATTTTGCCGTGGTGTCTGGTAGTACATGCGCCCATAGCTCGGCGATCGCACTGAGCACACGGAGCAGGTGCAGTCGACAGCCGCGAGACCGACAACAAAGCAGGTCCCACAGGCTGTGACTGTGACATCGGCAACCGGCAGCGGCGGAGGGGGAGCAGCACAGACGGGAACGCGGGGCGCCGTCCGGGAAGACGCCAGCGCCGAAATCGAGCGACAAGATGGTGGGTGGACGACCCCTGTGTGGTCACTCCAGCAGCCGCATTAGTGCAGGACGAATGGGTACGTAGACCCTGTTCCACCTGCGGGGGGGGGGGACTGCCACAGAGTGCAGTCGCTGCCCCTCAAGCCCCCGTCTCGCGGGCGGTCGGGCAGAGCACGGACATGGAATCCATCTGTGTCTTCGTGGACGGATCTCCGCGTGCTGGAGGTACCTCCGCGGCCAAAGGTATAGCTCCGCCGTCCGCGCAAACAGGAGGCACCCAACAGATCCGACGCCCGGGTGAGGATGTCCTGGGCTCTTGAAGCGTTGGAAGGTTGGCTGGCCTTTGCCATCAAGTGAAATACGGCCACCTTTAAACGCAGCGCCATGACCGGCAAACGAGACAAACTCGGCATCAAGTTCATGATGTATCTGGCAAGGACGGCAACAGAGTGGCAGAAGGTTACAATGGGCCATGATCTTGTTACCTCCTCACGGGTGGCCAAGTCCGCTGGAGCAGCCACGCAAGGATTGCGTTGCCCTAATACACCGTGTCCCGTCCTACGGCAAGGGTTCATGCAGTACTAGGTATTAAGCCCGTGGCTCTGCGGCACAGACGGTAGCCTTTGCCAAGCTTCACATATCACGGCACCTACATTCCTGAGGCTGCTTTCACCCACGGCGTGACCACGCCGCATGACATGCTGTTGCACTACGGCACTACTACCCTGGGTGGTTCGCCTTCTTCTGCCAAGTACGTATGCACAATACCTGATGCAGCCGTCCGGGGCACACGCGGAAAGTTGAAAATCCCAGCTGAGCGACCCAGAGGTTGAAACGACTTGTTAAAGCCGATCCGCGTGGCTATGTCGTACGATTCGTACCGCAAAGTTCGCTCTGGGCGATGTTGGCCGTGTCGCCTGTGTGCCCATTTGTCTTCAAAGTGTAAGAACTGCCCCTCTAGCAATCAAGAGGTTGCTTTGGGACACAGACATGCACTGGAAACCAAAGACGTACTTTGGAACCATTGAGTCGTAAATATGCGCTGGACATATCTCATCGTCGAGCCCAGATGAGAGCTGGGCTCTGTGTACTTCTACGGCCATCAATTGACCCTGTTCGCCAAAGGCGTGGCAGGGGCAATGGTGGGGCCAACTGGAATCGGTACCTGCCTGTGGCCCTCGCTGTGCGAATTGCTTCCAGGCTGTACTCCGTACCTGCAGCGTCGTCCAATGCAAGCCGACCACGAAAACCCAGCAATCTCCGCCAACCGCTATTCATCTCCCGCTCAGCAACCGGTAGCATCATATGAGCGTGGTCCATGTTCCGACTCCGTCGTCTCCAGAGCCGGCATTTGATCCAACTCTGTGCGAGCCCCACGGCGACAATCGGCGTCACCTCTTTGTTGGTCTGCCCCGGATTCCAAGATGTCCCCTTTCAGCCTACACCCAGCAGGCGACAGCTGAGGGGGAAGAAGACGAAGACGACAGTCAAGCTGGCAGACCTGCCTCAGGGCGCGATCCACGTTGAGCCGACGCGGTCGCACGAGGACGACCATGGCCCAGCCTATCCAACCGTGGTGCTCCAAGCGCGGCGCAACATGCAAAAGTTCGCCAACTGCGTGCTGCTCACCCGCGTGGGCGGCTTCTACGAATTGTACTTTGAGCACGCAGAGGAGTTTGCGCCGCTTCTGAATCTCAAGCTGGCCTCCAAGAAGACAAGTGCAGGGCCCGTACCCATGGTAAGTTGACAGCTGGACACGATCGTGCGGCTCATCTAACCATACCCTCAGGCGGGCTTCCCTTTCTTTCAACTGGATCGATACCTCAAGGTGCTCGTCCAGGATCTCAACCGCTACGTGGCCATAGCCGAGGAGTTCCCCAACGACGCGGCCGACAAGGTCAAGTCGGGCGGCTTGATGCATGACAGAAGGGTAGCCCGGATCATTACCCCGGGCACACTGATAGATGAGAACTTCATCGACCCTTACTCCAACAACTATGTGATGGCAATCCACGTCTGCAAACCTCCAACAGAGCCTGAGAGCCCGGCTGTGAAAGAAGGTCATGGTGTCGTTGTTGCACCTTCAGTGTCTAGCGCTACATCCCTAGGCATTGCCTGGCTAGATCTTTCCACGGGTCATTTCTTCACACAGTCTTCAGATCTGGCTTCACTATCCTCAATACTGTCAAGAGTCGGCCCCCGCGAAGTAGTCCTTGACCAGGACTTCGAGTCTCAAAAGGACCACGACATCTTCTCCGTCTTGGCTGAAGACCGACACCTTGTCACATATTCCCCTCAAGGCGAACTGCAAGATGTTACGGACTGGACGCCGCTTCTCGAGGCGGAGGTACCAGAGAACATGAGGCGAACATTCACCGAGGAAGAAATGTTTGCCGGCACTCTAGTGCTCAATTACGTCAAAGATCGGCTGCAGGGCATGGCAATGAAGCTCCAGCCACCGTTACGGCACGAGAGCATGCAAATCATGAACATTGACAAAAACAGCCTGCGAGCTTTGGAGGTGAAGCAAACGATTCGTGACGGTTTCTTTCGCGGCAGCCTTCTCCATGCTATCCGGCGAACTGTCACAAAGAGCGGAGCTCGACTTCTCAACGAGTGGCTTAGCTCACCGTCCACATCTCTGGAAGTCATCAACAAGAGGCAGGATCTGGTGGCTCGGTTCATTACTGATGGCGAGCTCCGTGACACGCTTGTTGTGCTGCTACGAAGAAGCCACGACTCTCAGCGACTCGTTCAGAAATTTGCCCTTGGGAGAGGCGACGCGGACGATTTGTTGGCCTTGGCCAGCACTATCCGGGCCACTGAGGGTATAGTGGACTTGCTGAAGCAAGCAGTCGCAGCATATACCGAACAGCCAGGAGAGGACTGCATTGATGCTCTAACTTCTCGGATCGACCTTTCGAAACCTTCGAAGCTTGCTCAACGAATTAGAGACGCCATAGATGAGGAGGGCATAGTCCATCAGCACGAGGTCGAAGATTCCGAAACCAGCCAGATAATGGCCCTCGCACAGGACATTGTGTCCTCTGAGGGTTCACATGCGGATGCCTCCTCGCTGCCCAAAGGGAAGAAAAAGCGCCCTACCACCATAAGAGAGTACTACGCCGAAGACAACGATGCTTGGATCATGAAACCAGCCGCCAGCACCACGTTGAAGAAACTACATTCTCAGCTTTCTTCGCTGTTGGAGGAAAGAGACGTGCTTGGAGAGACTTTGCGAAAACGTCTTGGTGCCTCAAGCCTCACTCTCAAATGGACGCCTGGACTGGGCCACATTGCCCACATCAAGGGCAAGGATACGAAAAGTCTCACAGACATCAAAGCGCTCTCTGCCAGTCGTTCCACCCGCTCCTTCCACCTTCCTGAGTGGACAGCGCTCGGGCAGCGCCTCGACCAGGCTCGGTTCCAGATCAGGCGCGAGGAGCAGCGTGTATTCCAGTCGCTACGAGAGCAGGTGGTCCTGAATCTTGTGAAGCTGCGCCGGAATGCGGCCGTGTTGGACGAGCTTGACATTGCCACGTCCTTTGCAAAACTTGCAGAGGAGCAGAACCTGGTCCGACCGCGACTGAACAACTCAACTTGCCATACCATCATCGGAGGACGGCACCCAACGGTGGAGGGTGGCCTGCTCGAACAGGGGCGGACCTTTGTTCGAAACGATTGCGTCGTCGGCTCAGCCAGTGATGGCTTGATATGGCTCATCACGGGCCCAAACATGGCGGGCAAGAGCACCTTTCTCCGCCAAAACGCCCTGATCACAATACTCGCCCAAATAGGCTGCTATGTGCCAGCATCATACGCTGAACTGGGTATCGTCGACGCCATCTTCAGCCGGGTTGGATCAGCGGACAACCTGTATCGCGACCAGAGCACTTTCATGGTTGAGATGCTTGAGACGGCGCAGATCCTCAAGCAAGCTACCTCACGATCGTTCGTCATCATGGACGAGATCGGTAGAGGCACTACTCCAGAAGACGGAACGGCCGTCTCATATGCCTGCCTGCATCACCTCGCTACCGTCAACCAGTGCAGGACGCTCTTTGCGACGCACTTCCACGAAGTCGCCGATCTGGCTGCTGCCGACGGCCTGTGTGGGCCCAATCGCAGTGTTGTACACACATACTGCACAGACGTGCAGGAAGATGGCTCGGGCGGATTTGTCTACGTGCACAGGCTACGGAAGGGCATTAACCGGCAGAGTCACGCGCTCAAGGTGGCCAAACTGGCTGGATTGCCTCAACAGGCTATCGACATGGCTGAGAAAGTTCTGGATAGAACAGCTTCGCGACCAATGTAGCGCTACACAGTCACGGAGGGGCATGAGTACGGTTGCAGTACGCAAGGGAATCCGTGAGACGCGCCTAGATCTTTTGCAAATTAGCCATGATATCCCAAAAAGGCAAATGCGACATGACAGAAGGCAACATAGGGTTCAGTCATACGGTGTTGTGTATGTGTCAACAGGAGAATTCAGGGTTAAAAAGCTCTTGAATACAGTAATATAATCATAGAAGTGCCAAGGGACAGAAGAAATGGGAGAACCAACCTTTTAGCGACGACAGGGGTGTCGATTTGTCCGGGTAAAGGTCACGTCACAATCATGAGGCGGTCGACTTCGAAGGCATAGCTTTCATCAATTCTCGTGCCATGCGACCGCTGCAGTGGCCGAATCGACGTACAGTCGATCTATGTACCCGTTTCAGATCCATTTGTTGTGAACCTAGCCGAAAGGTTGAAAGCCCGCCCAACTCCGTCGTGATGCAAAGGCATTTAGTCGCTGCAAAATCAGTTAGCATTTCGCCCAAAGCAAAGCGGCACTGCAAGGAGGCATACAAGAGACCGCCGAAGCCCTCATCCTCCTCCTCGGACTCCTCCTTCTCCTCCTCAGCGGGCTTGGCAGCGTCACCGCCGGTGGCGGCGGCAGCGACAGGAGCGGCCGAGGCGTACGCATCGGGGTTGGCGATGCGGTCCTTGAGCTCCTCGATCTCGGGCCAGCTGTACTCGGTCTCGATGGCGACGGCCAGGACCTTCTTGTACGAGTTGACAAGAGAGTGCATGACCGAGGGCAGCGTGGGGAAGTTGAGGGCCAGGGAGATGGTGGCAATGGTGGTGATGGCCTTGGCCAGGACAGCAAGGAGCTGCTCCTCACCGATGTCAAGAATCTCGGCGGGGAAGGTCTGGCCCTGGTCGTAGACCTGCGCAATACCCATACCGTAGGTGAAGGGCGAGATGTTGAGCATGTTGAGCAGGGTGGCCTCGGAGGGGCCGACCTTGGTGCCAGCCTCGACGAGCTTCAGGTCGGTGGTAATTTCAATGGTACCACGGGCGATCTTGGTCGGGACCTGGAGGGCCTGGAAGAAAGAGGTCTTGCCGGGCTCCATGCCAGTGTTTCCAGCGGGAACCCACACATCGACCGGGGCGAGGGCACCGGCACGGGCGGGAGCGGCGACACGGTTGGACAGGACGACGTCGCGAACCTCCTTAAGGTCCTCGTTGGTGAAGACGAAACCGACGTTGCCCTTGACGTGAGGCAGGAGCTTCTCGTACTCGGGGGTGTCGAGAACGAAGGTCTTGAGGGCACGGCGAACCTGCGAAGGGGGAGCATAGTCAGCACTTCAATTCGACCAAGCGACAAGTCGCATGCCCGTTGCGGGTGTCGTGAGTTCGTACCATGGTGTTCTTGCCCATCAGGACAACGCCCTTGCCGCGGAGGGCATGGCGGATCTCGTGCATCTGCTGGGACGAGACATTGTCGATTTCGACGATGAAGATGGACTTGTACTCCTCCAACAAGCCCTTGAGCTTGTCGAAGTAGCCAGCCTTGTTCGCAGACTTGCCCCCCATATCTTCTTATTTATGAAGGCAGGATGTTTAAGGGCAAGGGATCGGGTGTATTCGTGGGTATATTTCGCGTGAAGTTGTCGCGAAATGTTGCAGAGGGCCGAAATTTCGGATTTTGGCCCGCGCGACAAAATGTGTGTTGCAGCACCCGCTGCCGCTTAGGGCTTGAATTGGCTAAGCCTATTTCGGTGTGGTGGGGGCCGGGTGGATCCCCGAGTCGACCTCATGAGGTACATCCGAGATGTATCTTTTTTTTCTGCGCTGCTTGTGAAGTTGTGAGCCTTTGAGAGCTTCGGTTTCATGAATCCCGCCATTCGTCGCCTCAAATACGATAATTCATCATAAAAGCGTCGCATTCGAACTTTGTGACGCATTCAACTACACCTGACATGACGAAGATACCGTACAACCGCGTGCACGTGCGCGGCGATGTGCTGTTCACTGCTCGAGGTGGCAACATCCACTCATTCAGCCTCCTCGACGGCAGTCATATCTCAGCATGGCAACACCCAGATGTGGCCAAAGTCGCAGAAGCAATGAAGGCGATTGCAGATGCTCAGAAAGCGGGGGAGGCAGAGGAGACGCAAGGACAGATCCAGGGCACCGAAGAGAGTGAGCCGCCTGCGAAGAGGCAGAAGCGTGAGGGAGATGAAGGTGCTGGTGCTGATGATGCTCCTGCGCAAAAAGAGGACGTTGTGGTTCCTGGCGATGCGCCGAAAGAACACAGCAAGAAGAAGGGCAAAGGTGGGAAGGGAAACGCTTCCGCGAAAAAACAAGTGGCGCGGGTGCCCGATCGACCGGTCATAACCCTTCTCACCAGCACAACCGATGGCCAACACGTATTGGCCGTCTCCGGGCACGACAAGGTCATATGGGTGTTCGAGCACGATGGCCAAGGAGGCCTTTCATTGCTCAATCAAAGGTGGTGAACCACACTGGGATACAACATTCCGAGACTAACACCGCTGTAGGACCATGCCCAAGCGGCCATGCGCCATTGCTATCGCGCCCGACGCGCAAATCATCTGCGCCGACAAGTTTGGCGATGTCTACGCCCTTCCTCTCATTATGACTGAACGCTCGCCCTCTTCAGGGGCGGGTCGAGTATCTACTTCGACACCAGCAAAGAAGTCAAGCGAGCCCGCGGCAAACACATTCACCGTTCATTCGCAGCGCAACCTCGAAGCGCTTGAGAACCAGAGGAAGCAGTTGGAACTCCAACGGCAAAAGGCCGCTGAAAAGGAAGAGGGTCCCGACTTTGATTTGACGCTGCTGCTCGGGCACGTCTCCATGCTTACGTCGCTGGTGTTGGCGGAAAGCGATGGTAGGAGATACATTGTGACGAGCGACCGAGACGAGCACATCCGGGTCTCTCGTTATATCCCTCAGGCACATGTCATCGAGGGCTTCTGCCTAGGACACAAGGAGTTCGTCAGCGAGGTTGCGATCCCTGCCTCGCGGGGCGACATTCTGATCTCCGGTGGCGGTGACGAAGAGCTCTTCGTATGGGATTGGAAAGCTGGAAAGCTTCTGTCCAAGGCCAGCATACTCTCCCTCGCTCGAGAGATTGCCCCAGACACGTCAAAAGTGGCTGTGACGGGCATCTGCTCTTTGACCTACCCGTCCGAGTCAGGAGACCTGACCTATGTCTTGGTTATTTGCGAGCAGTGAGTCGTTAATATTCACCCGAGGGTACGTATTCATCAAGCTAACATCAGTCTTAGGATCAAAGCCATCTTCACTTGGCAACTTACTCCGGACAACATCCTCAACCACCCGGGCGTCATCCAGCTGCCTGCAAACCCTTTGCAGCTAGCGGTAGCTAATGCCGAACCCAACAGCAACACACTCCCGAAGATCATCGTCGCTGCGGACCCGGGGCAGGCATCCGAAGCCAAGAGCTTGCAGATTTTCGCACTTGCAATGAGCGAGGGCCGACTGTCTGTGGCCAAGGAGCTGCCTGTGCACGATGACAAGTTGGAGAGCAGTGCTGCGGAGGCATCTGATAAGGAGATTCACAATTTGCTGTATACGGTTGAGAATCTGAGGAAGCAAACTGGCGGAACGGATGGCGAGGCTGGGGAAGACGAGCCCGAGGCAGATGTTGAAGGGGATATCCCCGCCAAAGAAGCTTAGAAACATGCGCAGGCGACCCTCGGCTCATGGAGTAACTGAGCGCCTGATGGGATAATGTATAGATGCAGGCATTCTGTCCGAATTCTTCGCAAGCCGCTCAGACAATCATTGCAAGTAAATCATCATGTTCGTACGTCTAGGACTGCGATACAACAAACTCATCGAATCGTCTATATCCTCTAAACGCCAACCAGCCCGGTAAATATGCTTGAAGCCTCCTCTTCGAGACGCAAGTTAACCAAGGTCAGATGCGACCTTTGGCCCCGCCTCGATTCCTCGCTGCCCGAAAATATGAAAGATACGACTCAGCTCGCCGCTTGTGGTATTAGCGAAGTCATTCCGTTACTGAAGGCGCCGCGAATGGTCTTGTCGCCATCTGCGCTTTCTCGACTCGGAAAGTCAGGCACGCAGAGAGGGGGTTTTCGACCCCAATGCGGCCCACCATGGCGTTCAAGGACGCTACACCCTCACGCCACTAATGCACTTTTGTTTCGAAACATGCGCTGCGGGAGGTTTACTGGGAAGCGCACTGCACGCGCTCGGCGCCAGGATGGCCGTCCTCATCCTCGTCCTCACCCATGCCGGGGCTGCCAAAGACCCGGCTCTGGGTCTGTGTATCCATATCCTCGAGATCAGCCGGTTCGGTCATGGCGTCAGCGGGCGGAACATTCTGGACGGATGGTGAGGGCAACAGCTTCCGCAGAGCCTCGAAAGCAGTGGGATCCTCCGTCCAGTGCTTTTCCGGGAACTTGACGTTGAAATGGATGTACATGTTGCCGAAGTCGTGGTGACGGGGAGAGGGCATGCCCTGGCCGCGGACCATCTTGACAGCGTCTGTGAAATGTCAGTAAGCGGGCGTCACTACAAGACAGCGACAACACGTACCTTGTGCAATGGCCTCGCCGGGCAGGATGTCGATGCTGAGCCACCGGTCGTCAAGGTGCTCGATGAAGATGGTTCCACCAGCCAAGGCCGTCACCAGCTCGATCTCGCACTTGTAAAGAAGGTCGTCCTCCTTTCGCGTAAATCGAGGGTGCGGCTTCTGTTCAATCTCGAAGACGACATCACCGGCCTGGACACCGGGAGCCTGGTCGCCCTCGCCGCGGAACTCGACCTTGGTGCCGCTGCGAACGCCTTTGTCGACGTGGACGTGCAGGACCTTCCTGTCGACGATGGTCTTCTTGCCGTTGCACTGCTTGCAGCGATCCTTCTCCTTGATGATCTCGCCCTCGCCGTTGCAGTCAGGGCAGACGGTCTGGAAGCGCTGAATCATGGGCCCCATCTGGCGCATCATCGTCTTCATGCCATGGCCGTCACAGCCGGGACACCGCTTGACGGAACCCTCCTTGCCGCCGACGCCTTCGCACTTCGGGCAGATGATGGAGCGTTGCAGAGCCAGCTTAGAGATCTTGCCGCGGTAGATGTCCTCCAGCGAAACCTTGTGGGTGTGATGAATGGTCCGCGCCTTGGGGGGTCCGCGGTTGTTCATGCCGCCGAACATACCGCCCATGCCTCCAAAGCCACCACCGCCGAAAAACTGCGCGAACAGGTCCTCGGCAGCCATGCCACCGCCGCCCGCGCCTCCCTCGAGGCCGGCCTCGCCATATTGGTCGTACAGTTGTCGCTTCTGGGGATCAGAGAGGATCTCGTACGCGTGGGAAACCTCTTTGAACTTCTCTTCGGCACCGGGGTTGTGCGCGTTCTTGTCTACGACGGGAGTTAGCAAAGCACGCACGGCACAATCAAACACGAGAACCTACCAGGATGGTACTTGAGGGCGTTCATCTTGTACGCCTTCTTCAACTCCTGCTCGGTGGCTCCAGGAGCGACCTGGTGGGCATGTTAGTATTGTCTCCAACAACGTGGCAGAGGGCCGAGGCAAACATACACCGAGGGTGTCGTAGAATTTGGTCTCCTTAACCATGATGTCTGAACTCGCAAGCGACTACCTGAAGGTGATAATACTTCGATCCGCGATGCAATCGGCGCCAAGAGCGGAACAGAGGGAGAGAGGTGGTGGTGTCGGCAAAGATGGGAAGTATTCGTCGCTGCAGTGACGGGATTAGTCAGGCTGGGAGAAAGTGAGGAAGCGAAGTGGAAATGTCGAGCGGGACGAGGGAAGCTTCCAGGCGACGCAGGCGGCAAAGAGAAACTCCTTGGCCCTGCTGGCGCATGGACGCCCCGGTGGCGACGAGAGCGCGGGAATGTGCATCGTACCTATTGGCGAACAAATTCGTTTGTCGAGACGCAGCAACCAACCCTATCGTCAGGGAGGGCCTTGAAAGGGCAGCGGGGCGAGAATGAGAAATTTGCGAAGGGGACGCGCTGATGCGAACTTCGTCCAAAATCCTTTGCACGAGGCCTTTCGGTAGATGCGCGCTTCGCGTTGGCTCTGGCGATTTCTGGTCCAGGCGAAAAGAGGGAGGGGAGTGCGTTCAAGTCGACCTGAACTTTGCGTCGTCGGAAACAAGAGGCTGGCGCGGTGCTGGAGAGCGGGCGTTCCTGGGAGAGTTAAAAACCGGAGGGCAGGCTGCAGGGGTCGCCCCAAGGCTGGAGGCGCCTCATGGAAGTGTATCGAAGAATGTCGACTCTGTGGCGGTGCAGCTAATGCACAACATGTAGGTCGACGACAACGGAGAGCCCGAGTCAGCAAAACCATGGTTTTAAGGGCAAAATAAAGGGCCATAGCTCACTGCGACTTGACTTTTAGATGTGGCTCATTTTTGTGAGACCGTGCAAGTCAACTTGTGCGTGTGCTTTGCGCCGTCTTTGCCTTCCGGATTGGAGACAGCAAGTATCTTCCTAACGTCCCTACCGTCGCGGCGACGGTCGGGTTTCTATGAGCCCCACTCGATGACGCCCGAGGCTCCAGCTATTCATAGCGTCCCTGAGGAATCCAGGGTCTTCATTCGCCAGGAACCTGTCAAGCGTGAGGAAGGGGACTGTCCCGAAAGGACAGGCCGCCGAGCCACAATTCTTCAGCCCACCTGTCGTATCACATCATTTGAAAGATATCGGTTTCGGAATCGTCAAGAAGCCTCCTTTGATGTTCCTTGCCGTCGCACACCCTCTGGCCGAGAGCTTCTGCATACATACGTATACACGCTGCGAGTCGGCGCATCTCTGGGCGTAAGATTTGGTGTTGCAGCGCTTGCAAGGACAGAGGCATCACCACAGGGGAGAGGCCAACGGAACAGAGGCTGCGCCTGCAGGCGGCGTCCTCCTGAGGCGGTAGACCCAATCGCGAACGACCGGAAGGTCATTAATCGAAATGAGAATGTATCTGATGGTATCACTAACAATGCTCCAAGTCAAGCAATACCCCGAAGAAACACACATGGCAACGCGTCGTTAGACGTCATCGTCTCGCCGTCATACACCGAGCACAGCTCTTCGTGTCATAAGCCCCTTTCCTCCCGACAGCGACCCACGTACATGCAGAGGGCGACGCTCCTAGAAAGCGTCCTCAAATGGACAGTCAACGCTGTCATGGCCGTCTCGCTCGCACACCGCGCACCACTTCTCAGGGTCCATCACGCCACTCTCTTTCCCAGCTACTGGCCCCGACTCCATAGGGTTAGGCAAGATTTTGACCGGCGGAGTTGCTGCCGCCAGACTAGGCGCCTTGGACTTGGCAGGGGAGAGGGGCGCCGGGAGCGCATCGTCAGCACCAAGAGGAGCTTGAGGCTTCAGCCCATCCCCCACGATGCCGTTGCTGGTCTTGAACTCGCTCGCGGTCTTAACAGCCTCGGGGTCGAACATGTTGGTGCAAGTGAGGATGTCATGGCCACTCGTCTCACAGATCTCGCACCAGAGAGTGCTAGTCTCCGTGGCGGTCGAGTAGGTGTCGCTCTCATGCATCGTGTCCAGCGTGCTGCCTCTCTTGTGCGTGGCTTGGGGTGATCGCGGCTCGTGGGTTCGGACTGGAATCACCGTGTCCCGCGAGTCTCTCAGCGACGAGCGCTGATTAGACATGGGATTCGCTAGGCCGCCAGCGCCGCCACGTAGCACGTCGAGCTCCTGCTCCAGCTCTTCTTCCTTGATAGCCTTCTGCTCCAGGAGCGCTTGCAACTCCGTGATTTGGCGCTCCAGATTATCCCGGGTAATGTTGTGATCGGCTGAGTCGTGGGAGGTGGGCCGGGCTGGTCCATCGCCGCCCGGGATGGAGTCTCGGCTGAGAGAGTGAATGATAGCCTTGAGACCACGGATCTCATCTTCCTTCTGCTCCAGCTCCTTCGAGATGGCAGCAGCATCCCCGTTCGTGCTACCACCGAGCCCACCCTTGTCGCGTTCACGTCGCAGCTCAGTCCGAGTTCTCTCCACTTCTCCTCGCAGGAACTCGGCCTCTCCGCGTGCCTCGGCTTCGCCGCGACGGGCGTCCTCCAAGCCCTCTTCGAGCTCCTGCACGAGCTCCTCCAACTGTTTCAGCTGACTCGCCACCGAGTCAACGTCCAGATTCCTAGATTCCAGCTCGTGGAGTTCAGCCATGAGTTCCTCTATCCGTTTCTCGTACACCCTTTCTGTCTCGGTGCTAGCCATTTCGAGTGTGTCAATAGTGCTTCGAAAGTCGGCGCGATGGGCGTCAAATTCTGCGGTGAGGATCGCGATCTTTTCGTTCTTCTCGCGTAGCATGTGCCGAAGCTGCGCCGAGTCCTTGTCGTCGATGCTGTTACGCCGTGGCCTGGGTCCTTCTGGGTTCTCAATGAGCCCTTGCAGTTCAGTCAAGCTGCTCTCCATCTCAGCCAAGGTGGATGACTGGTCCCTGAGCTGTCGGTCACGATCCTCGAGCTGCGAACGCAAGCGGTCTATTTCCTCCTCCTGCGCCGCAGCGGCGCGCGACGCTGGGCGTTGCAACTTCAGGTTGAATGAGGAGATTGAGCCGGAGCTACCGTTGGTCTTCGTTCGCTGTAGGCCAGTCGGTGTCGCATCGTCGTCAAGCCCGTGAACAGAGCCCAGGGCAGACGCGCTGCGAGGGCCAATGTTGGGCTTGACTTCGAGGGCTGGCAGCCTTTTGCTAGGATCTCCGGCTGTGCCGCGAACGCTTTGAGCAAACTTGTTCGTCGGGCTCCCATACCTTGAGGGCACCCTGGCAGGTGTCCCTATTGATGGCCGGGGTCCTGGTGTCATCTGCATCCGTCGAGCAGGAGAGTCAGGGCGAGGCAGTGACGTGCGCGGCTTCTTGAGTTGCGGGCTGGCAGCCCTGACGCCAGGGCCGACGGAAGCGCTGAATTTTGGCAGGCTGGGAGTCGGAGGCGTAAAGGACGTCGCCGGAGTTCCATTCCTCAGACCGTTCGCGCTCGGTGTTGCCGGATATGAGGTCGTGGGTGCGCCGCGTCGGGCCGTTTTGGTGAGGGGGACGAAGATGCCGGCACCGGGCGCGATTGTCGCGAAGTACGAAATCCTGTGGAATATGGATCAGCATCCGTCCACAGGAAGGTCAGGAAAAGGTCGAGGGGGTAGTGCGGGCTTGTACGCACCCATCCACATCGCCGCTGTTCTTGCCCCTGGCCGCAAAATCAGAGTGCAGCTCTACCCCAGCAAAGGTTCCCTTTTTCCCTTGGACACTGCCAATAAAGCGCACAACGCCGTGCATACCGCCAGGCACGTCGACCGTGTCGCCGACGGCGAGGTCTTCGGCCGAGAGCCGTCCCGGGCTCTGAGGGACCATGCTGCGCGTTGCGTCGCTTAAAACAGAGTCGAGGGCGTAGCTCTCACTGACATCGGGGATGCTGGCGAGCGAGCTAGGAGTGAGAGCCGCGAGGGAAGTCTTGCGCGACAAAGCTAGGCCGGGGGGTACGAGTCTCGACTGAGCAACGTAGAGGGCGTTGAGGTCGGGCGTGGATGCTGAACCCGCAGGCTTGCGCAAGGAGCGTGCGAAAGGTGGCCTCGCGCTGCCGATATTATGATTATGTATCGCAGTGGTGGTGGTAGCGGTGGCTGTTGGCGCCATTGCGTCGGGCGTCGGGCTGCGGGCGGGAGGGCAGGTCCCAGGTTTGCGGGCGAGATTTCGGGGCTAGCTTGGCCTTTGGGGGCGAACGGGCGCGGCGCTCGTTTGTTTACGCGCAATGGGCCATGAAAAACGGTCGGCTCAGGTACCTACCGCTATCAGGTGAGCGTCCAGGGGCGGGAGGGGCCGGCCAGCGCTCTAGCTTGTCATACAACCTCTCTCTGCCGGGGCAGCGGAAGGAGACGGGGAGAGAGAAAAGAACACAGGCCCGATTCGAAGCACAGATATGCGTCCAGGCACGGTGCAGGAACAGAGAGCAGCGAGCCTGGCCCTCGATGGCTCCCCACAGCGGGCACAAGGATAATATATGACCGAATAAGACTTGCAGCACGCGGTGAGTGACGCTGCGCGGCGGCTCACACCACCTGGACGGGGAGTGAAGGGAGAGCCGCTCGGGAATGGTATGGAAGGGATGAGGGACCCACGCGTTGGGGGACGGGCAGCCCGAAAGGGAACGAAAGTCGGTGGAAGGGAAAAGAGAAGGAAAGACAGAATCCTCCGGTTGGGGATCCTATTCTCCGATTGCGGTCAAGGAAGAAGAAAGGAACCTCTTGTTGTCACTTGTCGCGCGGCAAGCGGTCTCGTTGCCCCGTCGCCGACCTGCAGCAGCAGCAGCTTCGTCACCGCCCTGCAGCACGCTGGGGCGCTTCCGCAGGCGTGGTACGAAGCACTGCAGGCCCTCATGCAGCCCAGCGTGCATGAGCAATATGAGGCCGGAATATCAGACGGGACGTGCGCCGCTCCCATGGGACGGTTCGTGATGAGCGGCGCTCGGTGCCGGTGCAGTTTCGGTGGGCGGGCTTGGGGAGAGCAGCCTTGCGATGCGACAATCCTGGGACAGGCGGCAAAGAAGCTCTGGGACAAAGTGCGAGACACACGCTTCTTATTGGCATATCGTGGCTCCTCGGTCTGCCTCAAAGTGGCCACCAAGGGTGTAGCGCCTCAACATCCCTTCATCTCGGGCTCCCAGGCCGTGAAGCACACCCCGGCTCTCGGTCGTGACTGCTCAGAGCGCTGTTCCTGTCTGGTCTGGGTGGCTTGTCTCCCGTCCAGGGCTGGTTCGTCAGCGCCATGCAGCCAACAAGGGGAACTACCCGCAGTGGCCCAGGGACAACAACGTCAATGGCCTTGCTTAATTGAGCGCGTGGAGAACGCAAAAGCCATCGCACACCGTCAGTTTAAAAATGGTCGTCCCAGGTTGCGACCCTTTTCCCCCAACCCCTCGCATTGGCCCAAGGACAGGCTCCAGGGTCCTCCCTGGATGCCTGATACCCTCGCTCGTCGGACCGAAGCGAGACACGGCATCCAGGTTCTGCCGTGCCTCGCCCTCGTCAACCCCGAGCCTCACATCACTGCCGGGCACCTCGGAGCAGGGGTGCAAATGCCACATGAACTCTCCCGGCGAACGTGCACCGCCAGCCACTGTCGTGTCACCGGCCTTGCAACAGCACGGGCACCCGTCTGTCAAACTCTGCTTCCACAACTTTCCATTGCGTGTCCATACTGCAGGCCCTTTTTCGCATGCCGATCTGAAGGCAGTCTGCCACACGGCGTCAAGCCATCCACAAGTGTGGAGTGGCATTTGGAAGTCAAGGTGTCATCTAACGGAACACGAAGCACTCCGCGTGTCTCATGTTACAGGTTCCCCCCCACCAAAGCTCTCCGTTCTCTCTTACCGTCCTTTGTTCACGCAGCGATGTCATCTCCTTTTTCATTCGAATTTGTCTCCCGGGGGCACCCCTGAGGGCAGGCTTTGGAAGACGAGATGGCGGGCCGATCGACTTGGCCTTATCATGGAGAGTCAAGATATGGATTCTCGGCCAGAAACAACGCTGGCTGCTAAATGATTCGCGAGGTTACATATTCCGGTGTCCTTGCTGTACTAAGTCGGCGACCCATGGTCCCGCTCAATTATGTCTCCTCGTCCCAGCGGTCTCGTGCCATCATTGAGGACCATGGCTTCCCTGTGTTGTCGTCGTAACCTTCGCTCCTCGGCGGAATGCTCGCGTGTCCGTCGAGATTGCTGTTCTGCAGGCTGCTCCGCCACAATCTCTTCCTCAATCTCCATGATGAGATCCGGCAACTCCCGGATGCGCCGCCTCGAGCTATCCTTGTCCATCAAACCAGCCTTTTCCAAGGCACGCAGGCCGCGCTTGAGATGCTTGATACGGTTGACGATTTCGACTACCCTGTTGCTTTTCAGGTCCATGTAATCTTTGAACCTACGACGCCGCTCTTGGGGGCCCTCGCCCCAATCCTGCTTCGCGAGCCACCTCTCGACAAACTGGGCTTTGACGAGCATGGTTGCGCCGTACTTGTTGATCAGCTCGAGGCTGAACATGAGACAAAACCGCTCTGCCATGTCACGGAGATAGTATTCGTCCCAGTGGGCGTTGCTGAGGTCAGGCGGCTCGCTGTCCTCGAGGCTGAGCTCAAGCGATCGCACGAGGGCCCGATAGGCCTTTTCGTTGTTCATTTTCGCCAACCCATCGAGCCCTGTGTCGGTTAGTGCCGATGTCATGGAGACGAAGGATGCTGAGGTGGTATCTCACCCAATGTCTGCCCAGTGAGCAGAGCAAGCGCTCTTAGGCACCGCATGCGCTCGCCATAATCTGGCCTTGTGATTCCATACAACAGATAGTCCGTCGTGTCGGGGTCGTTGATGGCCCGATCGCAGAGAATCTTGGTGGCGACTTCTCTGATCGAGTAGTTGGGGTGGTTCAGCAGCATTTCGAGAGTTCCGTCCTTCAGCGCGTCCTCTGTTTCCTGTGTTATGTATTGCGTCTTTGGTTCTGAGGGGGGCATCTCGTTGTCGTCCCGGATGAGCGTTAGTGCTGTGACCATCGTGCTCACGAGTCCAAACGTGGCGCAGCCGATAGCAACTAAGATGACCCGCTCATCACGGGCCATGGACAATAGTCTGCTAGCCAAGCCCATGTTGGAATGAGCTTGGAGGTGAATATCCCATAATGGTGCAACTTGAAAGATGTCGTCCCAGGGACGTATGAGTCTCGGGGCCTGGAGGTCGCTGCTTCCCTGGAGTGAGTGGGTCGGCTGATTTGCCGCCAGTCACCGCCAAAAGATCGAGCCGAAAAGGGCATGGCTGAGAGCTTGGCGCGCCGCAGGGTGGGGGTGCTCCGTCAATCTGTGCTGTCGCTATCGATAGCAGCTCAATTCAAAAAATTTCCAGAGGACTGGGCTTTGTCGCAACATCACCCAGTTCGAGAACCGACAGAAGCCCAAAATGGCCGGGTCCCAGCTGAAGCGCCTCAAGGCGTCGCTCAGGGAGCAGGGCATTACTGGGCCGCAGCAATCCAAGAAGCAGAAGCGCAAGCTCGCACAGGACGGCCGCGCCCGCAATGAGAAGAGGTTGCAAAGGGGAGTGGTCCTCGAAGGCATTCGCGACCAGTTCAACCCTTTTGACCTCAAGCATGCGAAGGGCCCGAAATTTGAGGTCACGTCGAACAAGACACTTACCGGGGATGCGGCAAAGGGCATCAGGGGTCGCCCAGGACAAGCCAGGGCGGCTGGTGAGGAACGAGTAAGCTTCCTAGTTCCTTTCCCCGTGGCATCTATTTCTAATGTCCCCGTTACTTCAGCGTCGCGAAACTCTCCTAGTCGACATGCAGCGCCGCAACAAAGTCGGCGGCATTCTGGACCGTCGATTTGGCGAGAACGACCCGACCATGGCACCCGAGGATAAGATGCTGGAACGTTTCGCACGAGAAAAGCAGAGGAGCCACAAGAGAAGTTCCATGTTCGACTTGGAAGACGATGAGCCGCTAGATGGTGGCCTCACTCACGGGGGCAAGGCTCTGACTTTTGACGATGAAGAACCTGTCGACGACTTTCAAGAGGATGACTTGGAAGGCTACGACAGCGATGGCTCCGTGCGGGAGAGGCAGCGCCTCAAGCGCATACGCGCCATGGGCAGCGAGGCGAACGAGGACGAGGACGAGCAACCGGAACGGAAGAAGACGAAGAAAGAAGTGATGGAGGAAATTATTGCCAAGTCGAAAATGCACAAGTACGAGAGGCAAGCGGCCAAAGAGGACGACGAGGAACTGCGGGCCGAGCTCGATAAAGACCTCCGAGACATCCAAATGCTGCTGACATCGAGCTCTAAGCATCCTGAAGCGCGTGGTGCAGCAAACGCGCTCGCCTCTACCATTGCTGGCGAGGACAGGGACGCATTTGAGAAGAACTACGACCTCCAAGTGAAGCAGCTGGCACAGGACAAGAGGGCCCAGCCCACCGAGCGCACCAAGACAGAGGAGGAAAGGTTGGAAGCGGAATCGCAAAGGCTCCGAGAGCTCGAGGAGAAGCGACAGAAACGGATGAGAGGCGAGGAAGTTTCTGACAGCGAAGACAGCGGCGACGACAAGAAGGTTGCCGATGAGGATGACAATGCATCCGAAGATGACGACTTTGGCCTTGGCAGCGGCATCAGGACTCGACCCACAGCCACCGAGCTCGGATTCGACGATGAGGACGATTTCATTATCGACGACGACCTAGTTGCAAGCGGCTCTGAGCTCGAGCTTCTGGACAGCGACGACGAGTCGGATTCTGAGGCAGGATCTGGAGACGAAGGGCCAGGCGAGGACGATGAAGAAGACGATTTCACCGCGGGCTTACTCAACGAGGAAGAGGCGCGAAACCCCGTCTTCAAAGCCGAGTCTGCTGCAAAGACTTCGGCACTGCAAAAGCCCGACGAGCATGGTTTGCCGTACACGTTTCCGTGCCCTCAGACCTGCGAGGAATTTATGGCTATCACGAAGCCATTCCCCAGCCAAACTATCCCCACCATCGTTCAGCGCATACGAGCACTTTATCATCCCAAGCTCGACAGCAAGAACAAGGAGCGGCTCGCCAACTTCTCTCTGGCCCTGGTTGACTTTATCTCCTCAGAGTGGAGCGGCGATTCCTCCCCGTCGTTTTCAGTGCTGGAAAGCGTTGTGCGACATATCCACTCCCTCTCAAAGATGTTTCCGCTCGAAATTGCGCAGAAGTTCAGGGAACGCATCACGATGATTGGCAGCGAGCGGCCGTTGGCCCTTGAGCCGTCGGATCTCATCCTCCTCACAGCCGTTGGAACCATTTTCCCCACCTCGGATCACTTCCATCAAGTAGTTACACCCGCGATGCTGACTATTGGACGGGCGCTTGGGCAACAAGTTCCTCAAAACTTGGCCGACTATGCTGTCGCAACGTATCTGTCGATCATCGCCTTACAGTACCAGCACCTTTCGAAACGATACGTTCCCGAACTAGTCAACTCTTGTTTGAACACCATTTGCGCTCTCGCACCCACGGCATCCTCAAAGCAGCTAGGCAACTTTCCTCAGCACGAACCCCCAGCCGGCGCCCGGATTCAGAACGCCACCGCAGTGTCGCCGAGGAAGCTATCGTTTGCAGATTGCCTCGCATTCGAGGTGAAAGGGAAAGCAGCTGCCTCTCTCAAAGTTGCCATCCTCGATACGACTCTGCAAATTCTCGACGCGAGTGCAGATCTGTGGACAGGCAAAGACGCTTTCCCGGAAACATTCAACCAGGTTGCTTCCGTGCTTAAACTGCTGCACGGGCAGCCTACCCGTGCGCACTTGCCTGCCGCGCTCTTTGACCGCGCCGAGAAACTGGGAGCCAAGGTAGCCCGCATGTTGCGGCTTGCGCAGATCTCACGCCGCCCCTTGGAGCTGCATCGCCATCGCCCCCTCGCCATCAAGACATATATTCCCAAGTTCGAGGAGACATTCGACCCAGACAAGCACTACGACCCAGACCGCGAGCGCGCCGACCTGGCCAAGCTCAAGGCGGAACACAAGCGGGAGCGCAAGGGTGCTATGAGAGAATTGAGAAAGGATGCCAATTTCATGGCGCGGGAGAAGCTGCGCATCAAGAAGGCCAAGGACGAGGCCTACGAGAAAAAATACAAGCGCCTCGTCGCGGAGATTCAGAGCGAAGAGGGCCGCGAGTCGAACGCGTACGAACGGGAGAGGTCAGCCCGGAAGAGAGCGAGGAACAGGTAGACAGGCCATATCATTCAATCATGATCGCATTTTCCAGCGAAACGTATTGTGCCTTTGCAGACGCCGTAACTTGTCCGTGATGGGTGGTCAGAGATTGGCCGTATTTGCCTATAAGCCGCGCAATTGACAATCTGCGCAATGCGTTCTCACGGCGACCTGTAGAACAGGCTACAGTGGCATTCTCAAAAAAAAAAAATTGTGGCATCGCTTTCATCCCGCGCTCTTATGAGGCCTAAAGTTTGGTCATGTACGTTAGACGGTTAGAGCAAACATGCCCAGCCTGGTTGAGCTCTAGCGAAAAGTGGGCCTGGCGTCTGCCACTACCCGCTCTTGCCCGGCAGCACTTGCCCAGCGCAACTTGCGCGCCGCGAAATGCTCTCGCTCAGTCCCCCGTCTACCCATCAACAACATACGACTGACATCAACATTGTCTCCCACTCTTCTCATTTCCCATCTTGTGTTTTAGATACTTTTGCCCTTGACGAGCCTAGCCTGAAGCTGGTTTGTCACAACGGCTAGAAGAATAACGACCCGACTACACAAAGGATACAGCTCTCAGTTAAGGACCCAACGAGGGCCTGGCGCGATGGCGTCCAGGCGGGAGAAGAATGCAAATGGCCCATCCCCTGGCGCCGATGACGAAGAAGACGACTACATGACCATGGTCATCCAGGATCCTATCCAGAAGGAGACTTCCTTGCAACGCGCGGCACGACTCAAGCGCGAGGCCCGAGAACGCGGCTTCATGAAGTCAAAAGCGCAGCTCGCAAAGGAAGCCGAGCAAGCGCGTGAAAAGGCCTTGTCCACGTCTTTATTTGATGCGCCGCGCACGCAGCAGAGCAAGGGACTCGCCATGATGGCCAGGATGGGATTTACTGGTGGAGGACTGGGCAAACAGTCTGGACAAGGCAAGCCCTCGGGCATCACGGAACCCATCAGCGTGACCGTGAAGGATAACCGTGGCGGCATCGGTCTCGATGCCGAGAAGAGGAGGCGCGCCGAGGAGTCCGGCGAGGGACAGCCGGCGGCTAAAGCGGCCAAGCTGGTTGACGACATTGACCCAGCCGCGTACAGAGAACGAATGAGCAGGGAACGTCTGGTCGAGAAGCTGGAAAGGCAGATTACGGCGGCCCAACGAGTTGCAGCAACCCTCGATGGTATAGACATCGCCAGCGAGGAATCCGAAGACGAGAGACGGCCGGAGCTTCGCATATCAAAACGGCGCCTCAAAACACTTCCCAAGGAGTACAGATCGTACATCCGGAGGCTGCAAAGCGAGGACCGCGAAAAGCGCGCCCGCATCCAGCGTGAGCGCGCCATGCTCACCTCCCGCTTCGACCGCGATCTCAACGGTGACGAAGACGACGACGATCTCACCGCCCTCGGCAGAAAGCTCGAAGAGTATGTTGAAGAGGAGGACTTGGACGACACCGACGAGGAACTGGAAGAATTCATCAATCTCGATACTGACGAGCAATTGCGCAGCGTCGTCGTGTATCTCCGGAAGAATCACAACTATTGCTTCTGGTGCAAGATGGCGTACCCTGACGAGGGTATGGAAGGGTGTCCGGGCACGACGGAGGAAGACCATGATTGAGGCGCTTATGTGTCACACAAAGAATTCTCGCCGATCATTGATGGCGAATCATCCTGTATATTTGTTGTTGATCTAGCGCGGGGGGGAGAATCGAAATGCGAGAGTAGTCCCTCACGATAAAGTCATTAACACGTGGTTGGTGGGTTGTGAGATCTACTGCGACATCAAGGCGCATGGCCAATGCACTGGAATCCCACTGTTGCGGCTTCTGTGGTCTTCCGCCGGTGGATGGGACATACGTCCAATCTTCAGGCGGCCATTTCCGGCGCGTTGAACCCGATGGGTTAAGTCGAGGAAATTTGGATGCGCCCTACGCCAAAAACCGTCAACGCCAAGGTGGGAGAACCAAATAGTCGGCCCGCTCTGGCGGTCTTGAAAACCACTCGTTACCATGTTCATCGTGGTTTGCGCTGCCTCGTGACACATCTTTCCCCGTTTCCGGTGTGTTGATTGTGGACGACTCGATTGATGGCCTTCCGACGAGGTCGCCTTGTCCTCACAGAGGCGTAGGTGGTCAACGTTAAATGAAATTATCTGATCTAAGGCATATACTGTCAAAAGACGAGGGAAAGCGCCCTCTCCTGCCAGTGTTCTCCAGCTCCAAAGTCTGCATATGGAGACGGTGAGGTCTGCTATCGCTCATTGCTCATTTGAGTTGAATACGGCAGGCCACGGTTCCAAGGCATTGATCGAGAAAGAGCGGCTCCGAAACTCCGGGGCGGAAGCTTGTTACCCAGCTTCGGGTGGAGGGAGGCGATGCATTCCTGCCCGCTGCAAAGGGTAAGGGCGTTGACAGTGCAATTCTCAAGGCCACGCATGCCATCACCCTCACCGAGATACTTGCATATCGCATCCGAAAGTGAGCCAGGGAGCCCATTTTAACAGTATTCGGCGGGGGGCGTCCAGGGTACAGCTTCGCTATTGAAGGTGCCTCGCCTGGTTGCCCTTGCGAGGCATCCATTCTGCCTCCCCCGGTGTCCCCCGCCAGGGGCATGTCTTGGAGGCACAGGCACCCAACGAGAGACGAGTCGAGAAGGGACGCATTGTTTCCGCTCTAATGTCTTCGCCGTACTGATTTGCCAAGTTCTGGATACATCACTTCGTATTCGTGGAAGCCTCGTCGTTCTTGTCTTGCATCAACACCAATGTATTGCTAGCGAAAACACTCAATAGCTCAATTTTTGGTGCTGGCCATAAAGCGAGTGAAATACACGTCTTCTGTTTTGTGCAGTTCTCTCTGATTAATGCGAAGCCATGCTATTTGGTCAGGGGAATTACATTACTCAAGGGTTGGCCGCCATCCGTATATTGTCCTGATCTTGAGTTTCGTCTGGAACTCAGCCCCCACCCATAATTACCCCATGACATTACAGGATAAGAACCGTCATATGAAGCCTTGAAAGAGGCCATAAACTCTATCCTTGCTATTGTGTCGTTGCGGTTGTATTGGTTGCTGATGTTGTTCATAGAGAAAGTGAAAGACGGGCGAGAAGTTGGGCAAAAAAAGTCCAAAAAAGATAGCAATTGTACGTTTCGATCGTACGACCTCCGGGTTATGAGCCCGGCGCGCTTCCACTGCGCCAAATTGCTTTGATTCCTGTTGATTTGGGGTGGCTTATTCTAACTTTTATACCCTTGTAACACGGCAGGGCGCCACCGTTGGTGGGTCAGTCACGGGCGCCAGGGTGGCCAGTGAGACACAAATTATGCATCTGTCGGGGTAGGAGAATCATCGGCTTGTCCTGTTTTGGAAGTGTTAGTTGAATCCATGCTCAAGGGCATGGCTTGTGTACGCCCCTGGACATGAGGTGTCCCCTGACTGAGCGGGGAGCTCGTGGCATATTCACAGCCCATTGACGAAACGACTGTCCGATGCAGGTACGACTATTTGCTCTTACTGAATGTCTATCAAAGTCAAGGATACTCATGATCTCGGTTCATAAGGCATTTTGCCGTGAGGATGCCCCTGGCTTCTGTTCTCTTGACGATTGACCGTTGATGTCTCGACGGTTTTAAGTCAGATAAAGCAGATAATTATATCACGTCTCCTCTGCATCGTCAGCGGGGGGAAACATCCTTTAGCGGCCTACACTGTAAGGAGACGGCTGGAGCAGATCTGGGCTTCCTACGCGATCGTGGCGTCCACAGGTCAGGAACCTCCTGGATTGCCCGACGCCAAATGTAATCAGGTAAAGAATTCTCCTCCCAGCACATAAAAATTTCGCGACTTATGGTCGTCCCCTTTCTTAATTCGATTTCTTGTCCGTTTGGAAGCACCGTGGTATTTGCTCTCGTATCGGGGCATGCAGACTTCAGGAGGCGACTCCATGTCCCTGCCTGCACCACGCCCGCTCATGCTACTGCATTGACTGTAGATGACGCTTCCGTCTCCGAGCACCACGAGAGCTATTCACTATTCATTGACAAGTGGGAATAATGTGCATGCCATCATTTTGGGGGCATTCGATTCTTCGCGCGTTCATGTCATATTGCTATTCCGCGCATCGAGCTTGGTCAATTGGAACACCCTCGCTCGTGCGTAACAAAGTAATACAGCTATAGTCGGCCCTGCACGAACATGTGTCTGGAACTCGTCCGTCCACGGCGAGTTGTATGTCCTTGGTGGAGTTTCGACGATCTGTGTCACGTCGTCATGACAGACATTGCAGCATTCACACACACACGTATGACGACGTGCCTACTTGTACAATGTTCGCCTCCCTGTGGCCGCCCCAGAATGCGAGCGTCAGGCCAGCCGCGGGGAGCCAGTGCGTGTCGCACATTTCAAGTCCTGCCGGGTCGCCTCATGAGTCGAGAGAAGCAAGCCTCCACACCTTTAAAAAAGGGCCACCGACCTGCGGTGGGGGCCAGCCCGCTCATGTGCCGGGAGGGCCATGGCTCAAGCAGCGGCTCCAGCCAGGGACCCTTCCCGCCACTTGGCCGTTCCGCAAGGTCACCTACAGTACAGGTGCTGCTGGTGCGCACCCTGGGCAAAACTTGCTCGGCTTCACCACCCCCAAGCATCACCCGACTCAATTGCGCCCAAGCGGTGCACTCAACCACACCGACATGAAGATCGCCTACCTCTCGATAGGGATATTGTCCCTCCTCAGTCCGCTGACCGCGGCTTGGGACAAGGAAGGTACGTGCAGCTGCCGTCATTGTCTCTCACGCACACGCTGTACTGTAGACTGACCGGCGCTGGAACGCGCAGACCGCGAGATCTTCCGCATCCGCGACGAGATCGCGGCGCACGAGTCGAACCCCGGGGCTACGTTTTACGACATCCTGGGCATCCTCCCGAGCGCGTCGCAGGATGACATCAACAAGGCATACCGCAAGAAGACGAGGTCGCTGCACCCGGACAAGGTGAAGCAGCAGCTCAAGTCGGACCGCGCCAAAGCCGCCTCCAAGAAGGCCAAGTCGGGCGGCGTGCACGTCGCGAAGCCGCCAACCACGGCCGAGATCAGGACCGCCGTCAAACAGGCTTCCGAGCGCCAGGCCCGCCTGTCCCTGATCGCCAACATCCTGCGCGGCCCGTCCCGCCAGCGGTACGACCATTTCCTCGCCAACGGCTTCCCGCTCTGGAAGGGCACCGACTACTACTACAACCGCTACCGGCCCGGCCTGGGCACCGTCATGCTGGGCTTGTTCATCCTCGGCGGCGGCGCCATCCACTACCTCGTCTTGTATATGAGCTGGAAGCGGCAGAAGGAGTTTGTCCAACGCTACGTCAAGTTCGCGAGGGACACGGCGTGGGGTAACAACATGGGCATCCCCGGTGTGGGCGCTGCGCCTGCGCCCGCACCCGCGCCGGCGCCCCCGTCCGACTCCGACGACGAGGGCCCTCCCATGCCGATGAACAGGAAGCAGCGGCGCATGCAAGAGAAGGAGTCCAAGAAGGAAGACGGCCGCGGTCGCTCCAAGAAGACGAGCCGCAAGGCCCAGAGTGTCTCGCCCGAAGCTTCGGCAGGTCCCGCCCCCACCGGTGCGAGGAAGAGGGTCGTCGCGGAGAATGGAAAAGTTCTTGTGGTCGACTCCCTAGGCGACGTCTTTCTCGAGGAAGCGGACGAAGAAGGCAACGTCAACGAGTACCTTCTTGATGTAAGTCTTCACCCATGCAAATGTCACACACGCGGAGTCTTGTGCTTACTTTTCGGTAGCCCGATGAACTTCTGCAGCCGACCTTTAAGGACACAGCTGTCGTCCGCGTCCCCGTCTGGTTCTTCAACAAGACTGTCGGTCGCTTTGTAGCCAAGAAGGACGGAGATCTTGACGCCCAAGACTTCAACGACGACTCGGACACGCCTCAGCACACGCCCACCACTGACTCTGCTGGCGAGGACTTTGAGATGCTTGACAAGAGCACCGACTCTCTCAGCAAGGTGAAGACCACTGGCGCCCAGGCCGGCGGCAAGGCCAACAAGCGCAAGGGCAAGAAGCGGTAGGCCACGTTAGGGTGTGCAGTGCATGAGGTGTGGCAAAGCAAGTTGACAAAAGCGATACAAAAAGCATTATGGAGGAAAGGAGTTTGTCGTGTTGATGTTGAGGGGATGTGTAATAGAGGCGTCATTGCAGTAGACTATGAAGAATGGAAGTTGATTCTGAGGCTTTCTCCTGCGTACGGTTTGAGGCGGGCTGTCGCATACCCACGCTAGAGTACTCCTACCCTTTGTCTAGCTAATATCGGGTGCAAAATTCGTGCGATGTGCGTTGAAGCTCCAAGTCCGTACAACCGCTTGCAGAGCTTTCTACTCAGGCCCTCCCTTTATGCCCTGGGTACATTTGTACGCCTATAGTGGTGAGGGCTACTTTCTGGAAGGACACGAGCCCCTATTCCCGAGGCAGCCCAATCATACGTAACCATACTTAGAAAGCGCTACCTCGCAACCCAGGAATTTGGCCTCTGTTTGGGCTGCTTGGTAATAATTGATATCGGTCAATCTCATCTGTTAGAATCGAACCATAAAGATGCTCCGAGTTTAAGACCAGTTTCTGGAATGACTGGCATAAATCAGCTCAGCTAAGACGGTCAACGTGGCAATTCACATGGTCACAGAGAAAGCGGCTCACTGTTGAGTTGTATGACGCGCCAGGCCAATGTATTAGGGTTTGTGTTGAATAGTCAGACGGAAGGCGGCTTTATTCAGGCAGGTCAAGAAGCTGCTGCCCCTCGCTTCGATCCTCGGTCAATCAGCCATTGGTTGTTCGTCTGTACGTCGATACCCTTTTCTCGTAGTCGCAGTAATCAACAAATTCATTGGCTTGCGGCTGGTGCCTAGAATGAATGTTCTGCGGGCTGAGCTTTCCCTTCTGCAACGCATGGTCTTCTTGGCTAGGCCAAAGTAGGACCGGTGGTTAGTTACGTTCTGTGAATCTGTATGTCTTTGAGATACCATAAATAGCCACATTAGACGGCGACTCGTCCGAGCGCCCTGATGAGTAGGCACACCACCGGCACCCTCGGACATGGCCAAGCTCCTTTCGTTGCCGCACTCCCATCCTATGCCTCGGACATGCAGAAACTCGGACGGTTATTAGGACAGTTATTTCCCTGTTGTGCTGTGTCAGAGACGGCTTGCCACGTGATGTATCCTCGCACCCTCAGAATTTGAGTGAGGGCGCACCGATGGAGCTGAATGACTGGTGTAAAAGGACCATTTGGCATGTTGAATCATGGCCCATTGCGGGGCCGATCTAATCGAGCCCGTCCTGGCATGGCCAACGCGTTAATCTCCTATACAAAACGTGACCGTGTGAGTCGGCTAGCCGTGTCGATTGTCTAATTGAACTGACTTCTACCTTGATTGACTATTTGCGATCTTTAGCGGTTGGTAGCCGCATCCACCCGCGAGCAGGTGCCGGCCACGGCTAGTGCTACTTCGGAGGCCCGGGTTTCTCAGCATGCATCCTCATCCTCCACCAAACGCTCATCTTCCCGCCCTCTCACTCTCATATCGCGGCCCCGAAGGCTTTCCTGCCCCACCTGGCTCTTTGCGTGTCCTGTCATGTTCTCTTCGTGTATTCAAAGTCATCAGCGGTGGACTCAATGTATGTAGGAAGCAATTCGCACTGAGACACGATGCGCATTCCATAGGATTCGTGCCAGAAGAACGGCACTTTCACAAGTCCAGACTCTGCTCTGCGAACGACCGCTGCTGGATCATGGCGGCGCAACTCCTGCGTGACCGTATCTACATGAACATTTTGGCCACACCCTTAATGCTGTCTCCCCAGCCGTCGTCGCGGCGGCCGGGTCCGTAGACGGACCTCCGCTCCCACTGCAGGCCACCGTCGCGGCCGCGCTCGACCCGCGCGCCGCCGGAGCCAAAGTCGCCAGCCATGCGGACGGCGTCGCTGACGAGGCCGAAGCCGTCACCAGAGGCGGCGCGCGAGGCCACGCCGAGCATGCGCTCGAGGGATGGCGGCATGCGCAGCCCGAAGCGAGCGAGCAGGGCGGTCAGGGCGCCGCCCGTGACGAGGGGCATTATGACGAGGAAGAAGACCTTCCAGGGATGGCGCTTGGCGTAGTGTATGAGATCACGGATCAGGCGCTTCAGTCGCTTGTAGGCCCGCTGCATGAAGCCCTGTCGGGGGGAGCGCTTATAGTACGACGAACGACCTGCGACGAGTCAGTCAGCGACCACCAGTCCATCGGCGTCTCTCTACAGGAGGCCATGCGCGCCGCGTGATGTACGCACCTCCCAGCCCGAAGAAACTTGAGCGGCTCGAGTTGCCAAGCCCAAAGAAGGAGCCTCGCGAAGCATTGTGCTTGCTGTAGTGGCTGTCGCCCAGCCCGAAGAAGGACCCGCGCGAGGCATTGTGCTTGTTGTAATGGCTGTCGCCGAGGCCGCCGAAGAAGGATCCAGCGATGGACGTTGCGCCGCGGTGGCGGGAGCTCGAGCGCGAGCGGCTGCGCGAGCGGCGCTTCTTGTGTCGAGAGCGGGAGGACTGGCGGCGATGAGAGGCCGGGCGGGAGAAGCCGCCAGGACCAACCGAAAGGCCGTCTGTAAAGGGATCAAGGAGGCCCATCGCGTCCCTTCAAGCAATTATTCGCACGGATCGTTGTGTTGTCCAGTGGTGAGGTCGAAGGCTGATCGATCGGAGCAGGGCCCGCCGCGGTCGTTGCGCCCCCCGTGCGCTCTTGATGCTACTCAAGTCCTGGGAACTGGAGGAAGAGCAGGTACGAAGTCGAAGAGTGATAGATATCCTCACAAGGCCACCGCCTGTGTGCTCGCCCTCTTGCAGACGTCTCTTCCTCGTTGAGCAATAGCTGGAGAAACCGTTGGCGTGGGCAGTGAGGGTCGACGGGGTAAGCTGGTCCAGGCCACAGACTCCAACGTCCTGCAGGTCAGACAGAAAGTGCAGGGCTAACAGTTCGCATTGCGCGTGCTGCAGCGGCATCAGCGGCCCCTCCGTTTCAATGGAACCTCACCTCACCGTAAATTCGAGTGGCTGGGGCGACCGGCCAGCTTCGCAAGGTAGTTGGTGCCACTGCTGCAGGGATTTAGGGGACCGTATCGATGGCGGGGGAGAGCCCTCCAACGTTGTTCCAGGGCTCCTGCGGGCGAAGATCGCGCCTTCAGGGGGGAGAAGAGGCTGGGTGGCCGCTCTGGGCTCCGCTTTGATGCGTCCCTGCTGACGGGGGTTCTGGATGCATGTCGTACCGGCTGATGGGCCAGGTCTTCCTCACCCGCATCAAGGCGGGTGCATTCGCATTGCAACTTCCAGGCATGTGCACATGGCTGCGATCGCAGGCGACCGATTGGCCAGCTTCGCCCACGCGAGGGCAAAGATATGTCGAAAAACACGCTCTCCGTCCAGCGGTCGCGGCTCGGCCCTGTGGCACCATCCAACGCCAGCGCCATTTCGCAGGACCAGCCCATCCACAGAAGCCGGTGTACTCTGTTCTCTGGATTTCACGTATATTCGGCATTGTTGCCTTGACTTCGTACGAAGTACAACCGCCATGCATTTGAATCGATGGCCATGAGCGGGTTCCTCGTGTCGCTTCCCTGTAACTACCAGGCAGTAACACAGTGGTTCGCTACCCTACATCCGTGCGACTTGGGCTTCGCCTTGGACAAAGTCGGCCACAACATGGCATAGCGAGGAAGACAAGGTCGCACCGGAGACGTCCAGAGAAACCTCCGTTCGGCTCACACAAGCACTGCCATTGAGGGTCATGTCTGCTTAGCTGTCTCTCACTGGGGCCAAATGTCGTCGTTCTGGTGCTATCCGAAGACGTCAAGTCGGGCACAGCAGTTCGTTGAGGCCACCAAAAGACAGGGGACGTACGACCAGAAGACAAAGCTGCGTCATGTCGAGCCAGAAAGAAATGTGCAATTGCTTCACCCACATCATCGCAGGGCTCTCGGGGCCAGTGAATACTTGACACACGTCCCCGCTCTGGGACAACGAGATCCGTAGACCATCTGCGAAAATATCGCTGTACCTCGGAAACCGCCTGAAGCACAATCAAGACGAACCAAGGCAACGTTCAATAATCATGTTCATTATGCTATCCACTCTGCAACCTCCCCCCCTGCCATGTAGCCTGCCCTTCGAAAAATCGCAGATCACTGGACGATGATGCCATAGATGCACACGAGTCCTAAGAATATATGAGGTTGAAGCAGCTCTCGTCTCGAGAGAAGTGCGCCACCCTGGCGCAACAATCTCGGCCAAGAGCTGAAGAAACGTGCTGTGTGATCATGCTAAATAACAATATTCGTACCGTCGTCAAACCCCGAACACCCACAGGCATCCCCTGGCGGCCCGTGGCATCTCGACTAGTCTTGCAGAATGCCGGCTGAGCAACAACTGCCGCCCCGGACCAGCTGGCAAGACACGACACATTTGCGCCATCCCGAACCATCGCAAACGCCAAGGTATACATTCAAATAGCGTCCATGGAAACCATGAGGAGCGAGCAATCCCAGCTTGGTGTGCTGTTCCTGTCCTTCATGAACGGGCGCCGTCCTTGTTGGGCTTCCAAAATTGCATCATTCGCCCGAGTCGTTGCTTTGTCTTGCTGCTCTTGGATCGGGATGGCTTGCTGTCCGACTCGTTGTCTAGCGTGACTTCCATGGACAATTTGCTTCTCTCGCCGTGGGAGCTGCTGATGAGCCGGCTCAAGCTGACGAGGCTAGAGCGCCTGCGTCCAAACGCCGCCGATGACACGGAAACGGGCCGCTGCTCGCGAAGACTCGGCTGGGACAGTCGTGGATTTGGAGAAAAGACGCTGTCCCTTGTCATTGTCGAATTGCTGGATGTCAGGGACGGGATATCGTAATCCATTGAGATCCGAACCTCTGGACCTGGTTCTCCCATGAGCAGCGATTGGAAGCTGTTCTCGTCTGTGACCGACGACGGCGCGGTCGAGATGCGCTGAGCGTCCATGGACATCGGCGACCGAGGCGAGGGGTGAGACGACGACGCATGGCTCGCCGAGTACGGACTGATGGGCATGTTCGCCGCACCACCTTGGTACGATGTGCCGACCTCCACAGGTGCGAGATCCTTCGTGCCGGACAGTCTCCTGGGTGACGAGGCAATGGAGTCTGCGCCGCCCTGCATCGAGTTGAGACTTCGATAAATGATAGAAGGTGGCTCTTCCGCGATCACGTCGTCCTGCAGAGAGATCTTGGAGCACTCGGTGCGGACCGAGTGGGCAGCAGCCTGCTCGATATCGTTGCCGCCGGGAGTAGCTTGCCTGGTTCCGAGCGCCACGTCACTGGATGAAGGAGTGTCCGGGACGATGCTCCCGCATTGAGTAGACGGCACAGTAGCAGGTGGCGTCGCGTCGCCGTCGTCCGAGTCCGAGTCAGTGGAGTCTGCCGCGGCAACTGTTCCGAAGGCCCTTTGCTGCCTGTCTGCGATGGCCGAGTCGTCGTCCTCTTCGTCCTCTTCGAAAACATCGGCCATGGTCGAATTGCTGCCAAAGCGATTGATGCCGGAGCGAGCCGACTCGAATGGCGGCAGATCAGGGGCAGACTCCGCCCGGCGGTGGTAGTGCATGCCTGGGCCACTGAAGCCCTTCATGCCCTGAGCGCTGTGCAGTCGCCTTTTGCCCGTGTTGCCCGCGGCGCGTTGAGCAGCCTCCCACTCTGGGTTGTGTGGCAGAGGCGTGTTGAATGGTCCCAGGGCAGCGTCGAGATCAATCATAGGATGCGACGCATCATCCCGAGACATGGGCCGCTGGGCCACAGACGCAGGCTTGGTGACATCGGGAGATTCCGTGACTGTCACCTGGGGAGCGGGCAGCTCGGGGTCGGGGATTTGCATATTCTCAACCTCCTCATCCTCGTCCTCGAAGGGACCAACCGATGCAGGAGGGGTAGGAGGCCGTACATCACTCATCTTGGTCCGTTTTTTATGCGCCTTGGGTTTGAGTGGCAAGATCGAGCCGGCCCAACCCTTGACCCTCTTCTTCTTGCTCTTCTTCTTGGTGGGCTTGGAGACGACCGCGGCATCTCTGCCCGTCTCCGTGCAGTCAGACTCCTCATGGTCCGAAGACGAGGCCCCAGAGACGGCCCTCGACACAGAATCTGAAGAGCTAGAACTTGATGGACGGCGCTTTGTTGGGCCCGTGGCGTGCACGAAGGGAGACTCGAGGCCAAAGAAAGACCAACGCTTAGGAGTCTTGGCCATGGTCGCTGGATGAGGTCCCTCAATCTGGGCCTGGGCGTCGGCAAGGTTGAGAAGCGTGGGAGTGGAGTTGCGCCGCTTAGGAGAGCTATTCGGCCTACCGCTAATGTGAAGGTCTGCCGTGCGCTCCAAGATAGCACCCGCTGTGCTCGGTCTTGAGTCAGCCAAGTCGCGTGTAGGGCTCCTAGATAAGGGCACTGGGTGGTCGCGATCTGTGGGAGACACGGCTGACACGATCGAGGATATGCTGCCGGAGACTGAGTGCCCTGGACGTGCCGTAGCAGTGCTGGATGTCTCGTTGGATACCAGCGACAACGGCCTAGGTATATACTCAAGCTTGTCGGAGAACCCCACACGGTTTCTACCAGGCCTCGCTTGCCTGTGGCCGCTACTTTCGACGTCGGACGCTGGGGTGACGGGCGTCAGTGGCATGGATGGGCCTTGGTCGACAGTGGCGGGGCGCATGTTTTCCAATGCTTCCGCTGGTTCTGGCAATTTGGGCGGTTGGTCGTGGAACGGAATCGGAACGCCCTCCCTTGGGTCGAAGGCAGTCGGACTGTTGGGAGCGCTTCCACTCCTGGGCATCGCAAAATCTGGCAATGGCGCAAGAATGGGCAGGTCGTTGGTCGAGATGGCGCCGGAGACGCCACGACGGTGTCCACGCCGGGGCGGTGGTGCGAGCCCAGGAGACGCGAATCCGCTTTCCGACCTAGTCGGACTGGTACTCATGACGGCGATAGAGTTCCCATCTCGAATACTGCCGCCCACAAATTCACTACCACCCCTCCGATGTCCATGCCCGACGGGTCGCGAGGGGGACGCCAGCGGCCTAGAAGAATTCGGAGTCACTGGAGGGCTGAGGAGTGTAAATGACTCGGGATCTGGCGGCAAGGATGCTCCGGGATTGAAACTGAACGCGGGCAGGGCAACACTCCTGCGCTGTCTTTCGTTGCTTCTTGGGGGCGAGTCGGACGGGACTTTCTGGGGCTCGATGGCGGACATCGGTCGTCGTCCGCTTGCTCGAGTGTTGGTTGTCGGCACCTGGGAGGGCGAGGGCATTCGGGCGGGAAAGACGAACGGTGGATTCGGGGGAGGGGCGTCGTCATGAGTTATAGCGTCCTTGAATGGCGTGTTGGGAGACGTGTGGAGGTCTGTCGACCGCCGCGGGCCATCCTCCAAGCCATAGACACGCGGCGAGGCATCCATCATGGCCGAGGCGGGACCTTGCGCAGTTGTCATCTTTCCTCTAGCCGCGCAGCGGCAATCAGAAGCGATGCACGACTAGGAGGCTAGTTGAATCATAGGATTGAGCAAAGACTGAAGCGTGTCGTGGATGGCGACTCGACTCGGTTGGCGTCTGATCTCGGGCGTTCGAAGAATATACAAGGGGTTAAGGAGCGTGAACGACGAAGTTGAAGTGAAACTAGATCTGCGAGTTTTCGGCCCCGGACAAGAACTGAGCGCAGGTAAGCATCTGAAGCGAGCAGAGAGCACTGCGAAGGACGGGCGAGCAAAGAAGCAAAGGTTTGGCCGAGAATCCAGCGTTGCTGCGGGCCGGCGAGGGCGCAGGGGACACGAGGCAACGCGGGAGCGCGCAGCACGGTGGAAGACGCACCTCGGAGGAAATGCAAATGCTGCGCTGAACCAAAGGGCAGGCCAAAGGCAAAATTGATATAGTCACAAAGGAGCGGACGGTGAAAACCAGCGGCGCAAACTCGAGTCGAGATGTGCAGCTGGAATTGCACCAAGAGGGTCGGCGTCAAGCGCGCTGAGGCGGGAGGGCTTGGGGATGGGGAAAACGGGAAGAGGGAAGTGTGTGGATGGAGGAGGATTAAAGCCTGGGGAGGGAGGAAGGCGAGACAGGGCCCAGGCAGGCCGCGCCGGCGGCCAGTGAGAGCGGCGAGCGTGAGATGTGAGAGTGGGCGTGCGGGAGGGAGGGAGAGGAGGGGCCACTGGGCTGCGCTACTGTGCAGTTGTATGGGTACGGAGCACGTCGCACGGGGGGGCGAGGTACCTCGCGCTAGCAGCTGGGGCTGGCGAGGTACGTGTACCACTTGCACGTTTGTGGTCGCACCCCGGGTTGGCTCGTGTGCAAAAACGTTGACGCCCGGCTGTATGAGGATGAGGATGAGGATACTGCGCACGGCATACAGCGCTTCGGAACAAGCCAATTTTTCGTCTCATCATTCCAGTTTACAGTCTGCTTTGCGCCGCCCTCCAATTGCCACGACGCGCAAGCGGCACAGCGGCGACAAGGTTCGTGGAGGTACGAAGGTACACCCAGGGGCCCTGCACTGTACCTGCTCGGCGCTGCATGCATGGATGCGAGGCAGTAGCGCCGATGGGGCGGAGCGTGTACTCGTACAAGTACATGTCGCGTACGAGTATGGGGCACTTGCGTAGGGGCTCATCTCCTGCGCGCCAGGCGCCGTCCTGCCAGCTGCGGGATCCAGTCCTGGCTGGGGCGCCGCCCATGGGTCTCCACGGTGCTTCGTATCGCTCCTCTGGCTCGATCAGACATCATACAAGTCCTTTCAGGCGGCTGTGAGCACCAGGAGGGAGGCACATACGTAATAACGCGCACGCCTCAGCATGAAGACGGCGAACGCGGTGACCACGAAGGACTGCCGCTCAGAGAGCGCCAGATGAGACGGTCCCCAACGGCCATGCTTGGGTTCAAACGCACAAGACTCCAAGCTCCGTACGTTAGCAGGTACCACGGGAGCCCGGAGACATCGCACGACCCGTTGCGCGGCTACCAACTCTGTTTCCAGGAAATCCATGGATCGTGACCGTACCACCAGGGGCGGGCGCCCTGGGCGGCTGCTCCCTCGAATGCGGCATTGGCTGACGGACTTGGAGAACGTTCACTGCCACTACGGCGAACTGACGTGCCCGATTAGTTCACCCGCAAGGACAGTCGCCAACACTCTCGGGGCGCCGCAACCTCCCCGGCCGTCCGTTGCTGGACAAGCGGCTCATTGCAACCCCCTGAGGGGGCCTGGCCCCTGGCAGCTGCGCCAGGCGGTGCAACCCAGCCGGAGCGTCTGATTTGCTTGCGGCCCTGGTCGGCCTGTCCGGCCGCCTCCCCCTGCCAGGCACGCCCCCATGCCCCCAACCAACGCGGCATGGCGGCCCTGAGAAAACAAGCCGCCAGCGCCCGGATTGGATGGACACGAGCATCTTGGGATGGCCTTGTTCATGCAGAGGCGAGGGGCCTGGCTGGCCCGGCAACAATGCAACACGGGGCAGACCCCTCCGCATGACGGACATCATCCATCCATGCGTCCTTTGGGGCTTGGCGGACTAACCTAACCTCCATGCAGCACCTCAGCTGTCGATGTTTCGTCTCGACGGGGCAAACGACACGAGGTGCAGCAATAGCCACCGTCCGCCGAGCGCGTCTATCTGCACAGTGCCTCCCTCAGGTCACTTGCCGGCCGCTAGGGCAAAACGTTGAATCGTGGCGGTAGGCTTTTTGGGTCGCTCGGCGGCATCTCCGCCTGATCGTTCTGGCCCGTCCGCCTCCCGTCTGCTCAGTGGACAGCAAGCGTCAATTCGCGTTCGAAAGCCACTCTGCCTTTTCATATCAGCTCGCCATCGTAGATCGGATCTGTTGTATCGGCTTGGTTGGACCATGTACTTGCGAAGTACCGAGATTTGCGGCCTTGATTCCCCTGCCGCCCGGGCTGCCTTGCCTCGGATCACCGGCTCCCTGTATAATGGACGCAGGGCATGAATGCGCAATTGCGGCCTTCCCATAACACTCTCGGGCTCGTATCAGAGACACGGCTGCCAGCTCCCCTAGGCCGAAAGTTGATATGAGCCATGACATCCACTTTCCAATGAACGGCGGCCGTGGCTCGTTGCTGCGCCTGTCTCTTGATCAGCGTATCGTTTCTTTTTCTACATCCCTTGCCTCGGCTCTCGCTTGAGATGAGATTCCGGCCGTCGTCATCTCCGTCTGCTTGCTTGTTACGGGGCCAGCTGGCTATCGTCCACACCGAGCCCGCAAGTGCTGCAGACCCCTAGTTTATCTTTGATTGCCCTGATGTGTAGCTCGGGCGGCGGCGCCGAGCCACGGCGCCCGGCTGAGGAAAGCGGCAGCTCCCAAGGCTCGGAGCAGACGTCCGTGGATTCGATGCTGATGGCGATTGCCGGCCCAGGTCAGGCTGCAGGAACCATGATTTCGTACACTTTTCGTGGCACGGCGTTGCGCCTCCCAGCCGAGCCAGCGTGAAGCACCTGGGGCCTGTCGACAAAGGCCGCTAGGCATTTTGGCGGCAAGTTCGTGAGTGCAACCATAGTGGCAGGGTACCTCAGATAGACAGGTTGATGGCTACGTCGCATTGAGTTCCCCTGGCAAAGATCTACAATGCCCATGGAGGCCACAATCGCGGAGAGGCGTTTTGTGCGATGATACCTTCTACTTCCACACATTCCGGGATCTTGCAGTTGGCCATCGCACGCAGGCCACCACCGTTGTTCCAACACCACCATCCTCTCTCCGGGGCACGGCTAGACAATAGTTCAGCCCCGAATCTGGCGAAATTCCCCATAGTGGACAGCTTGGAAGAGATAGCCCGCACGCTAGGTAGAGCTTGCATCGTGCCGCCAGCGACGAAAGGTGCACATGGCGGGCGCTCCAGGTCGGGCGGCAGCGGGCAAGACGACATTCTCCTCAGAGCCATGGATGCACATCGGCTTGTCGCTGATGCCCTTTATTGTTTCAACGTCGTGCCTGGGCCCGGCAGGGCGACGATGACGACTCGTAGACCATTAATGAGGACCCTCACTATGTCTCATGAGCTGGGCCGCCGATCGCGTCTTTGGCGGCGCACAGACTGATCACTATTCCTGGTCGCTGTCGTCAGCTACACCAACTGGGGCTGCCGTCGAAGCTGCAGACCTGGCCTCGACGTCCTCCGTGAGTCCACGATCACCCTGGTCGACTTCGTGAGCGGCCATATTGGCCGGCTAAGCAGGCGATCAGACATCTAGCTTGTTCAAACGTCAATCTCGTGAAGGAATCGAACATTAGTTCCTTTCTTGTATAGTCTTGACTGCCTGCTGTGCGCCTTGCCAACGAGCGAAGTGCTCCAAGCCCACGTTCGTCCGCCGAAGCAGGCATCTCGGCGACAACTCCCCGTCTAAGCCACGCTGCAATCAAAGGCGTCTCAAGCTAATACGCGTGTGCTCAAAAAAAAAAAGAGCAAAGCCCTCGCTGAGTTCTGCGGAGAAGAGTACGCATGCGTACCGAAATGAGGCTGAGCCCCGTCACTAACGGGCCGTGTCGCGGGCATTGACACACGCGGAGGCCATCTGAATCCATCTCATCGTGAACCGATAGATGCGTTAAGACACGTTATCTTATCTACCGACGATGTTTCTGGCGGTCTAGGTGGGCTGAGGGCATATGCTACGGCGGCTCTCGGGGAGAACTGCGACCCAGCGACCGCCATGAGCGGTGGCGTGCACCTTGGTTGAAGGTGCCTAATGTGGGAGGGTCATCAACGGACCCCTTGGATAGGGCATTTCACAATGCCTTTGTCCTATGTCAATCGCCTGAGTATTATGTGCCGGGTGACTAGCAGAGCCAGGGGTCGCAGCGAGACTGCATCGGTCATGAATTGTGCTAGTTTGACAAAGATGGATGGGAAAAGAAATGTCCATAGCGAAGCACTGGACTGGGCAACCAGCATCGCACTCCAGCGCCTTCGTTCCTCAAAGGAGTACTAGGTACCTAGATCTCCTCGTCCTGCGGCTGGACCCTGATCTTGCGCCACACGCTCCCGTCAGTGGGGTCGTCAGCCACTATGCCACCCTGGCACAGGGGACACTTGGAGGCGACCTGTCGCTCACCGCCCCTGCCCCGCCGCCCCCAAGCCGGTGGCAGAAATTTTTGGGCGTCTTTGGCGCAAAGCGCCGCCAATGCAAGCAGGAGCAAATCTGATCCAAGTCACGAAATCAGAACACAAGGATGACTGACGACGAGCAAGTTCCGACCCTTGTGTCGGCTGGCAAACCGGCCAAGCCTCTTGGAATGCGCAAGAATGGTACGAATTACCGCGAGGTGACTGATCCGCCCCATTGTCTCTGACACTTATGCGCAGGAAAGCAATGGCATCCTCCCAAGAAGGCGTTCCGGCCGACGGCAGGTCTGACGACGTACGAGAAACGTCAGAAGCAGCGCGCCGAGATGGCGCAAATGAAAGCGAAAGAGAAGGAGATGAAGGACGAGAAGGAAGAGCTGCGTCAGGTATGTGCTCACGACGAGAAGCGGCCGAGGGTTGACTGACCCAATTTCCTCCTGCAGCAACGCATTCAAGCCATCCGAGAGAAGCGAGCCAAGAAGGAAGAAAAGGAGAGATACGAGAAGATGGCCGAGAAGATGCACCGGAAGCGAGTCGAGAGGTTGAAGCGCAAGGAGAAGCGCAATAAGGTGCTCAATTCCTGACGGAGGGGTGCGTTAGGGGCCGAGATTGCGCACCACGACTCGGTTGGGTGATCGCCAAACGAGTCGTTTCTTCCCGCAACGACGTGCGCGTCCAGGGTTGCGGAAATGAGAGGCAACACTGCCCCGAGAAGATGGGACAGGGACGCAGAGGCCGTCGTTCCGTGGCCTTGAGAAAACGTCAAGCCGCGCTGCTTCCTGGAACCTCGAACCTAGGTCATCGGCAATGGCCTTGGATGCAAGATCGATATTTTTGCCAGGCGTAGAATTGGGGCCTGGCGTGGGAGCGAAGGAACACACGCGATTTGAAATCTGGGTTACTTTTGCTTTTGCTGTCGGCAACTGGGAGTTACGGAGCATGGGGCCATTCAATGATATTGCTGGTATCTGGAACTGCACAGCCTCAAAAACAGTTGTTGCGCGCCAAATTTGGCGCCAGAAAATAAGCAACCCTGGAGCCCTCCATTATGAAAGACAATCATTGTCCTTGAGCTTGGATCGCTCACTCCTGTGCCATGTGACATTTTGCTGGGCATCCAGCATGTCGCATGTGAACCAGTGAGAACCTCAAGGTCACCGCCAATCACCGCCCCATCCGACGGGGAGCTCCACTGCGTGCTGTGGCTGAGGTCCCGTCGGCAATTCGGCCCCACGACGGCTCTCCCATCAACTGGACCTCGCTCCAGATGGCGCTGGTTGCGTCACGCGGGACGCTGTGGCCACCACCTCCCAACGACCCCGATGGCGAACTTTAATGGCCCGCTCGACTTGCCCATGTTCGCCTCTCCTCTTCACGAGGAGCGGCATCGGGTTAAGAGGTCCCTAACCGAGTCTACGTCGCCGAGCAGGCTTCGTCGTCGTCACCACGATCATCCTCACCGTGGCCTTCACAACCACCATCACCAACAGCACCATCGTCACTTCCGCCACGACAACGATGAACCAGCTGTATCGGGTGTCTACCCTCCGCCCATAACGCGCCACTCTGCAGATATGGCTCGCCCAGAGGCTATCGCGCCTGCCTGGAGTCCAGACCAGAGCAGGAGGGCCAGTGTTTTAATCTCTATGGACGATGACGCTCGGTTCGAAACCAAGGAGAGCAGGGCGGCGAGATTGCGACTGGAGAAGGAGAAAGCGGCCCTTCGGGCAGAGTAAGTCTCAATCCCTGCAAGTGTGCCATTCTGCGTTCATACAGCTAAGTGGGCGTTGGACAGGAACCTGAAAAGGTCGCTCGCGGAGCTTAATGGATTCTCAACAAACATGACGAAGCGACTCGACGACACATACTATGCAGTACTGGAGAAAATGAGCACGCTGCAGAACACGGTCACTGCCCTGAAGGACCTGGCGGAGTCGTCTCGCGAGATCTGTGACGGGTTCGACAAGGACTCGCGTGAGCTTGCGGACGACATCGTCGGGCAGCTCGTCGCTGTCGGGCAGTTTGACGAACAGCAGACGAGGATAGCGGGCCTGCAGAACCGAATCAGTGAAGGACGCGCCAAGGTGCAGACCCTCACCGGCCGAGTGGATGTTGTCCGAGAGCGCATAGAAAGCTGGGAGCGTGCCGATAAAGCCTGGCAGGAGAGGACTCGTAAGAGGCTCAAGATCATCTGGTCTGTGACTTCGGTCGTGGCCATCCTCATCATCGCCCTGGCAATCGGCGTCCACTATTCGTCGGCCCGGCTCGACAGCACCGACCAAGATGAGCTAAGGAACACGGCGGCAGCGGAGTGGCTCAGCGAGTCCAACTACTCTCGGCAGTCAAGTGAGAGCGGGGAGTCGGGCGGGAGAGCGTTGTTTTGGAAGACACCGCTCCGTGACGGTGAGCGGCTGCGGGCATTCGACGAGTTATGAGCGAGGCTTGCCTATTGCCTTGTGTATTGCTCGTGACTATAGCATATGCCCGCACCTCTGCGTCTAATGATACCCCAATACATACATACATTTCGATATTATGCGCAGCATTCGTTTTCTTGAGCTTGCTAGAGTTGCGGAGCCTTGGCGGTGATACGCCATTACTTCCCCGCCCGTGTCCTGGGCCGTTTGAGACTTGTGGGGGGCCAAGGCTTTGACTTGCCGAGTCTTCGGCGTTGCCGAGTGCCTGCTGTCCGTGTCCAGAGGAGCTGTCCCACGAGGTGCGAGCTGAAATGTCTCGGTGATGCGCATATCGGAGCTACTGTGAAGGCGCGTGCAGCTGCGCCTTTCCTGGTGCCAAAGCCCTCACAGCCACATCCAACCGCGGGCTCCTTCCAGGGCCATGCGTGGGCGGTCTGCGAGAAAATTGCCTATTGGGGACATATCTTTGGTCCCTCACAGGAAGACTTGTCGTCTTGAGCCCGGTACGCCCCGCGGCATCAATCATCTTATGGTAGGGATTTGACAAAAGTCCTCGACGTTCAAGGCGGTTTGTCATGGCGGTCCGGGTGGTATGGAGTTGCTCAGGAGTTGAATCTTTCTCTTTGCAAGGTGTCGAGGGAGCCACACCAAGACATCCCACACAGTCTTCATTACGTCCAGCTAAGCAAGACTCTGCGAGGCAGTTTTTACGGGCACGGAGCAGATGTCAAGGCAACATTGCAAACAAAGCTGTTTGGTCTCGCAAATAGTACTGTAATCCTCCTGGAAGAACACGCGAGATGGGGGATCATCTCCTCAACGAGACGCGAGAACAAGTTGCTTCGTATTGTCGCATCTGAAATGGCCACTCGTCAAACCCGGCCACGTTTCGGCGTTCGCTTTTGTGCGAAGACGCGAGGCGCTGCAGCCAGCCACGGCCAACAACGAAACGGCTCACGCACACCTCCTGGTACCGTAGCTCTCGCACAGGCGCAGCAGGTTGTATTTGTGCCTGGCACTGCTCCGTAGCTTGCACGTTTGGAGAGGTCCAAGTTGCAGAGCTTGGCAACGTCCTTGGTACAGGCAGCCAAGAGCCGTTCCGCTGCGCGCTGCAGTCCGCGTCCCTAGCGGGGGATACGTGGGAATACTGGCCAAGAGTTCGGGCCATGGCCGACGATGGCTTGCCGAACTGCGAGTCGCGCGAAAGGAGCCACACCACATCCCACCAAAGGTGCACTGCCCGGCGCCAAGCGATTAATGATCCTGGCAGACGCTCAGCTTTTTCTTGGAAACAGTGTCCCGCGCTGTGGGCACGAACAGGGCGCCAAGATGGGACGTCATGCGACATGTCGCTGATGAAAAACCAGGACGTAGGTTGGACAGGTTTGAACGACTCCTCCTGCACAGCAGCGGCATGGGCGCGTAGTTTGCCCTGCAGTGCCTGGCAATATTCGCGGGTGCAACCCCACCCCCGTGGCTGCTGCGGGCACCCGAAGAACGGGCGCCGCCGCAGGCGACGTGCTGCGGCATGTTCCTGGCCCCATGGGTGGGAAAGGAACCTCGTCGACTGGAAGGGGACCAACTTCTGGCTGATTCTCCACGACTGGCTGGCTGGCTGCAGCCCAGGTTGATGAGTGGAACATTCTCTCCCGCCTGCCAAGACCAGGCGGCTTGACCGTCGCAGTGCCCACCAAGAGCCCACAACCCAAGCCCACGTCACGCCCCGCCGCCCATGTTGGGCCTCGTTCAGCGGATGGGGACGCTCAAAGGCGCGCCATTGATGCGCCGGACGTCAGATTGCCAGCCCCAAAATGGACCCATGGCATTTCGTCACCCACCCATCAGCCGCCAGCTCCAGCCTTGGGCGAGACCGTGCCTGCACAGACGGACAGGGCCTCGTGGAGGGGCGGAGGCTGTGAGCGTGACGAGGCGGACGTGCTGCGCTTCGTCTTGCATCGTCGTCGCTGTCAGGGCAGGGCGCCGCAACCTGACCTTATACAAGAGCCTGCTTCCCTTGTGTCCCTCCCGCCGGTCCGATCGCATTCGCTTCCATTTCCCCGCGAGCTTGTGCCTGCGGTTGGTTCGACGCCTGGCCTACGTGCTTCACTCCGGGTGCAGCTTTGGAGACCCCGGTGCGCTGAGAAATTCCGCCAAGTCGAGCTACAGCTGCCAGCGCCCCGCCGCAACAACTCTATACCGCTGCGCTTGGCTCGAGACCGTCATCATCCTCACAGACCCATACCCGCCGCACCTCACACCTTGCGGACGGCAGCTTGGTTCCTGTCCGCACTCAACACTTGCATTGCAGTGCGCACGAGACGCGTCAAGAGTCCCTGTGCATTTCTGTCGCATCGTCTGGCCATGGCTTCTGCGGACAAAGGCGAGAATGGCGCGCCCGTCGCAGCCAAGGCGACAATGTCGCTGCCCCTCCGCACCAACAGCGACCCCTCGGCGCCGCCGCCAGGAAACGCCTTGACTGGCAAACAGGAGCATTGTTCGTTGTTTCCAGCAATACTAGAATGCGCCAGACGAAGGATCTCTTGCTGACATGTTGTCCTTTGGTCAGACCTGAAGCGCGAGCTGATGTCCCAACAAGTCAAGTGGGAGATCAACGAACTCAACTCCCCAACGGCGCTCCAACGGTTCGGCGCACCATTTCGATCTGAGCGCGGCGAGGTATCTCCACAGGAATCGGAGCTTCCCATACTTCGATACATATTCGTTCACCATGTCCGCGACTTTCCCTTCCTCGACAAGGCGAGGGAGAAGGAGTTCTGGCAGGACAAGCTGCAAGTGGTACGACCGCCTCGCCCACACCCTCACACGTCTTGTCGTACACTGATTCACACGCACACGTACAGTTCCTCGAGTCCTTTGCGGGAAAGCAAATATCGTCGTCCGAGGACCGCCTCGAGGAGACCAAGCGCCGCAAGCTCGCCATCAAGGCGCAGAAGCTCGTCGAGCTCATGATGGTTTCGGGCATCCCCACATCGTCCGGCTTCGAAGAGCGCATCCGTTTCAGCGAGCTCGAGATCGTGGACAGCAATGCGATCGACACCGGCGTCCTACACACCATACCCGAGGGTAACTACATCAATGGTTGGGATGTCAATGTGGCGGGCGTGCGCGTCACGTCGGTCAAAAGGAATATACGCTACCACAAGCACGCCGAGTTCCTACTCCGAATTAAGAGAAAGGGAGAGCTGGAGCATTTTGTCGGCCGCAGATACGGGGACTTCGCCAAGCTTTCTAAGAACCTGAAGACGGAGCTCCCGGGGAGGGTACTGCCACAGCTGCCCAAGAAGAACAAGTCGAGCTCGACAGCATCCGGGGTATTCTCGGCGTTCAGCAATGGCGACGATTCCGATGCCTCTTCCATTTCGTCTCTCTCTACCCGCTTCACAGGTGCCGTACAGGATTCCACCGAGGGCAGCTCATCCCTGCTCTCACCTTCGGGGGGTAAGACGCGCTCGCACGGCTTCGGACAAAGAACACTGTGCTCACACAGACCTAGGAATATCCTCGCGCAAGCCAGGCTCCATCACCTCGGCCAGATCAATTCGGTCCAGAGCCTCCCCCCGCCCATCAGTAGAGAACCGCGGCAGCCCCGGCACAGGGCCCGGAACCCCTGTGGCCAGCGAGGAGGTAAGCGACTATGCAATGCCTATCATGAGGTGCAAGTTCTCACGTGGGCGCAGACGGTCATTCTTTGGCGCGAAAACCAGCGAATCTCATTGCGCGCATGGATTCGGTCTTTGCTTCACAACCCACAAGTAGCCAACACCAAGGCAATGATGGAGTTCCTCAGTGGCAATCCCATCACTCCGACTGATGAGGATGTCGACGACATCGTAAGGCGGAAGGCGATCGATGAGAAGCGCATCGAGGAGCAAAAGAAGTTTTACGAGATTGCCAGGAAGCGTGCGGCAGAGCTGGACGAGTACATGGAGCAGTTCGTCCACCAACGACCCTCGTCCACGGCTCAGTTTGGCTGACTTTACCCAAGATTCCGCCGCGATATCGTGGAGAGCCACGGCTTGACCATGCTCTTCAAAGAGATCAAAGAAAAGCAGACGATCGACGACCTCAGCATTCAGTACCGAAAGTTTGCCGAATGGCTTCGAATTGAGATTGCTGCCGTCATCTACCACCTCTTCCTCGCGGAGGACAATTCTCCAGAGATGTTCGCCCAAGCAAGGCGCATCCACTCCCTCATCCCGTATTCCGTCATCAAGAACGTCATTCGCATTGCCAATCCGGCGGCTGTCATGTCGGGTATCTTGGACATCTTTCTCGCTCAGCCCTTTGGTGCCAGGTCGTTGATGCAGCGGATTTTCTCGCTGACGCTGAACGATGGCATCAAGAGCTTCCAGAGGTCAATCGACACGTTGACAACCAAGATCGGCGACCCCGTGTTTACGGAAAAGATCCAGAAGTATACCAACGCTGAGGAAGAGATCAAGATGGCCATCCGTGAAGAGGCTGAGAGCGAAGACATCGACATCATCGTGGCAATCCTGCGGTCGGACCTGCTCGAGCCAGACTTGACTGGGGAACAGATTCAACGCCTGTTCAACGCTTATGTCGCATTCAACAACGCCGTCGAGAATATCGATGAAGAGCTCAAGCAGGGGGCGCAGCTTTTCTCCTACTTGAAGCAGCTTTTGAAGCTGTGCACCAGGCAGCGCGATAAGGCTATGATGCTAAACCTGATCGAAGAGCCCGTGACTCTGCAGCTCTTCCGCGACCTTTTCACGATCTTCTACGAGCCGCTTGTGCGAGTGTACAAGTCTGCCAATGTCTACAGCAGTGTCACAGATTTTGCCGTGTTTATCGACGATATGATACAGGTGAGTCGAAAAGGACGATGTTTGTGCGACCAAGACCCATGCTAAATGACATTGCCCACAGGTTGTCGACAAGTGCAGGGAGCAGGATGCTTCAGCAGATCCCAATCAGACGGTCCAGGCGTTTATTGACCTGTGCCAGAGGCACGAACACAATTTCTACAAGTTTGTGCACGAGGTGCACACCCACGACAATGGGCTCTTCACGCAGCTCATGGGCTGGATTGAGGGGATCCTGGAATTCCTTCGCAAGGGGCCAAATAACGGCAAGTTAAACGTCAACGCATTGTTCGAAGGCGGTGCCAGTGCTGGCATCGTAGACAAGGAGAAGGCGATTGAGGAGATCAACTCGTTGATCGCGTGGCAAGAGGCACGCAAGAAGTGGCACAACGACAAGACGCGCCAAAAGATGGCGGCCGAGGGGCAGCCGGGTGGCCCCCTGGGTGGACTCGGGATGAACTTCAACTCTTCCGACTTCGGATTGGACGGGCAGGACCTCCAGGACATGGCGTATGACGACGGGTCCGAATCAGAGGACGAAGCCGAGGAGGACGACGAGCTCGACCCCATTGAGGCGGAACGGAGAAGACGAGCGAAGCAGCAGGACCGCCTTCGACGATCGGCAGGCGAGCCTGCGAAGCCTCCCGTGTCCGAGGTGCACAAGCTGACGGACAACTTCTTGGTGATGCTGCGAGACGTGCTGGCAGACTAGATGACGTTTTGATATCCAGGACGGAGGTTCGGCTTAAAGGACAATAAGATAGGGCGGCATAGACAGCAGCGGGCTGACAACGAAGGTTGGGTAGAGGGGCGGGTTGAGGATAGATGTAAGCGAGCCATACAATGTTGAAGTCCGCGTTGAAGCAAACCCATACTTCGTAGGCGCTTCCTTGCACCGGGTCCAGGCGTTTAGTCTATGACATGCTCGTTTTGTGGCAACACGGTAATGGGGCGCCAGCTTCGGGATGGTGTTGTGGGGCGACTGGTTGGGAGCCGGAGCCAGCACCTTTCCATGTGACGGCGACGGAAACGTGTGCTGAGCGCAGTCCCGCCGTGCTGTTGGTCGCCCGAGATTGTCGCTTGTGCCAGCTGGAATAGAGGCAGTCGACCGACGCAGGATTGAACAGAAATGTGCACGCCACGTCGTAGATGAGACGATCCTGCGCTTGATTCTCTCAGGGCTTTCCATCAGCGCCTGCAGCGTTGCAGAATCACGGGAGCTGCACAGGCGCCTGCAGCGCTGTGAGGCGGACCTAGTAGGCTATTGCATGGGCGAGGGCTTATATTGGCTGCGCGCTGATTGGCTGGATGAACCGAGGAGCCGAGCAGCAACTCGTCCCGACGGAGACCCAGTGCAGACAAACGTTGCCGCGAGAACATCGTCCGCATCATCGTACGACGCCTCAACCCCGACACCAATCCATTCGTCACGCGCAGCACCGTTGCGGATGCAGCTTGGTGGTCTCCTGGACTCCTGTTGACGATGGCTTCTTCCATGGCTCTGAGGAAATTGGCCTCTGGCTCTGCTGTGCGTCGCTCGCTCTCCCTCCCGACCACGTCTTCCTCGCGACCTCGGGTGTCCCTTGTCGCGCGACCACATTGGCTGACCCGCGTCCTTGCAGTTTTCGCGGCTGGCGAGAAACCAGGCCAGGGCCTTTTCGACGACACGACCCGTCGGTTAGTACATGCCACGTCTTTCGGCGCGCGCCCGCAAGCTAACCCGAGGACGATTGCAGCACGAGTTATCTCGAACGGCCCGCTGAGGGCAAAGGAGGCCTCGCCTTTCGTGAGCAACAAGTACCCCGTCATTGTACGTCACGGTCTTCCTTCTTGATACGATCCCGACTTCTCGCAAGCCCAAACTGACCGCTTTTCAGGACCACGAGTACGATGCACTCGTCGTCGGTGCCGGTGGCTCCGGTCTGCGGGCCGCCTTTGGTCTTGCCGAGGCAGGCTTCAACACCGCCTGTATCTCCAAGCTCTTCCCTACCCGAAGCCACACAGTCGCCGCGCAGGGTGGCATCAACGCTGCCCTTGGCAACATGCACGAGGATGACTGGAGATGGCACATGTACGACACTGTCAAGGGCTCCGACTGGCTTGGCGACCAGGACGCCATTCACTACATGACCCGCGAGGCCCCTGCGTCCATTATCGAGCTTGAGCACTACGGCTGCCCTTTCTCGCGAACCGAGGAAGGCAAGATGTGAGTTCGCCACGACTCAACGATTCAATTGACTGCCCGATGGCTAATTGCTTGCAGCTACCAGCGTGCTTTCGGTGGTCAGTCCCAAAAGTACGGCAAGGGTGGTCAGGCCTACCGATGCTGCGCTGCCGCCGATCGAACCGGCCACGCTCTCCTTCACACGCTCTACGGCCAGTCGCTCCGACACAACACCAACTACTTCATCGAATACTTTGCCCTGGACCTGATCATGCAAGACGGTGAGTGCCGAGGTGTCCTCGCCTACAACCAGGAGGACGGCACTCTCCACCGATTCCTCGCCAACCACACCGTCTTGGCCACTGGCGGCTATGGCCGTGCCTACTTCAGCTGCACGTCCGCCCACACCTGCACTGGTGACGGTATGGCCATGGTTGCCCGTGCTGGTCTCCCCAACCAGGATCTTGAGTTCGTCCAGTTCCACCCCACTGGTATCTACGGAGCCGGCTGCCTGATCACTGAGGGTGCACGTGGTGAGGGTGGCTATCTGCTGAACTCGGAGGGTGAGCGCTTCATGGAGCGTTATGCCCCGACTGCCAAGGATCTGGCCTCCCGAGATGTCGTTTCCCGTTCCATGACCATGGAGATCCGCGATGGACGTGGTGTCGGTGCTGAGAAGGACCACATCTTCCTGCAGCTGAGCCACCTGCCTGCTGAGATCCTCGCTGAGCGCCTGCCCGGTATCTCAGAGACCGCTGGCATTTTCGCCGGTGTCGATGTCCGAAAGCAGCCCATCCCCGTTCTCCCTACCGTCCACTACAACATGGGTGGCATTCCCACTCGCTACACTGGCGAGGTTATCACTGTCGATGAGAAGGGCAATGACAAGGTTGTGCCTGGCCTGTTCGCCTGCGGTGAAGCCGCTTGTGTCTCTGTTCACGGTGCTAACCGCCTGGGCGCCAACTCTCTCCTGGACCTGGTCGTCTTCGGCCGCGCCGTCTCCCACACCATCCGCGACAACTTCACTCCTGGCACCAAGCTGAAGCCCCTCGCTGCTGACGCCGGCGCTGAGCACATTGAGGTTCTGGACAAGGTCCGCACTTCGGAGGGTCCCAAGAGCACGGCTGAGATCCGCCTGGCCATGCAGAAGGCCATGCAGACGGATGTCAGCGTCTTCCGTACCCAGGAGAGCTTGGACGAGGGTGTCCGCAAGATGGTCGACATCGATGCCCAGTTCCACGATGTCGGTATCAAGGACCGCAGCATGATCTGGAACTCGGACCTGGTTGAGACGCTCGAGCTCCGCAACCTGTTGACTTGCGCGTAAGTTTCCTATTTCCGGTTGCTGAGATGGAATGGTGAAACTGACACATGAATTTTTTCAGCGTTCAAACCGCCACTGCCGCCGCCGCCCGCAAGGAGTCTCGTGGTGCGCACGCCCGCGAGGACTTCCCTGACCGTGACGACGAGAACTGGATGAAGCACACGCTCAGCTTCCAGAAGAAGCCGCACGAGAAGGTGGACCTGTCTTACCGCAAGGTCATCGCCACCACTCTGGACGAGAACGAGTGCAAGCCGGTGCCCCCCTTCAAGCGTGTATACTAAATGGGTAAGCCAAAGGGCGTGTGGGGAGTGTCTGACTCCGGATGCTTCAGACCGGGTCTGCAAAAAAGATAAAACATGACGGCGCGTCTCCTTTGTTGTAAGACATGCGATATCCGGGACTGGTAGAGGGTTGGAGGAGTCATTTGATTGAGGAGCCGTGATGGGTGCCGAGTGCATCCTTGGCCGTGTATGGCGTGGATGTGTACACGTGTATTTGAGCATGGGAGGAGCTGAGTTACTGTAGCAATCTGAAAAGACAAAGAATACAACAAAGACACGCCGTGACTGTTTTGACCCCCAGCAGATGAAGCTGCCGCCAGGACACGATGCGAGCAGACTACGCGTCGGCGGGCCTGGCGGTGCTATTTTGATGCTTCGTGGCTTCAGTTGTTGACCCGAAGACAAATATCGTCGTTGGTTTGCGGAGTTGAAAATGCTATGATACGAGATTTAGACGCCAAATGAAACCCGCTGTCCAGTCCATTCCCCCCCAAACGCCACGAATTACCTGCTTATCAGCTGTCGTCAGGCATCGGCGTAAGCTGGGCCTTGATGTTGGTCAGTTGCCTGGCGTAGAACCGTTCCTTATTCTCCAATGCAACGACGCGCTCCTGAAGTTGGGCGATGCGGTCGTCCTTTTGCTTCAGTGCGGCGCGAGCCGAATCTCTGCCCAGCAGGAGGCCCTTTGTCCGGCGGGCCGAGGTAATGAGCTTGTCCTGCACCGACTGGAGGATGGCCGGGTCTGTATTGCTGCCGCGAAGGAGATCCATAATCTCGTCTGCGGGATCGTGAGCGGGGTCGGCTGGGCTGCTCGACGGCGTTGACTGCTGAAGGCCGACCCTTGACGTCGAGGGAGTCTTTGCGGGTGTGGGAATGCCAGACACGAGCGACTCCGGCTGCTCAAACGAGACCGACTTTTGGCGCTGCTTGTTGGGCCCTGTGAAGAGAGTGCGGGCGACAGACGGCGTGTGCAAACCATGTCCCGCGTCGACAGCCCGATCGTGGCTTGGGGTGGCAAAGATGTTGCCCGTATGTTGTCGGACCTTTTCAGCACTGCGGTCAGCCATGTCCGCTAGCTGACGCTCGTCGTCCGAGTCTAGGTCGCTGAAGAGCTCTGCATCGCCACCGCCGCCCCGCGACTCGAGGGCGCTTCTCTTCCGTTTGGAAGGTGTGGGACATGGCGTCTCCATGCCCAGCGTGTGTGAGCTGCTAGGCGGAGTAGCCTCTGCATCCTCGCCGCCCGGATGCCGAGAACTTTGGGAGCTTCCTGAGACGGGAACCTTGCCGGTACCACTGCCGCTGGCCTGCCCTGCACCTCTGTCTGTGATGGCCTCTTCGCCTCCCGGGTGCTGGCTGGCCGTGAGCTGGACCCCAAACGATGTCAACGGCCGCTGGGTTAAGCTCGGGGCTCTTGGCTTTGGTGGAGGCTGATCCTTGGGCTCCCCTACGGCGGCCGAGACGGCGGCGCCGTGGGTACCCGATGGAAGCCCCTCCTCTCGGAGAGTGGCCTCGTCCCTCCAGAGGAAGAAGTCGCAGAATGGGTAGGTTGAGCAGGTCCAGAACAACTTGCCCTTGTTAGGCGTGTCCTTCTTCACCTCTCGCAGGGCGGCTTGCTTGCGCGGCTCACAGTTGCCTGCACCTGGTCAGCCATCGTGATCTCGCCCGTCGTTGGAAGGCTTGGCTGCCCAGCCGTTGCGCTTAAACTATCGTATGGCGTTCAAGACGGTGAACTTACACCACCAATGACCGTCTTCCCACAGGCCATTGAGACGCTTCTTTGCGGAGCCGGGCGTCTCGGTCGTGCCGCGCCTGTCTCGTCGGGGAGTCCTGGACAATGCCGCCGCTGCGACCATGGCTCCGGGCCAATGTGATGATGAGTGATAACGTCCAAGACGGGGTGGTAGTCCTGCCGGGTAGAGTTTAGGCTTGGGAGCGCCGGATGACGTTGGGGATGGTGGAGGTGGAAAGTGGAGAGCGATGGGCGCGGCAGGAGCCGCTAACGCGGTGGCTGGGGGCGCGCTGGAGACAATGGGGCTGCTTCATCAAGGCTGTCTGCACTCTGCACCAGCCGCCGTGGGGTGCTGCATCGAGACCGGGATGCGGCTGAAAGGGGAAAATGAGCATCCCTGCGTTTTCCAGCGCGCACTTCCATCTCGTACCGACCGAGCGGGCGACGGGGTCGTGGTCGATGGGCGATGGACACTCTGACCCTGACCACAACGTGGTGATCGCCTCTGAGGATCAACGTTCTCGCAATGTTCCGGAGTTTCATTATGCGATCGACGAACGGGAGCGGCTGCGGCTGCGACCCTGAAGAGTGCAACGCCATTGCGTTCCGTCTTGCACACCGGTGTCGCGACAAGGCGCTGCGAGCCAGACGGGACGAACAGCGGCGCTGGAAGCCAGGCCATCGCTTGTGGCGTGGCTCGGCAATCTGACGGGGAGAAGGGCTCTCCGAGGCTGGACGTGAGTCCAGGCAGGCCATCCGCACGCATCTGCCGTTCCATTGGCGCCGAAGTCTCCAGGCACAAGCGCTTGCTCGTGCCCTAACCTCGGAATGGTAGGAGGGTCGCAAGCTCGTGGCTCTGTTTGCGCCGCCTCCCTACGGCCGCGTCTCCTGGACATTTATCTCCGGATTAGACGATTCGACGCTGTATCGCTTGGCGGCACGGTCCCCGGCCGAGAGCAACTCTGTCTTGCGTCTCCGCGACTGTTGGCTCACCCGCGAAGGCCAACAACCCTTGCGGCTATTTCGCCAATACTGGAGTACCAGCAGCCTGCGTAACCTTGACGACTCCACCTTGTTCTTTGATATCGTCCAAGACGCAATCTCTTCAAGCTTTGGCGCGATGAACTCCTGGAGAGTCCGAATGGCCGCCAAGCAGGGCTGTGCTCCAACGATCCGTACGACTTTCCCCAAGTGATTGTGGGATGAAGCCCACATGCATCCAAGACTTTGATCGAATGTCCCGCCCCCCTGTCTCTTCTCCGTGGACAGCTGAGCGGATAAGCCCGCGGATTCACATGGATGTCTCGGGGGACAAGGCTATAGCTGGCTGCTCCGGGCACACTTTCCTCGACTTGCGGTGTCGGTGGTGGTGAGATCATGAGATCATGAGACCTCTAGGTTTGACCTTTTGTCGCGTCAGCTTCAGCTTCCTTCTGATGACGGCGGCGAGGCCAGGCTCGCGTCCGACAACTCACATTGCATAGACCAAGAGCTCTCGGCCAGCGGGCCAGCGGACCATTGCATCGAGTTGCCTGAACGGGGAGATAAGACATGTGGGAATCGACGCACGCTTCCTGCACTCCGCATTTCTCTATTTCGAGATGCAAGGCTGGCTGCGGGCACATAGTATGTACATGCTTACTTGGACACATATGGCCTGGGCTAGGGACGGGGGCAGCCTCATACGGGTCCGGCACATTGCCAAGTTCAAGGGGCTTCTGACAAAGGGCTAGGGGGCGTCATCCGCCAACTGGGCCGATGGGGCAGGAGGTTCCAACGCGGCCGCCAAGGTGCGCAGATTGTTGTCGTCGCCGGGGAGGGCATCGCCTCTGATGACACCCGCATCGTCATCGAACGACGGCAGTCCTCCGTCGCTAGCGTCAAGCCACAACATCCAATCTGCACGGAGTTCTGCCCCTTGGCGACTCCTGTCCGCCTGGCGACCTCCGAACAATGTAGGTCGGGGACACTCACTCACACTCGTTGGCACAACCCTCAGGCGAACCCCGGAGCGTGAGGGCAGCCCCTTGGTTGGCTGGAGGGAACATGCATACCTTCATGGTTGGGGCCGGCGCGCCGCCCCCAGTCCTCTTTAATCTCTTTCCTCTTTCGACGTCGTCGCCCGTGTTTGTCTGCGTGCATTGGGTCGCGGCAGGCGCAGGGAGATTTCGCCCTCCCAGCCTAAAGGAGGGCAAGGACCAAGGGAAGGCCTTGCCTACCTTGCTGGCCGTCGTCTCGCATGCATCCCATCCCAGATCTCCGGCCGCCGTGCTTGGCCCAGGCTGTCCCCCTTATCTCTGGGAAGGTGTGTGCGTCTCATGAAACGCCTGTTCGTTGACGCCATCCAGATTCCCAGTTGCTGCCCCCGTCTACCCCTCACGACCCTGTCGTACAAACAAGCTTCGAGGCGAGATTCGTGCCGCCGCCCGAGCGGGACATTTCCCGAGCTCGCTCGTTGGGTTGGCATCACGGGCCAGCCCCAGGACGGTGGCTCCCGAGATGCTCCCGATATATCTAGCCAACGGAGCCCCGCCAAGTATGCATAATCAAGGCGGACATGTGCCCGGAGTTCTAAATTTGTGGCCAGAATCCGCCCCTAATATATTTTATTAATAGGCAGCGCAATTGCAATTCTCCGACAGCTGGGCGGCAGAGCGAGCATCCATCGGGCGCGCTCGTCGCCGCCGCCACCCCCCCGTCACGGAGACTGCAAGACTCCACTCCCCACTCCTCCACCATCTTGTTCCCCCGCACGGGACTGCAAGATTAGGAAGGCGCGTGCTCGGCATCGTGGACGGTTACATTATCAGGCGTGGGCTCGCCGTGGCAGCGGCCAATATCGATGCAGCCCCCTCGGCCGAATCATGCTGCCGGGCATGTCAACGCCGACGGCGCCGCGGCGGGCAGCCGCAGCTCTCAGTTCCGGGCCTCGCTTACATGAACACGACCGAGTCCGTCAAGCCGCCAACCTGTTTCGCCGCCACCGCCGACGTGGGCGCCTTAACGCTCTGAGGCAGTTGACTCTTGTAGACTACATGTAAGCTTGGGCCCCCGAGCGGCAGTGACCAAGCCGCCGATGATCATGCCAGATCTGGACGGGAAAGCGGGCAAGGCAACCACAGGGTCCTGGCTTCACGGGCTCGGGGCCCATGTCTGGCGGTTGCCGGTAAACAACGTTACCAGTGCTGAACATCATACGGCATCAACCATGGTTCGCGAGTAGCTGTTTGTCTCTTGAAGCTCAGCGTGCGCCCGCATGAGGCAACAGAGGCGGTAGTACAGCTGAGATATGTTGAATATTCAGTACTCGGCGAGCCCGGTCCCGTTGCGGTCGAGATTAGTACCACAAGGGCTTCGAACCGCGTTGGCGTCGTAGTCCGTCGTAGACTCTTCAACGGGGCCTAGATCCGGGACAACGTCCGTTGCCAACCACCTCCGACCAACTGGTGGGGAATCCCCAGGTAGCAGTGGTAGTGTTGCGACAGCGTCACATTGTCGCGACTGGGCCTTCCGTGAAGATTCGAAAGCCTGACGCCGAGTAGAATCAAGACAGTCGCCCCCCCACGCGCTGCCGTCACACCGGCCATGACGGGCACGAAGACAAAAACGAGAGCGCCAAGGATATTGAAGCCGACAAATCCGCGTCGGCCTCACAAGCGTTGCAACACGCCACCGCCTAATCGCGCCGTGCAATACTCGCGAGTCACCCGTCACCACACCCAGGTTGTTGAGACGTTGACCTTTCCTTGGCCCTGGCGCTCGAAGACACACACCCTCCACCCGTACAGTCTGTCCAACACACGGGCTCGAGTACCTGCTGTGCCATGTTTTGCCACGCTCTGCTTTAGGTACCTACCTTGCCAAGTAGCTCCTACCTGACTTCCATCGTCCGTATGCTCCAGCTCCCGTCGCCCTAGACCCCTGGAAAAGGGCCGCCAGCAGGGTCGTGACGAATGAGCATGCTTTCTGGTCTCGCCCCAGCTTCGCGACGACGTCTTGGGCGTCGAACTAGAATCTATACAGAAGTTGCAAAGACGGACGCCCTCCGTGCGCAAGTGCCGCCTTGCGCTTGGTATCATTCGCTCTCCTCCACACCCGCTGTACAGTACAGAACAGTACCACTTGACTCCATCTCAATATGCCTCAAGCGTCGCCTCTTGCTCTCGCCTCCCGACATCATCTGATTACAGAGCTGCCACTTTTGGAAGGTGACGATGGCCTTGTTCAACCTCAAGTCTCGGCTGGCGTGGAGTAACAGCGCATGTCGTCGTACCCAATATCATCGACATTGACCTCGACTTGGGATATAAATATGGACAGTCGAACCCGCCATGAATCGGTCTTTTTGTTGCTCACCACCACTCAAGCACTCTTCGGTCCTCTCTCCTCTGGTCGTCGGTCTCAAAACAGTTCTCCTGCTCCCCGTCTTGATACATCAACTCGTCGTTGACGCACACCTTCACAATGAAGCTGTCTCTTCTCTTCGCTATCCTTCCCGCCGTCCTGGCCGCTCCCGCCGTGAAGCGCGATGAGCCTGCTCCCCTCCTGACGCCCCGCGGCGCCAGCCAGCTCATCAATGGCAAGTACATTGTCAAGTTCAAGGACGGCATGTCCATCGCCTCTGTCGACAAGACTGTCAGCGCTCTGTCCTCGAAGGCCGACCGCGTCTACAACCACATTTTCCGAGGCTTCGCCGGCAACCTGAATGCCAACGACCTCAAGACCCTGCGCGACCACCCTGATGTGAGTCCTATTCTCATTCTGACTCCAGCGCCGATGCAGGCCAGTGCTGACAGCTCCCCAGGTCGAGTACATTGAGCAGGATGCCATAATCACCATCAACGCGTACACTCAGCAGCCCGGCGCCCCCTGGGGTCTCGGACGCATCTCTCACCGCAGCAAGGGTAGCACCACATACGAGTATGATACCAGCGGCGGCAGTGGCACCTGCGCCTATGTCATCGACACTGGCGTCGAGGCTTCGCACCCCGAGTTCGAGGGCCGCGCCAGCCAGATCAAGAGCTTCATCAGCGGCCAGAACACCGACGGCAACGGCCATGGCACTCACTGCGCCGGCACCATCGGCTCCAAGACGTACGGTGTTGCCAAGAAGACCAAGATCTACGGTGTCAAGGTCCTCGACAACTCGGGCTCCGGCTCATACTCCGGCATCATCTCCGGTATGGACTTTGCCGTTCAGGACTCCAAGACGCGCAGCTGCCCCAAGGGTGTCGTCGCCAACATGTCTCTGGGCGGTGGAAAGGCTCAGTCCGTCAACGACGGTGCCGCTGCCATGATCAGGGCCGGCGTCTTCCTCGCCGTCGCCGCTGGCAACGACAACGCTAACGCCGCCAACTACTCCCCTGCCTCTGAGCCGACTGTTTGCACCGTCGGCGCCACCACCTCTTCTGATGCGCGATCTTCGTTCTCCAACTACGGCAGTCTCGTCGACATCTTCGCCCCGGGTAGCAACATTCTGTCCACCTGGATCGGTGGCACTACCGTAAGTACCTGGTATCCCATGCTCCAGGAGCTTTTCGACTGACTTGAAAAATCTTAGAACACCATCTCTGGTACTTCCATGGCCACTCCCCACATTGTTGGTCTCGGTGCCTACCTCGCCGGTCTGGAGGGTTTCCCCGGCGCCCAGGCACTCTGCAAGCGCATCCAGACCCTTTCTACTAAGAACGTCCTCACCGGCATCCCCAGCGGCACTGTCAACTACCTCGCCTTCAACGGCAACCCCAGCGGCTAAATGCTACAAGAATGAGGACTCCTCGACGACCTTTATGCCAGCCATGACCTTTTTGGAGCATATCAACAGCGGCGAGATCCTCTTGGGACAAAGGTAAATATGTGGCATTGAAGCTGCGCTCCTGTCATATACTCCGCGCAAGGAAGAGTAAAAAGTGGACATGTCTTTTAAATAGCACCAATACATATCTTATGAGGCCTCGAATGCTTGTCTTTTACTCGTCTCTTTGACACCCCACTATCAATGGTTTCCTGGCTCACTCAGCTCAGCTTGAAGCCGCCTCCAACACGCTTTTGAAAGATCTCCTCCGGATCATACGCAGCGCGGACTTTGAGAAGAAACTCAACATTCTTATGGCCGTACGACGCCAGAGGAGCTTGGTAGGGAGCTGCGTAATTGAGGTACTGGAATGCTTGGAGCTGATTCTTCGTCTTTGCGCACGCCTCTACGCGAGAGAGAGCTTGCTTTGCTCTGTTTTGGACGGCTTGCCTGGACGAGGAATTGGGCCAGAGCGCGGACAAGAGAAGGACTGCGAATAGTGCCGAATTAGAGGGGGATTTTATGACTCAAATATTGGTCAAAATGAAAAGCATACCGAAGCCTTTGTCGCTGGATTCAATACCGAGAACGTTGTCGCCATTGCTCTGGGGACGTGATAGCATAGCGCCGGCGAGCGGTTCGAGCGCGACGTCCCAAACGACACCTCCTTGAGGATTGAACGAGTAAAGTGTCTCGTTGAGGACCTCGAATATGTCGACCAATAGAGAAGTCGACGCCTTGAATGTTGCGGTTGCAAAGAGCCAGTTCCTGGCCCTGTAAGCGGGAGGACTCCCTGGTCCACTATCAATCTGACTTACAACGGAGGTGTTGTAGCCTCATCGGCCAACGTGGACAAGGATGTAATAGCGCTACTGTTGGAGAGGCTGGGAATTGACAGCAGATTGGAGAACACTGGAGGGTTGAGGACAGGTTTGGTATAAACGGCGGACGTAGACATTATCCAGCGACCGGATGTCGAGTTGTAGAGCAGGCCCATCACGAGTGAAGTGTAGGGGTCAAAGGGAACAGTATTGGCGATGTCGGTGAATGCCGAAAAGACCGCTTCCCGTTGAGAGATGTCATGAACAAGGCTGGTAGAGGAGATGTTCCCCTGCGGAAACGTAGCGAGATCGAAGCGTGTTACGATGCCGAAATTGTTGGCGCCGCCCTTGAGGGCACGGAACAGGTCGGGATGAGACGTGCGATTGGCGTTGACGAGACTACCATCTGCGACAACGATCTGCCTGCCAGTGAGCATCATGTGCTGTTGAATCAATCAAACGGTCTGTTACCTCGAAGTTCACCACGTTATCGCATGCCCAGCCGACGCGCGTGGTGAAGTGCGAGATGCCGCCTCCAAGCAGGAGGCCGCCAACGCCGACGTTGCCGTTTCGCCCACCCGCGACCTCTACGCCTAGCGGATCAAGGTGGCGGTATACGTCGAGCCAGGAAGCTCCCGCACCGACCTTGGCCACTGAATGGTCGCTGCTTGTCTCGATGGACGCGAGACTCGTCATATCCAGAGTGACACCGCCATCGACGTTGGCAAAGCCCGCCGCAGGGCTGTGACCTTGGCCCTTGATGGCGAATTTGCAGTCTGGTGTGGACTTGATGACTTTGATTGCTCTGGAGACGCCCTGGGCGCTGGTGGGACGAACGATGCATGCCGGCTTGAGATCGGACTCTTGGAGGGACCAGTATGAGGCCTCGGTGGCATCGTACTGCGACGAGCCCGGGAAGTTGACGACGGCCTGCCCAATAGCCTGGCTCAATTCGCGACACTGGGAGTTGTTAGTCAGAATGGTGACTGTTGTGAGGCGTAATACATACGCAATCTGTAGCCAGTGTCGCTCTAATGCTCAACGCCGAGATGGCGAGCCTCCGTGATGGCCTCATGATCCCTCGTAGTAACAGAACTGCACTGGGCGATGTAGCACACACTTGCGAATGAAAGCAGGCGCAAGTCTGATGAGACATTCGGAGCGCTCGCTGGTACATACGTATATATGTCCATACTGCTTCGTCTTCCTGCGGCGGCAACTCGGCACCGCCAATTATGCTAGTCGAGTTCTGGAGTCGGGCCGTTCCCATTGAGTCCCTGTCGCTGCTTACACCCTGCTCGGTTCGGCCACGCAACTACGTGGGGATGATGCTATTCAACAAGCACTAGCGAACACCGACCGTCTGTGTGTGAGCTAGGACAGGGAATCTTACCTGCTCGACGCAATTGGCCAATTGACGAGGAGACGCTCAATATGGTTATCCGGGGTTCTGACATGCCTCCACACTACAACATCTCCGGCGTTGTAAGTGCGCTCCAAGCCAGGACGATTCGATCGTGAATGCTTTCTGTTTGCTTCGCGACGCGGCGAGCGGCAGTTGCATTCACAGAGCGCCATCCGTAGTCGGGCAGCAACGGTCTGCATGAGTGACTCCTGCAGGTCCAATGTGGCTTACAAAGAAGGATTCGTGCCCCTCACCTTGCCTCTGTGGCCTGTTCCATCCGACTTTCTACTTCATCAAGCCCACCAATCTGGTCCTCGACACGCGAGTAATTCCTTTTTGTGTCGTTCCCAGCGCACCCAAAACGCTTCATCCATCATGAGTGTCAAGCACATCGTCCAGTTCCAATTCAAGGCAGCCGCCAGCCCAGAGGCCGTCAAGGAGGTTAGCACTTGCGAGTCCAGGGCCCGATTTCGGACCGCTGCATCACCACTTGAATAGAGAAGCTGGCCGCTGACACTTTGCTCTCTTGCAGTGCGTCTCTGAGATGCTTGGCCTGAAGCATAAGTGTCTCCATCCGACCACGAAGACCCAGTATATCAAGTCCTCTGTTGGTGGCAAGGACATGTCGATCGAGGGTCTCCAGGTACGTTGCTACTTGCGAGTGTTCCGCTCCAGCAGACACAATGCTGACGAACACCAAGCATGGAATCACGCATGCCTTCATTGTCGAGTTTGACTCGGTTGCGGACAGAGATTATTACGTCAAGGACGATCCGGAACATATTAAATTTGTGCAGACCTACGTCACCTCGCCGGACAGCGTCCTTGAGAAGGGTCAGGTCATCGACTTCGTCCCTGGCGAGTTCTGATCCGCTACAAGCCACATGAAGGCAGCTATCGCCGGTGTACGAAGTAGACTTAGGAAGGCCGTTATGGGACAAAGTCAGTTGTCGTATCGGCGTGAGAGACAGGGGAGTGTTCAATGCTGGATGTTGATTTCTCATCAGGCCATTCGTGCCCAGCGTAAGATGTGACAGCAGACCGAACGCTATCCTTTCCACAGATCGCTCCTCCCAGAATACGAGGGAATTGCAAGTGAATCTCAGGACCCTGAGGCAACGTAGAATCCAGCGGGACATAGTACCAGAACGTGATATGAGGCGATGGTGAAGGTAATGGGCTCGGGATACAGGTAGGGCGCAAATCGCTCTTCAACATAGCATCGCACCTAAGCAGTCGTATCAGCATGCGCACCCTGTACCTTATTTAGGGCTATGGTGGATGGCTGCCAGCAGACGAAGCAAACTGAGGATGCATGGCGCGGTGCCTGCAAGGCTGGTGTGGCGTTCGACGCAACAGACCTGCCCCCAAAAAAGTGGCGGCATAAATATCCCGGCGGCAACAACGCTGTACAGCGAACTGACTGCTGAGGGTTTGTGTTCCGTCCCCGTGCGAAACCAAGCGCCAACGAGTGGACCGGCGGCTGATACAGTGGTTGAGTTAATACCTGCGACTGGAAATGGGAAAGGATGAACCCCTGGGTCTAGTGCCTGGAAGAGCCAGCTCCACGTGACAGCGCGTTCCTCCTTTCCCTTCTTCAACTGCTGCTTCATCACCAGATCAAGCCCGAGCCTGCCTTGGTCTCTCGTTGCGCCTCCCCACCATTGGTCATTCGTTTTTATTTCGTTTCGTCGCCAACACCCCATTCGCGCGGCTGACCACGTGAAGAAGCACTGCAAAAAGCACGCAGCTTTCTCACGTGCACGACGTCACAACCCCCATCACGCGCACTCGCACCCAGGCGCTCTCTCGAATCATCAACGGGCCCCCCTCCCCCAATGGCCTCTCGCATGTCCGTCCCGTGGCGCCTGGCCACACGCACAATTGCCCGGCCAGCGCGCTGTTCGGCCCCCTCGACCTCCGTCCCCCGGGTCGCCCTTCGCCAACAAACACAACGCCGCCTCTACTCGTCCGAACCGCCGCGCAGCAGCTCTGGTGGAAGCAGCAGAATCAAGTTTTGGCCGTTTTTGGGAATCATCGCCCTCGGATCCGCCGGCTACGTCGCTTTGGTGAATCGCCGCAAGGGTTAGTACCCGCGCCGTGGCACGGGCTTCGCGCAAGGGCTTCGCGCAATCACACTTGGCGATCCTGCAAGCATGGCCTCTGCAATTCAAACAAGCTGACAACCCACCCGCAGAGATGCCTCCCGCAGTTGATGCCCCGAAACCTGCCGCCGGGCAACTGCCCGCGCCCGCCAAGTCCACGCCGGCCTTCTCTCCTGACGACGTGACCGTCATCTTCGTCCTCGGCGGCCCCGGCGCTGGCAAGGGCACGCAGTGCGCCAACCTTGTCTCCAAGCATGGCTTCACCCACCTCTCGGCCGGCGACCTGCTCCGCGCCGAGCAGGAGCGCCCCGGCTCGCAGTTCGGCGATCTCATCCGCGACTACATTAAGAATGGGCTCATCGTCCCCATGGAGGTCACGGTCCAGCTGCTTGAGAATGCCATGACGGACGCGCTGGCTAAGAGCGGTTCCAGCAAGGGACGATTCCTCATCGACGGTTTCCCCCGCAAGATGGACCAGGCGCACAAGTTTGAGGAAGCCGTCTGCCCCGCCAAGCTGGTTCTCTTCTACGACTGCCCTGAGGACGTTATGGAGAAGCGCCTGCTCGAGCGCGGAAAGACCAGCGGCCGTTCCGACGACAACGCTGAGAGCATCCGCAAGCGCTTCCGCACGTTTATCGAGACGAGTATGCCCGTCGTGGACTACTACGAGAAGGAGGGCAAGGTCATCAAGGTTGATGCCACTGCCGCTCCCGACAAGGTTTTTGTCAACACCGAGAAGCGACTCACGGAGCGACTGGGCTCCAACTTTTGAGAGAATCCGGGACCCTCTCAAAGAGGACACGGCTGCCATATGGCATTCTTCTTATCCGGTCGGACCGGGAGTCTCATTAGCACCATATTTGGGTTAGAAGGGATGTAAATTATCATAGACGGAGAGGGCTTTGCGGTCTCGGCTTGTAATAGGTCTCAATGGTCGGAGGTGCTCATTTATACCTGGCTTTTCGTGCCTTCTTCTAGATCCGCAATGTAGTATTACATACGCCGCGAGTTCTGCAACGTAGCCTGGCGGTGACCGGCCTCGAAGGGTATACTCATGCACCATCACCGAATGCTGGGCTGTGTCTGTCATTTTGATTGATTCTATTTACCGAGAAGCTTGTCCTCCCTGATGCTGGAAAATAGAAACGGATGCTAAACCGGCTACGCCATTCGCAAAAAGGTTCCCCCGTCCTCGTCAGATACTGGAGACGTGTCCCAAGCCGACGATGTAGTAACACAAAAAAATCGGTATCTCTCAAGATACCCCCAAGCCGAGTGTGCGCATCCTCTTCGTTCCGTTGCCTTTTGTAGCCGTCATCAAGAAATCTCTTTAGTCATCATTGTCTGTCCGCTCCCGCTGCTGCGACTGCTGCCCCTGCTGTCGTCGCCCGCCCTGGCCGACGCCGGCGTTGTTCATCTTCCGCTCCAACTCCTGCATCTCGCGCTCCTTCTGTGACTTTGCGTTGGCCTGCTCCTGGCGCAAGACACCCAGGACGTTCTGAAGGGTCGCCCTCCAGTGGTCTACGCGGGTGGCCAGCTCCTGATACTGCTTCTGGCCGAACACGCGGTACGTGACCTTGTGGACGAGGAACATGTTGCGCTTCTGCGACAGCTTTCCCTCGACGAGGCCAGCTCGGATCACATCAATCGCCCACATCTCAATGTCCTCCTCGGGAATCTGGAGCGCCTTGACAATCTTGGCGTATTCGATCTCGCGGCTGGGGGTGGCGGCTGCCAGGCTGGCGAACGTGAGGAGGCGCATCTTTCGGTGAAGCTTCTCGTGGTCCAGCTTCTGCTGCTCAACCCAGCCCTCGTGCTCTTCGTTGAAGTCGTTGTAGTCCTCAAGGTCTTGCTCGGCGAAGATATCGAGAAGTTGGGAGTAAACGGGGTGGGAGTCGCTGAGGGCCTGCACGCTGGGGATGGCGCGGAGATCTTGGAAGAGGAAGTGGGTGTTCGAAAGAATGGCCGTCTTGAGAGCCCGGAGGGATAATCTTTGAGCATCCTCGGAGCCAACCTCCTCCTTGTCGTCGGCATCAAAGGTTCGGAGGGCCTTGAGGATGAACTCGTAGCTGGTCCTGGTCGAAAGGGTCAGCAAGCCGCGCGCCAATCTATAGGCACTACTGTCTGCTCAAGGATGGAAGCAGCATAGTGACGATGCTTCAGTTGGGACTCACTCTTCCTCTTCGGCCTCCAGAGCAATGTCCGCGACCTCCTCGTACAATTTCCGCTCAATCTCCTCACCGCAGCCCCATGAGTCTATCCACTCCGGAAGCTTGTCGAGGTATGGTCGCAGGTTATCGAACATGCTATGGGCTTTCAAGAACTTGAGAATCTCCATAAACACGCGCGCACGGATCGGGTCCTCCTGGTCGAGCAGGTTGAAGACAGTCGTGAGCGCATTGAGAGACAGAGCCGCGCCGTGGACAGGCGAGTTGCCGAGCGGCTTGGCAAAGTTGCTGCAGAGCGTCGGCAGGTGCTTCTTGGGGTCGGCGGACTGAAGAACAAGGTGGATCATCAGATTCGTCGCGGCGGTGTACTCCTTCTCGGGCACGGTGTTGAGCGCCTGAGAGGCAGCGACCAGCTTGGAAAGAACCTCCTCCTTAGGGGAAGACTCCTTGGCCAGAAGCTGCTTCGCGTCCTCGGCCTTCAGGTAGTCCGCCATCTCCTTGGCGAGCTCCTCAAAGGAGCCATCGACAAAGAGCAGCTGGGGCTGCCCATTGCTCTTGGTGGCAGGCATGATGGGCCTCGAGTGCGATCGTTTTCCCGTACGTCGATCGGTCGGTCGGTCTCGCAACGCTGCTTCGTGGATTTGCGAGTCGGAGAGGCGGGAGGGCAGTCTCGCGATCGTCTGCAGCGGAGGGAGGGGGTGGAACTCGAGTGCGGAAAATCGTGATGTTGAGCGGTTGGCAGGGTCGGCGCCCGAATAGCCCTGTGGTGGGGCGACGAGTGACCGCCCACCCCGCCGATTTTTCTGCCGCCATCAGTGTGTGGGAGCTAAGCGAGAGCGGTGACGCTAGCAATATCATGTGACGGTTCACGTGTAACACTGTGAAGGTGGCGCTCCGGCAACAGCAGTGCGTGCATGTTGCACCGGCCCAACTTGCAAGGGGGTCCGCCAACTGCGATGCCACGCAGGATATGGTTCATGGCATCCATGGAAATTTTATCCTGTGTATATTGCTGCCGATGAGGCCAACCATGTATCCGCTCGGTACAAAGGCTCGCCCCGGACGTGGACAAGCCTCATTGCCCCGTGATTCGTGCTAGTAGCGGCAACTCCACGCCAACCGAGTTGTACGCTTGCCGTCGACGCAACGAAGATTCCCAAAAATAGAATAAGACAGTCGTACCATGAATGCTCAAACCGTTGCGTCCTATGCCCCAATATCTATGTACAGCCGCAGAGCAGAGAAGTGATGAAGATGCAGAGCCCACAAAATATGCTGTGGCGACAGCCGCAGCATTAAAACGATCCCAAGAGATAAGTCGCACTCCCACGGCACATCACAGCCAGCACAGCGCCTATCGACCAGCGTTCTTGCCCTTCTTCTTGCTTTTTGAGGCGGCGCCGTCCCCAACGGGATAAATGCTCGCGCTCTCATCTGGGTAGAGTTGTTGGTCGCCCTTTCCACCCATCTCCATGAACTCACCGGCAGCTCTCTGGCTATCGGGGGCCGTCTCTTTGGCGGCGTTGGTAATTCGGTGCTTGTTCTTCGAGAACACCTTCACGGGCGAGCGGTCGTCCCCTACTGCAACCTGTGCCGTGACCTGCACAGTATTGAGTGAGGCAAGCAGCGTGCGCTCCCGCACGGGTGCCCGGCGATTGACTTCGAGACCAGCAATGCCACCGACCAGACCACCAGTGCTGTCATTAACCCCTGGTGCGCTTTGCGTGAGCCATGGATGTGCTAGGCACTGGTCGATAGTGTACCTCTTTTCGGGGTCCACAACGAGCATCGAGTCGATAAGATCAACTGCCTCGTGTCAGCAACCGGCAGAGCAGCGAATACCGAGGGTCGACTTACGTGCTGGATCTCCAACGGAATCCCAGTATGGAGATGGGTAGTCGAAGCGACCGCTCTTGATTTGTTGTGAGAGAGTAAAGGGGAAGTCTCTCGAGTAGAGCTCGTCCGAGAATGGAGGGAAGCCACAAAGACAGATGTAGAGCACAACGCCCAACGACCACACATCAACCGCTTTCGTGTACTTCCGTTGCTTCGAGTCTGCGAGGATCTCGGGAGCCACGTAGCTCGGTGTGCCGCATAGAGTTGTTGTAAAAGATTCCTCGCCAATGATCTTGGCCAAGCCGAAGTCGGCCAGCTTAACGTGCAGATTCTTGTCGACCATGAGGATATTCTCTGGTTTGATGTCTCGATGGACAATGTTTCGTTCATGCTTGTTGAAATCATCAGCAAACATCGTCTTGGTGAGCGTGCAAGAAAAAACGTACCAGGTATTTGATGCCTTGAAATAGCTGCTTGAACAGCTTGCGCGACTCATCCTCGCTGAGCTTCTGCTTCATGACAATAAAGTTGAACAGCTCGCCTTCTGGTGCAAGCTCTAGCACCAGATACACCCGGTCGCGCTCATTGAATGTGTCCTTGAGGCACAGCACATTCGGGTGGCTGACGCCCATCAAAACGCCAATCTCCTGTTGCAACCCCTCGGTCTTTGATCTGTCCTCCATACCAGGATGCTTCGTAAAGATCTTGACCGCATACCTCTGTCCGCTCGACTTCTCCACACAGAGATAAACTTCGGCGAAATGGCCTTTCCCCAACTTCTCCAGCAATGTGTACTGTTGCAGGAAAGCACTTGTCTGTCGGCTTTGGGGGTACCGAAAGACAAATCTGGCCTTGCCGTGAACCGCGATCTCGTCCTGATCCTCCAACTCGCGACGCTGATTCCGTCCGACGATGGCTTCGTTGACATATGTGCCGTTGCTGGACAGATCCTCAACGATTGCCACAGTGTCCGTGCCTTTGTTTTCAGTGAATAGCAAGCAATGTCGATTGGAAACGACGCCTTCGCTGACAACAATGTCTAAACAACGGTTCATTAGTCGCTGCAGGGGAGAAGCTGATCCTGGGTTCCATATATGCTCACCACACTCTGGATGCCGGCCTATCAAGTATCCTCCGGACGCGACTCCTTTTACTTTTGTTCGCTCGTAGGCCTCCTCTTCTTTGATCGCCGCTGGCCTGTCGTCCTTGGCCGATCCTTCGCCATTGGCAGCCGCTGCAATGGAGTCTGGCAGCGGGCAAGCGCTCCGCTTCTTCAAAACCAGCGGCTTGTCGCCATACTTGGGGTCGAGGGGAACGAGATATCCCCAAACACCCTCCTTGGCCTCATCCTCAACTTCGTCGGAGAGGGCTGGATGACGATCGACGTATTGGCTGAGAGGTTGAGTGTCCTGAGGCGGCGAGGAGAGGGCCTGACTCTGACCCCATGCCTCGTCTGTTTTCCGCGGCGTCACATTTTCCGTCCTGACACCCGGCGGCGTCGCTGTCGGCTCCTTGTCTAACTCATCGGATGGGTCGTTTGCGACGTGCGTCACGGGCGTGGGGAGGTGCTGCTTATTCACGACGGGTGTCTTGTCCTGGGCGGCCTGGGACAAACGGTCGGAGCGGCGCGGTTTCTTGGACTCGGTTCCGTCCTCGGGAAGCGAGCCCTGCTTCAGACGTACGGTGGTGAGCGGCGGATACTCGAGCGTACGCGCAGGGGCCGGAGCATGAACAGGATCGGAAACTCACGAGCGGCCGTTTCAATTGGCTCTTCTCATTACGAGGTGCCATCGCCTCTTTGACCACAGGCGAAGGCAAGCCTTGCGGGTTGGCGGGATGAAGGCACGGTTGTCGTTTCACGGAGATTGACGGACGACTGCACGAAGGAATCGATGATGATGCTGCCTGGTGTGCACAAGTCACAGAAGCGGGCGGGAGCGGGTGGAGGAGGGAAGGGCCGGGAATGCAAGGCAGCGTGGGCTCTGGGGCGACGGCGACTGCTTGGACTGTCTGCTTCCCCGTGCCTGTCAGCCTCTCTTTTGCGGGTCGCCTTTAGCGTGCCGTTCGATTCGGTTCCAGGTGAAGAGATGGGGGGAGGAGGAGCACAAGGTCGAGCACTGGGCCACAGCTGAGCAACGATTTTTGTGGGGAGCTGGGGGCGAAGCAGAGTCACGGCGCAAGGCAGCCGACCCTGCAGGGGTCGGCGGACGCGTGCACGCCGGGGGCAGCTGAGCATATGAGCCGGTGTGAATGACCTCGCTGCTGCTACTGCGGCGCAAAACACCCCCAATTCCACGGCGATTCGATGGCCACGAGCATCGCGATCGGCGGCCACTCCACGGTTCTCGTCCCTTGCAGCAGACGTTGCCGGCGTCCGCCCCGTCAAGAAGTATTTGAGCGTGGATGGCATACCATCTTTCCAACCCGGGTTGGCTCGCGGGTCCTTCACGCGCGATCTCGACAGCATGCAGCGATGACTCCGCGGCGGTGAAAGCATCACCTGACATGGCCACGCTTCCTCTCCCACGGCTACCTGCCAGTCATTTCTGTTGGTCAGCCCCTTTCTTGCCACCCATTTCTTGCGTGCGTTCCAGAGTCCTGTGCGCTTCGCGAGCAGCCCTCTTGGGTCCATCTCTTGAAATGTAGCGATGTGTGAAAGCAACTCGGCGCCCGCTGCACATGACTTCCCGAAAGTAACAGTGCAAGGACCACCGCAGGAGACCATCTTCCAACACATCATGCACACCAAAGCGACACGTCTGCTTGTCGATCGTGCCCACAGCAATCCCTCACGTCCTCCTTTCTTCGTCAGCCGCGATCAGCACGCCACGCCCAGGTACAAGCTGCCAGCAAAGTGCCGTGCTCAATGTTCCCGGTCTCATTACCATTAGAGCCTAGCTATCCATGCTTCACGGCTATTACGATTGCCTTTCCAACTCCCTCAACGCTTCGCGCTCCCCGTGATGGAGTATCTGTGATCATGTCGTCGGCACTAACTAGGGCTCCGGTCAGCCCAGGATCATCACCTGGCATCCGGTTGGGCGCGAACGCTTCGGCCGAAATCCGCAACTCGATGCACAGACATCTACCTGTCTTCCCCGGCGAGTCATGTCAACCTCTGCGCAATCCCAGCCCATCTCTTTCTGAAGAGCAATAGCCATCATCATCATAAGTAGTAGCATGTCTCATTGCCCCCTGCCGTTCCCCAGCTTCTCAGCCGAGGGAGTTCGTATAAGTGGTAACAGAGGGCCAACCCCGCCAGTCGATCCCAGAACCTGGGCTCCTATTTCTCGGGGATCGGTGATTTCGCCAGCCTTCCGCCAGCGCTAACTCGCTTCTGTAGCCGAGCCTCCTTGTCCCGCTGGAGCCTCTCACTCACTCCGTAGCTGGATGGTAGTGATGAGAGGCCATCGCCCATGGAGGCAGTCGGCTTTCCGAGCTTTTGCTCATAGTATTGCTGAGCAAACCGGCCGAGCGGGAATGCCGGCAAAGACGACGGAATTTCTGCCCCGTTCTGCGTGAGGAGCTCTGCGACTGGGAACGGGACAGCTTTCCCTTCCTGCTCCGATGAGCTTGTGCTCGGTGTTGGTGAGGGCGAAGCTGGGTCGGCAGCTGCCAGAGCGAGCCATACAGCGTGCGTCCCTCTCATCTTGTCGACCACGTTCGGATTTGCCTTTAGTGCCAGGGCGTATAGCACCTGTTGGATCTCGTTCTTCTTGATTGCGGCCAGCAGCGTCTCGTCGGGGGTGGCATATCTTGACAGCGTGGGCGAGATGGGTTCGACAAAGGCTCGGTCAACATACTTCGCTGTGATGAAACGGAGGCGCTGCTCGCGAGTTGCTTGTGAGTTGGGTTTCCCAGCCGGGTCCAATTTTGCCTCCCAGACCATGTTCGATACCCTATTACCGATGAGGAGGAGCACCTCGACAATATCGATCGTGAAGGATTTGATGTCGAGCGTGAGCGATCGCACCTTGCTGATATGCGTCCCCAGCGATCGATGGATGCCACTGCACTCAATGCACAGTATAATGCCCAGGTTGATGGAAACCCACTCCACCTTCGACCCCGACCCGCAGTCGGCGCACCAGTTGTTTCCCTGATCGGCGTCGCGAACCATTTGCAACAGTTTGTCTGGGTTTTCGTCGTAACCCGAGCTGGTCGTTCGCACCACGCTAGGTCGCGCGCCGACAGTGATTCTCCGGAAAGGTACGCCGCTGCCGGGGCTCGTGTGGTGGTGTGGAGGGTGTGCGCCGTGGCCGAGCGACTGAGTCTTGCCCGTCAGGACAGAGCCAATGTCCCGCTTGATCGAACTGTCTCCGTGGCTTTTGCCTGGGGTGCCCTTGTCTTGGAGAGCTCGACCCTCCATGGCGCTCTGAAGCGCATTATTTATGGACACGATCCAACTATTCATGTCCTCTTCTGATGTGGCTTGATACACGCGCTTGTAATTCGGCGTAATGACTTCGAAGCAGAAGCGTCGTTCAGCGTTTCTCGCTTCCCGCACGGATGCCATGCGCAAGTCGATGGGATCCATGTGCAGGTCTAGTTTCTGTTTCCAGTTGCTGTATTCCGAAAGTTTACCTTGGTCCAAGACGATCCAGAACCTGTGGTCGTGTGAGTGCCGCACGTTCTCCGCTCCTTTCCGAGTTGTACTTACTTGTGCCACCCCTGCTTGTTCAGGTTCCTGGGGTCCACATGGCCTCCAGGTCTGTTCAGTGCCCAGAGCAAGCCCTCCTTCCTTTGACTCACCGCAGCTTGCGCTGGATCGCGTTCCTCGAGGTCGCGGAACCCCTTGAACTTTGTACCTTGCGCCGGGCTCCCCAACGCGGAGTGGCCCAGGCTGCCGGGCGACCTCGACAGCTCTACTCCATGTCCGATGCTTGGCTGGTTGCCGACCGCGATGGCATTCTTGATCTGCGATCCAGTGCTGTCTGCCCGACCAAGCTCAGAATCCGATGTACTGCCCGCGTTCCCATTCGAGTGGGACGAAACGGGCACCGAGCTCGTCAGGCTCGCTTGCTCGGGCTCCAGGTACGGCGTGTTGCTCTTTTCCAGTACGCGTCTTTTCTCCTCGCGTTCCCGTCGCCGGTATTGATACTCCTTGTCGGTCTCTTGAACCTCAGTCGACAAGGCATCAAGTTGTGGAAGGAAATTCTCGATCTTTTTTGCGGTGGCGAGAAAGCCCTTGGTCTGCGCATCAGCGTATTTGGTGAGATGCGACAAAACCTCCTGCTCTTTTCGTCCACCGTGAAGATCCTGCATGAAACTTGAGTAGTCGAAGCGCTTCAACTCGAAGTTCCGTCGCTTGTTCTGGTATTTGGAATCGCTTTCTGCAAGCTTCTTGGCCTTGACCGAGTCCTGGCGCTGGCCCAGATATCGAGAAACGTATGCATAGTAGTCTTTGCTTTCCTCCTCAAAATCTCGCTTCTTGGATTCGGCCTGCTTGATGTCGAGTTGATACAGCTTGTTTAAGGGCTCGATAATGATCTTTTGTAGGTTGGCGGTGTTCTGTCGTTCATAAGAGACAACTTCGCGCGCGATCTTGTCAAAATAGTGCTCCAGCGCGGGTTGAATGGCGTTTGCATTTGTCGAAGACGCCTCTCGCAAGGCTTCCATGAAAGCGACAAAGGCGTCGTTGGACTCTGTCTGTGATATGTGTGCTTGCTCCGCTCGTTTCAGAACCTTCTTCATCTGTGTTCGCAAGTTACCCGTCTTCTGCTCTAGGGCCTTCAATGTCGCGCGGAAGACAGGCCCATCATCGGTTACGGTCACATCGTCGCCGGGCCGTGGACAAGCCAAGTCCACCTTGACCGGCTCCTTGGCTTGTGCGTTCGGCGTCAAGGAGCTCGCATCATTCGGTGGGAGTAACGGTGAGACTGGTTCTTCGATGTCGACGAGCCCGGTGAGTCTCGAGTCCACTGACTGCGTCGATGCAACGCGGATCTTCGGAGGCGAAGCCAACAGGAACGGCGGGGATGGAGAGCTGGGGTGACTGAGCGGAAATCCAGAGCTCGCTACCCAGTACGAGAAACTTGCTAGAGTGAGGAGACGGTGGCCACGCGAATCGTACTCGACAAAGCTGCACGAGTTCCGCCAACCACCACCCCTTTCTTCCAGCGCCCTAGGTGGCTTCCACTTCCAAGTCCATTCAAAGGAGACCGAGGAGCTACCGCCAGTGCTGTAATCTCCAACCAGGTCGACATTGGCATTCTTGTGCAGGTTGGGGTCGGCGTGGAACTCCCGAGTGACGAGGTTCTCGACTTCCCGTGGAGTGGATGCACAAACGTAGGTAAGTCCGGAGATCTTATTGTCTGCCGACGTGGGCTGGTCGTCAGCCGAGCCGGCAGATTGGCCTGTGGCCTGCGGCTGCGACTGGCGCATCACGAAGGTGAAGGTGAATATCAGCTCGTCGTCGTTGTTGAGTTTAAGGAGGAACGCGGGCGCGCCGTTGGCGCCGTTGGCCGGATCAGGGTCCTAGGTGTCGCCGTCAGCTTCACGGCCCTGCGTTCTGGCCCTCCTCACGCAGACTGACCTGGACGTATTCTATGGGCGATGCGTCGCCGGCCGGCCGAGACACGGACAATCTGCTGGCTGGAAATGCATTGGGAACAATGTTCACAGAGCTGCGCTTCCGCGGGTTTGTGATGACGAGTGAGGATATCGACACTGAAGTGGCGCGCGGCGCTGTGAGCTTCGCTGTCGCGGAGGAAAGGGACAACGGCGCAAGAAGAGCAACGTACATCTGTCTTGGTCTCTGAGATACAAGGCCGCGGCCTCGTCGGGCCTGGAGCTGACATTACCCATGGCGACGAGGGCCTAGCGGCGACGGCGAACGACGATGTGTGCGACGGCGACGGCGGCAGCGACGATGTCGAAGCAGGCTCGCAAGTTGACGACGGATGGGACAGCGCGGGGCTCAAACGATGGGCGGGTCTGGAGAGGCCGTCATCTGGCGCCGAGTGACTTTGGAACCAGGCCACAGGTCGAGCACGCTGAGCAAGGGATGCTTGGCTAGCAATGAGCAAATAAACGGGTAACGTATGCGATGGGGGTTCGTGGACGTCGAGCAGCGTTTGTCGGGCATGGAAGTGTGTGGAGAGGGACAAAGGACCCCGAGTGTGGTCGGCGAGGATGGCAGCGGATGGTGCTTTGTGTTTGTTCGCCTGCAAGGAGGCACCAGCAACGAAAGCGGGAGGCGGGTCCAGCAGGATGGATGGGGGACGTGGACGGCAAAGAGGCAGGCAAGGCGCGGATCTGCCAACCAACTGCCTGGTGCGAGGGCGGGCGTCGTGGATGGATTGCGCTGCCGGACACGCGCCGTCGCCTGGTCTGCACCAGACAGGTATATTAAGGATGGGGAACAGCGCCTGTTAGCGCGTCAACCGCCATTCGCATCTCGCGCCACCTCCAGTCTGGGCAGTCACGGGCCCTGGCGGGATGGCGCGCAGCGGCAGCACAGGCGGACCCCTCGCTGTCGCATGGATGGCGCGCGGGGCCTGGGGGAATTGGATGACACCCGACCGAACTGTGTACCTGGCCCCCGCCATCCAGACTGCCACGTCCTCCACCGCCACTGGCCTGTCATTCAGTATAGTACGATACGGAAGGCACGGCGGCATACATGGGGCTTCTTCCGTCCCGTCACCTTCCGGCAGCCGGTTCTGCTTGCCAAGCAACGCACCCACGCTCATCCCCCATGCATGATGACACACTGTTGGTCTTGTAATCAACTGGCTTTGCACGTACAAAGTACGGCGAGGCGATGAAGTTCTGCTGAAGGCGCACGAGACCAGGAACGCCTGCCCAGGGTTGCCGGGTTCAAGTCGCACGGGGCCTTCGCACAGCCTCGTCAGGTGGCCCTTTGTTCGTCTCGGATGGGACTTTACTCTGCTTGCGCCGCGCCGGGACACCGCGTTTTGAACATTTTACCTTGCGCAGCACGAAGGTGACCATCAGCAGACATGACGATGACGTGGAACCGGTGATGCAGGTACCAACCGGAAACACTGCGGCTTGGGCATTGCGCACGGTAACGTACAGGCACCACTGCCCCAGTGCGCCTTGTGCGACTCGGCATCCCAATGAGACTCTGTCAAGCAAGTTGCATGACCCATCGCGCGCGGGAAGCTGTTCTTGTTCGAGGCAGCAGGAGCAGAGGCGCGGTCGAGGTTGACAGCCCGCCGCGAATAACTTGAGCGCAGCGGCTGCACTCCAGAGGCGATGTCAGAGGCAGCCGAGTCTGGAGATGGATTTGAATCGGCGTCACAAACACCAGCACCAGCCGCAACACTTCGCGGCGATTCAGTCTTTGTGAGAGTCAAGGTTTGCATTGCATCCTGCAAGCCCCGACGACACCTGTACTGTCCGGGCCTTTTACAGAACTGGCTCGGGTCATTGTTTCTTCCTGCGCGTCTTCCACGGCCAGGCAGCGCTTCAGACCCAAGGTCGTGACTTGATACAGTAGCGCGGCGCTTATTCTCACATGTGGTGCAACGTCGGCGCAATATCCCGGTCAGACCTGGTCGATTGAGAGACAGCATTACGGCCGAATGTGCACAGTCTCTGCCACGGCCACGTTGGGTTGAAACTGCATTTGGCCTTCTGCCATGATTCGATTGAGAACGCTTCGTCCATGGCGCTGTCCCTCTGTGACTGCGCCCGGATAATCTTGGAAGCCATCGCTACGCGGGCGAGATGGCAATGTGGTCCCAACTCCAACACCCCCCTCGGTCTTCAAGCGATCTCTTATGCGCCCTAGATTGTTTGTTTGAAACACTCCCCCTTGTTCTGCGCCCTTGCGTCCTGCCCAACCAAGCGCGGCACACGCCCAGACAAGGCTGGGACAAAATGCGGCCGGTTTGCTACACCTGCACCGACTCTGTTCTCCCGCGCTGATGCCCGGCCACATTTTTCCGCAGTCATTGCCAGCGCCATGCATCTCCGGTCGGGAGGGGTTATACATTCGGGACCGGCGTGGATGGGGGCCTTTCCTACTACGTACGCGCCGTCTTCCCTTTCCAGACCAGTGCCCCAGGCTGACAGACTGTGGCGTGGAATGGGACCTGTGCAGCTATTTTTGGCGACAAAGCTGTTCCCTCCGCCGAACTGAAGGAGATGGGGATCTGGAGGGCTCTTCAGCCCCTATGCTTTGTATGCCCCTCATTCGATCCTCGGGCAAGCAATGACGATCAAGTTGCTTGTTCGGCTGCGGTGCTGAATCAGTGGTTATGAGGGGGTTCGGATTGTCTGGGCTGCAAACCTGATAAGCTGCATAATGGATTACAGCGATGCACGGTCCACTGCAGAGTGATTCGTACTTTATTATTACCGCTTGGGCATTGATGGCGCTGGCGGGACCTGACACAGAAGGTGCCTGAGCCCTCAGTGTGGAGGCCACGCTGCGTTAACCTGGCACAGGCGTTGAGGTGATGACGTCGCACAGCCATGGCCCGGGTACGTACCCACTCCGGGCCAGTTTCAAAACGCTTCGCAGCGCATGGGTACAGCCCGGCAGCCATCAACGGTGCTGTAGCTCGCCTGTGGCAGTCCCCTGCTTCCGACCGCCACCAACCTGGGCTGGGAGGTAAGAAGGGCACTGTAAATCAACTTGCAACCCCACGGGCCATCACGGACTCCTCCCTTGCCACACCTCGCCGCTCCCGACACCGACGGCAAGCCTACAGCGACACCGCTCTTCGCAGTCGTTCCCCCGTCGAAGACCTGCGCCGGCTGGCCATGACCCTGCGCACCCATCGCTGTCTCGGGCACCAGGACGGCAACCCTAGCTGGAATCCAACGTCGCTGCAACAACTATCGCCATGTCGACGGCATCGCGACACTCGGTGCAGCCCTCCCGACGGCTGAAAAACAGCAGCAGGGACTCGGGGAGAGCACGGGCGGCGTCGCGTGCCCGAGGTCAACATATCGTCGTCGAACACGAAGAAGCAAGGAGCTTTGCTCTCCGCGCGGCGTACCTTCACTACCTTCTCCAGCCCAAGGCGAAGCGAAAGCAATACGTGGCCGCTCCGAAGGCGCCCGCGCGTTCGCACACAAGTGTTGGACAGCTTGTTCAGGAATATGTTTCCGGCAGCTCGTCCAGCCAGAAGCTCCCGCACAGCTTCCCAAGCCAGCTGCTTGATCGAGTCGGCGGCGTGCTGCGGGGCAACGAATCGCTCCCCGGATACAACGATGCTGCCGTCAAACGAAGCTTTGCCGAGGCGTATACCGCCTTCTCAGAGAAAACATTCCGCAAGAATATGGAGAAGGAGAGAAAGTTTGAGCCTCTGGTTCTGATTTTCTATTCCTCTGCGACGAAAGCCGCCCAAAAGGGACGGGCGCCAGACGACGACACGTGGAAGATCCTTCCGGACCGCCATCTGGCCATGTTCGTGAGACTGGCCGCCAGCATCTTGCGCGACCACGGCCACGATCGCGATCGACCGGAACTGGTATCGAGACTTAGCTCTTTGGAAAACAAGCTCCTTACCAACGACCAAAATCTGGTAGACAGCGGGTCCGACGGCACTGGTACGACCATCGAAGTCGTGGTTCCCCTGAGTTATGATGTCAAGGACATGCCGATGGTACAGGCCGTGGCGGCCATTTTCGGACTGAGCCTGTCTGACGTCCAGAACGAGATCAACGACCATCGTCAGGTGTGGACGGAAGAGGCGGCCCTACAAGACCTCAAGTCATACCAGCACAGGTTGAACTCCAACAAACCTGGAGCGTTGCGGAGCGAAGACTTCGACATTGAGGACGCTTTCAACGAATGGAAAAAGTCCGAGGCTCCTCATCTCTCACAGATGATGCTGGACATCTTGACGGCCAAGCCGGAGTTGGCCCGCAGGTCCACCGGTCGTGCCGATAAGCCCCTACCAAGCCGCCCACAATCCATGTTCGCAGACGATCAGGCGTACGCAGACCTAGGTCGTGCCATAAGTGGCTCTGACGATGGCGGCCTCGGCTTTGACCCGGCTGCGAGTCTAGGCTCCATGTCCATTGGCGGCGACAGCAGCAGCATAAGAACTGTCGAAGAGGCCATTTACACGTTCGTCCCTCCAGATCCCAGGGCCTACTACAAGTACATTCTTCAGCAAGCTATGACTTTCGACCAACTTCATACCGATCCTGCCGACTACGAGCCTCTTTCAAAAAGATCCATGGAGCTCATGACGGAACTGTGTGTTAGGTGGCGTGTGCCTCAGTTCTCGCGACTCATTGCCGTTCTGGAGGTGGCGGCTCGCAAGTTCTTGGACCGTGAGCTGATTCCGACTGAGCTGGATACCACCTTCGACTTCGTCAAGACGCCGCTACCAGAACAGAAGAAGACTCCGCACATTTCACAATGCCTCACGCCCCTGAATGAGATACCCCCAAGCCGCTGGACGGTTCACGATTTCGCTGTATATCGACAGACCTTGCATGCATTGCACGACGCCCTTCTTCGCGAGCTCTACGACCTCATGGAGCAATGCTACGATACGAAGCCCCCAGACATGGGTGCGGTCATGTGGCTGCTGGACATCCATATCGAAGGAGACCCCTCGTTTTCCCACCGCTCTGCTTCCATGACCGAGTTCACCGAACACCTGCAACAAGGCCTCAGCCTGAAGGCGGCAGAAGCATATCGCGATTATATGGAGAAGGAAATCCCGCCCCATAAAGAAGAATGGGAATTTGGTCACGTCGTCAAGCTCGGCAAATCCGTCACGAAGTTGTGCGACAGGATACGAAAGAGGTATAAGAAGAACCCATCCATCATGGGTGTCAACCCTTTGGAAGTCCTGGTGAGAGAGGCGCTT